GCAATCCACCAATCAAGCCTGTCTGGTACCGCAGCAGATGGAAGCCATTGGTTGGTAGGCTCATGGCAGCCCTCCTGGATTTGCCAAAAGGCACCTGAAGGACTCTCAGACCAGGAGAAACAAACTTCTTTGGTCTGATGAGACAATAAATTAACTCTGGTGTTAACACCAGGCATCACATTTGGAGGAAAACAAGCTCTGCTCCTCACCAAGCCAATGCCATGCCTATAGTGAAGCATGGTGGTTCCTTCAGCTGAAGGAACTATGAGGATAGAGGACAAGACGAACGCAGCACAGAGACGTCTGGACCTGCTCCAGAGCGTTCTTGACCTCGGACTGAGGCGATGGTTCACCTTTCAGCAGGATAACGACCCAAAAGCACACAGCCAGGGTACCAAAGTTCTTCAGGACAACTCAGCGAATGTCTGAGTGACCTAGCCAGAGCCCAGACTTCAACTCGATTGGACGCTGTCAGAGAGATCTTAAATTGGCTGCTCTGATGCTTCCCATGCAACCTGACGAATGGGTGAAACTGCCCAGAGGCAAGTGTGTCAAGCTTGTAGCATCACATTTAAAGTGTGTGGTTTCCCTGACGACAGGGGGCAGTACTTACCTAAATTACTGCAAAACAAGCATTACTTTTGTGTTCAAGTAAGATCTTACCAACGGATGGCCATTAGGGTCAAAAATCCCCGGGAGCTCAACCTCCAGCAAAATAACAAGAACATCAGATTCCCTTTCGTCACTGGCAACGAGTGAAGAGGTGAACGTGTAAAACAACATTTGTTAATGGTGAAAGTTTTGTAACCGTTTGTTACAAATCAGTAAATGCATTTTGTCCTCACGGGCTTCTGTAGAAGGAAGTATGACATCCAATATGGCGTCGCCCAGAGACTTGAGGTGTTTCTCAATGCCAAGGCGCCTGGCCTTGTGAGGCGATGTCTTGCAAGGCCAGGTGCCTTGCTTACAAGGACACGGTCCTTCCTTGGTCAAAGAAAACGGTTGAATGGAACAGACTTGCATCACGAGACCGCGCCTTCCACGGCGGTCACGTAACGTCACGTGACACGGGAGATAACGTTGTATTTTACACGTATTGGTTTCAATATAAATATATAACGAGCCTTTTACTTTTTAAATTGTGTATATGTTTATTAAATTAAATATATAAGTGAGTTACTACCCGCTAGCCACCGAAGCTGCAACTATTAAGCTACTGACCAACCATAGATAACTTCTTTGGATCTAAAACAACATTTTAAATTAGTTGACTTACTTTTAAACTTGAAAATTGTCCCCGAAGTAGCTGCCGGCTTCTGATCCGCCATCCTTTTGAAAATACCGCGGTGTATTGTGGGTAATAATTTTTGACCAAGGCTAGGCTACAAGACACCTCCCGTGTATCCTCGCTCAGCTAGCTAAACGGCTAACAAACGGAGAACAGGCCTCGGTAGAACATGAACATTGGAACACGTCGTGGCGGCTCCCGATGACGTATCTCCTAGGCAACCGGGGCGGGGCCAAGACATCAAGGCGAGGTTCCTTGGCATTGAGAAACACCCTTAGACCCACTCCCATGTATTTTAGAACAGATTTTTATGGTTATTTGTTATGAAACTGCAATATGCATGAATGTTTTCCTTTTTTAAAAGAGGCTGTTAAATAATATTAGTGAAGAGTTCAGGATGAAGCAGTGAGTCAGAAGCGGCGGGATGAGACAAGCTTTCCTTCTTAAATGATATATGTTTCCATTTCATTTAGATGATTTATTGTATAAATGTTGTGTTTGACAAAAAAAAGTCAACTCAAAAAAGGAGTCCTCACAGAGACACACATCCACCAAACACACACACACACACACACACACACACACACACACACACACACACACACACACACACACACACACACACACAGCAGCGGGTTTTAATACCACTTAAAGCCATTAGTGTTTTCTGTTCTCAAACCATCCCTTCCTGCTCCGCATGTGCACTTACACACACACACAGAGAGAGAGAGAGAGAGAGAGAGAGAGAGAGAGAGAGAGAGAGAGAGAGAGAGAGAGAGAGAGAGAGAGAGAGAGAGAGAGAGAGAGAGAGAGAGAGAGAGAGAGAACAAACAGGAAGCAGGGATAAGAAACTTTTATTAAGTGCAATGTTTTATTTCCATCAGCTCCTGAACCAGAAGAATTTGTGATCCTGATCCAGTTCCGTCTGACACCCGCTAAAACCTCCTCTAGTCTGAGTTACCCGATTCCAGGTGTTCAGACATGCAGAGACACACGGAGACAAGTTCGGGCTTCTTTCTATAGGCTCAGGACAATCAGGTGGATTGTCCTGATGCTCCAATGTCCTCCGTCGTTCTTATCATCTTCAATTTTATTGGATTTAGTTTCATCTGAAACAAAGAAAATGATCAAACAACCTGCGTGTCATCAGAAAGTCACAAAAGACCCCCTAACAAGCACGGGTCACATGGTGTGAACCAGTTGCTAATAGCTGGCCCACGACTTTCTGCCTGTTTGCTCTGGTTGAAAGACACACAAAACCACACCCCCTTCACGTGGTCACACACACACACACACACACACTGTGTGGATTAGGCCAGCTGCTGCTGATGGCGGGGTGGAGGAGCACTGTGTGTGTGTGTGTTCGCAGTGAAGTGTACTTTTTGAAATGCTTTATTTTGTTAAACTCACCGGTCTGCCTCTTATGTCTAGGTTTGACTTCCTGCCAGAATTGAAGCGGTTCACCCGCGGCTCGTGAAAAAAATAGAGCAGACGCAGAAACGATCGCTGCACGGCGCGGGCTGGAGCGCCGGCTCTTCGCGGCGCTCCGGCGGCCCATGTGGCCTATAGAATAGGATAACAAGGGCACCGGATGAAGGCAGTCCCCGTTTCGCAGCGCTTCGGCGGCCGGTGTGTTCCAGGTGTAGAGTTTGTGGGCCCCTGGGCAATTGCCCAGTTGCTCATATGGTTAATCCGGCCTTGGTGATGCAGGGGACTGTTCTGTTCTGGTCCTGCTGGACCTGACTGCAGCCTTTGACACTGTTGACCATCACCTGCTACTGGAGAGGCTGAGAGACTGGGTAGGCCTATCAGGATCTGCTCTGGAGTGGTTCTCCTCTTATCTTTCTGAGCGCTCCTTTTCTGTGGCCATCTCCAAGTTTAGGTCCTCCTTTTACTCATGGTGTCCCACAAGGTTCTGTGCTGGGGCCTCTGCTCTTCCTTCTCCTTCTTCCTCTGCTTCCTCTTCAGCACATCCTGAGCTCCTTCAAAGGAATCTCCTACCATCATTATGCAGATGACATCCAACTGTACATCTCCTTTAAGCCCCATGAGATGTCTAAGCTGCAGCTGTTACACACCTGCTTAGACTCTATCAAAACCTGGATGGTGGGAGCTTTCTTCAGCTGAATGAAGATAAGACTGAGATCCTCATCTGTGCCCCAGACAAGCTGGTTCCCAAAGTCAGAGACTCTCTTGGTCAGCTTGCTTCCCACACCAAACCTTCTGTCAGGAATCTTGGCGTGACCTTTGACCCAGCTCTCACCCTGGATTCTCACGTCAGTTCTCTTGTTCGCTCTTCCTTCTTCCATCTCAGGAACGTTGCTAAGCTGAGTCCCATTCTGTCCCGCTCTGAACTTGAGACAGTTCTCCACACCTTCATCTCCTCACGCTTAGACTACTGTAACTCTCTTTTCACGTGTCTGAGAAGAACCTCCCTGAACCGTCTACAGGTGGTTCAGAACGCCTGTGCTCGGCTTCTGACCAAGTCCTCCAAACACACCCACATCACCCCGCTTCTCCTCCAGCTTCACTGGCTGCCAGTCAACTTCAGGGTTCATTTCAAGATCCTGGTTCTGGTCTATAGGGCCTTACATGGACAAGCACCATCTTACATTGGTGATCTTCTTAGTCCCTACACCCCCAGCAGGTCCCTGAGGTCCAGTGATCAAAGCCTACTGGTTGTGCAGCACCAGGCTAAAGGTCAAAGGTGACAGATCATCTGCTGCTGTGGCCCCCAGACTCTGGACCTCTCTCCCCCTGAGCCTGAGATCAGTGGACTCAGTGGTCTCCTTTAAAAAGCAGCTGAAGACTCACTTGTTCAAGCCTGGTTCAAGCTGGCTTTTGAATGACCTTCTTCACCTCTCTCTCTTTATTCTGCTCTCCCCACCTATTCCACCTTCCTCAGGATCCACTGATTTCCCTCTTTCCTGTTCACTCTCTCTCTTTCTTAACATTTTTTAAATCACAATTGTCTATTTTTGCTCATTTTAAATATATTTTTAACCATTTTCTAAATTATTTTTTATATTTTTACATTTTTTGTTTTTGTGAAGCGCCTCGTGATTTTTATCTTGAGAGGCGCTATAGAGATGATATTTTCTTCCTCTTCTTGGGTCAAAGGTCACTACCACACAAGGCAGGCTTCTGGTGAAGTGGCTGAAACTTCAGAATCTCCACCTGTAGAGCCTCAAACACGTGACTCAACGCGGAAGTGGAAACAGCAGCGAGTTGTCAACAGCTGAGCAGCAGCAATAGAGATCGTCTAATATGACAATGCTCCACACCTTTGCGTTTACCATAAACAGTAAACAACTTGGTACAGTCATGTACTTAAGATAACATTTGAAAACAAAAATGTTTAAATGTGAAGAAATCGTGTGTCTGGTGATGTAAAAGACGGCACCAGCTGCGATGCTGAAATCGCTTGATTTTAAGTCTTGATTCTGTTAAACACAAACCATTAATTATTAACTAACAGACGTGGTGTGAAAGAAACGACACGCTACACCACAGCCACTGCTGCAGGTCTTTCTGGGTCCTTTAAAAAGCGAGTGGGTTTGTTTTATTGAGTGCAAAATAAAAAAACTCAAATGAGAGTAAAATATCATTTACATTTGAGTAAAGTTGAAGTAGCGTGGTATGATTAAAAGGTGTCAGAGTGAGCCCTCTCACTTGCTCCTGCAGTGAAAAGTGAAAACGCGTCAGAGTGAGACCTCTCCTCCTTTCCCTCTCTTGGCGCGGCTAGCAGCAGAGCTAACGGTGGCGGTGATGGCGGAGCTGCTGCAGGGACAGGCCTCGATGAACCAGCCGGGGCTCCAGTCAGACGGCCTGGTCGATGTTTTACAGAGGGCCCGGCAGGTAACAATCCTCCGGGGCTCAGAACACAGCCACTCCGGACCGAGCCGGGCTCTTTAAACCGAGTCGAAGCACTTTTATCCGTGTAGTTTTGTCGCTGTGCCGAACTTCTGCTCCGTCAACACTCACTCACACACACACTTAGCATGCTAACTAGCTTCGAAAGCAGCTCAGAGTGGGACCTGTGACCGGTTCGGTCCACTTTATTGTGGCTGTCATGTTGCTGGAGATAAGTTGGGGGGAGTTTGTGGAGCTGTCACCCGGAGTGCAGCGCAGGGGGCCCGGGGTGGAACTGAAGGGGGGCAACGGGACTCAAGTTTTGGCCACACGTGTCAGTGATTCTGCGGCCAACCTGTTGGTTCCGAGCGGCTGGAAGTCCGCGAAAAGCTGCTAATTTGCGCTTCGTGAGCCCGAGTACGCGTGAGGGGGTCCGGCTCATGACGGGTAGGGGTTCTGGACTGGCTCGGCTGTTCCCACGACAGCTTAACCCCCCACACCCCACCCCCATAGGCTGCTGTTTACTGTACGTTGGTGAGAAAGTAGGCTGGGGTTATGCAATGATCCTAGAGCCCGAATCAGCAGGGAGGTGTGTCTGCCTCCTGTGGGTGCACGCACAGGCTCACGAGGTTCACTCACACCTGGGCTAAGTCTCACCTGCTCAGGTGAATGCCACACGATGCCCACCTAAGGTGGACTAACACACCTGGATCAGGCAGCAGCATCCAGATGGCGTGTGAAGCTGCAACCAACCAGTTGGGGTTGTCTCCCATCTCAAACCCAACAACCTACGTGATTAAAGCTCTCGTTGACTTCTTTTCTACCAGTTTGCTGTAATCTCAAGTAGGGCTGCCATAAATTATCTTTTAACTAGTTGACTAGTTGGGTTAGTTTTTTGGCGACTAATCGTGTCGTGCCTGAAGTATAGCCCATAGCACCAGGATGCAGCTGCTCTAATATACCCGTCATTAGCTTCTAGTTTGCAGTGTGATCAGTTATGTGCCAACTAAAAATAAAGACAAGATGGTAGCTTATCAAACAACAGGGGCCTCGTCAATATCCTTGGTCAGGACGTTGGCTTGGTAACAAACTCATCCATTGAAGATGAGCACTTTATTACACTGCAGCGTAGCAGAATACAATAAATCATTAGCGTTAGTAACGTTAGAGCTATTTCGTGACATACGTGTGCTGAAGGTAATGAAATCGCCATCGCTACTGTTGCTAAAGTAAAAATAACTCCCTGTTGATGTTAGCTAACTGGAGGTAATTGGCTTACAGAGGCGACTGTCCCTCTCCATTCTCCGCCATGATTGACGTCCTTCCTGGTAAGGTGTTGGTGCATCACCGTTGTGCTCTCATTAAGAGAGTTCTAGTTTTGCACTACGTGTTTTATCTTCGTAAGACGCTCCCAAACCTCTGAGCTATGTCGCCGGTTCACCGTGTCTCGTTCTTTCCAGTGATTCGACGGCTGATGGCAAGGTAGAAAAAATAAAAGTACATGCTTCATAGAGTAAACGTCGATGAATACATACATTGTTGACTTTTTTTGGTTATTGACATCATCGTGATGAATCGGCTAATCGTGGCAGCACTGATCTCAAGTCCGAATGAATGTTTTGCGTTCTTTTTTGTGGAAAAAGCTCTTGAGTTTTTTCTGACCAGTATATATAATATGTAAATGTCTCAATTCTGATTGGCTCGCTGCGATGCGACTCTTCCGCTGCCGCCATTTGCATGTTACTTCCTAAGATAACGCAAGCCCCAGTATGTTTTCCGCCTTGTTGTGGGGTTACTAATGGTTAGCTTCTAGCCGAGAAGCACTCCGCTCTCTCCATGGGCTTTTGCAAGCCAAGGTGGGCGGGGCTATTGATACTTATTTCCTCTGTGAGTAGAAGAGACTGGCTTTCTCTGGCCCAATCATTTGCTCGTTTATTTCCTTTTGAGGGGTGAAGTAAATTTTCACGTTCATCCTGCAAATGCAACTCAGAGCGACCGATCGTATTTCAACAAGAAACGAAACATTAGACCGTTTCTCGGTGAACCAGATATTTAAACATCAATAAACAAAACCCAATGATGTTAAAGAGCAAGTCACCCCCTACCAGAGTATTACTCCACTCCCACTTCCTATTTGAAAAATGCAGCAAATGCTGTTGCCTAGCAGACCGAGAGGGCGGTGCCGCTAACAAATACACACACACAGGCTCACAACGACATTGTGACATCATATGGTACCAGCTAACGTTCTAGGGTACCTCTTAGCCAATAGCGATGGCAGATTTAAATTCAAATGCAGTCCAGAGATTTACCTGACGACGGCACAACACTGACAGTTTTAGGCAGAAAATTTAAATTTTAACTAAAATGCACTAAAGAGCTAAACTATTGACGACACGTGTCTGCAGCACGATTAGACACGCATTTATATAGTTTATCAGAAAAATAGTTGATTTGGGGGTGACTTGCTCTTTAAACGCACAAAACCAACTATGTAAAATTCAGAAACTCAAAAACCAACTTGGTTTATCTCTGAAACAATCTGACCGACCTGCTGATCATTAGCAGGAAATTTAATTAACTGTTATTTATAGTTAGATCTAATCTGGGCTTCTTTTGAATCATTAGACCGTTTCTCGGTGAACCAGATATTTAAACATCAATAAATATTTGTTTATTTTCAGTTTTGTAAGACCTACATTTTGGATAAATTGGTGAAAAACAAAATCCATGAATCCCATCTGATTAAATTTTTTAAAACGGCAGCAAAGTTGGAGGCTGGTTCCATTTTATTTATTTCAAATGGGTATTTTTAAAAAGTGCTCAAAAAACTATCAACCTATTTTATACCACTAATGAAAAAACGGTAAAATTAGTGTTTTGCAGCTGAGTGTGAATCCTTATTAGGAAGTTTGATGTTTGAGAGAGGAGGACGTCTTCGACAGGTTTAAAGGGGCATTATGGAAGTGTGACAGCCAAAACATGTATAGAAATAATAAATGTCTTCTTCATACATTCTCCTGCAACGCCCTGGTCCTGTAGAATGAGCCCTGGCATTTTTACTGTGATTGCCTGTTTTTCTGTAAAATCACAGAAAAAGAGAGATGCTCGGGTCGAGCAGGCTGCTTCATGCGCGTTCACGCTCAGGCATCGCCCGTAGCATTTGCTATCCGTAGCTTTAGCAGCAGAGAGAGAGGCAGTGCCACTTTGTCGCTGTTCCTAACGCCTAGTGACAAAGCTAGCTACATTTCTGAGGACCCTTAGCTACTTTCTGTAGAACTTTCTTCTAGATATTTCCTGCAAATTAGCAACAAAATAGCCATTTTCGCTCTGAACCGTTCTTTGAACGTTGTTTCAGCTGTCATCAAGGATATAAATGTTACAGATACAAAGGACGTCACTGGCGCTTTAGCTCACCTAGTAAGACGTCAGACTCTCGTGCGGAAGTCCTGGGTTTGATTCTGGATGTGAACATAGTTTATTTAGAGTTTATTTTTTACATTAATGGTATATTTTTTACGGTAAGATGCCCAAATTTTTATTTGAGACTCGCCGAACGGCATTTAATTCACAGATAAAAAAGATGTGGGTTCAACTTTCATTTTGGAACAATTTTTCAAGCAAGGGAAGGGAATGATCTGAGCATGCAGGAGGACTGACCCATCATAAACCTTTGTCGGCTGTGCTGAAGAGAAAGGTACAGAACCAAATTATTTAATTAGCTGTGCGTTCTCCTGTCCTCCGGGCCACACACACACAAACACACACACACACACACACACACACACGGGACTGTCTCAGCTGTTATTTTCATTAAGGAGTGTGCACGTACAGCATGCGCGCCTCGCGCACGAGCCTACTTTTGAAGCTGTAATTGCTGTTACGCTTTTGGCCTGAGGGGGCAATCGCGAGTATAAAAATTCAAAAGTCCGTAAAGTCCCTTTAAAGAGCAAGTCACCCCCAAATCAACTTTTTTTCTGATAAACTATATAAATGTGTGTCTAATCGTGCTGCAGACACGTGTCGTCAATAGTTTAGCTCTTTGGTGCATTTTAGTTAAAATTTAAATATTCTGCCTAAAACTGTCAGTGTCGTGCCGTTGTCAGGTAAATCTCTGGACTGCATTTGAATTTAAATCTGCCATTTAAATCGCTATTGGCTAAGAGGTACCCTAGAACGTTAGCTGGTACCATATGATGTCACAATGTCGTTGTGAGCCTGTGTGTGTGTGTGTATTTGTTAGCGGCTCGGCCCCCTCGGTCTGCTAGGCAACAGCATTTGTTGCATTTTTCAAACAGGAAGTGGGAGTGGAGTAAGATCTGGTAGGGGGTGACTTGCTCTTTAAGGAACAGAACTGAATCTGGCGGAGATTTGGACCTCTGGTTCCAGCTGTCACCATAAGTTGTGTATCCGTTTTTGGACGTAGCTTTCAAGTTTGGTGTTGTGCTTTAGCTTGCTGGTCTTTAACCTGTTTGGATCTGATAGTTTTGGGATTTTTACCTTTAAAAGTTTATACATCATTTTTTACAAGCAGCATTAACACCTCTAACAGTACGTAAAAAAGGAAATGGGGCTGGACGTAAAGATGGAGGAAATAGGAAAAAGCAATGGAAATCTTGATTTTCTTCAGCTCAGGTGTTAAAGCTGTTTCTGTCCTTTCAGATGGTGGGTAAGATGGGTGGAGAAACAATGTCGCACCTCAGCAGTTCCTCAGGAAGTGTCGAGTCCTCGCTTTACTACTCTGGCCAGAAACGACCTGGAGAAGATGGAGGTGAGGGCGTTCGGTACCACCGTCAGGTCCTACCTAAAGCTTTTCTTATGGAGAGCTTCAAAGCTCCCTCTGGTAGTCATCTTGTTCACAATGTAATTGGAAAATTTCTAGACTTTATTGATCCCACAGTGGGGAAATGCACTTGTTACAGCAGCACGTACACTTGGAGAACGATTTGGAAAAAATAACTAAAGTACATGTATATACATATAAGCAGCAAGTAATATGAAGCCTAATTTACACTTCTCCATCAGCTCCATGAGGGAGAGACACGCACGGACGGAGATGTTTGCTTGCGGACTTCTCCGTCTCCTGGGGAATGTTGCAAAGCAATTCCCCGCCAGGACAACAGAGGGCGTAGCGCTGTTCTGTGGTATCCTGTCATGTATCCGGTCCAAGATGGTGCATTTAATATTATATTTATGTTGTGCTTTTTGTATTTGAGGCATTTTAACACGGACAATTTTGTCTCTCATCCTCCTCCACCTCTTCATGCGCTCACCATTTTCAGTGAAATCAGAACATTAATATTTAAGTGCATGGATTAATACATCTGAACTCATGCAGTAGGAACTAGGAAATATGAAATACTAGAACCATTTTATTTTAATTTGATTAAACTGATTTTTTCCTAACTTTGTTGGCATTTTTCCCCACACACAGTTAAACAAAACAATGTTGATTAAGGTGTGTGTGTGAGAGAGAGGGAGAGAGAGAGAGTTAAAATAATTTTAAAAAACCCGACCGGAGCGGAGGCAGTGACCGACGCATGCACGAGCCGTTTTCAGCTCTGTCTTGTCAAATGCACCACGCACGTTACCAAAAAAGTAACTTTAAATATTAAACCGATAAAGAGGCGAGCTGGTGTTCACGAGTGTGTGTGTGTGTGTGTGCGTGTGTGCATGGACGAGTGTGCGGGTGATTGTATGTCCACTTTGGAAGTCGGGTGCGGGAGGGGAACTGTAATTTTTAATTGTTTTATACTTGGGGAGGGGGGCTGGGATGGGAATGTGTGATCTATGGGGCCATTTTAATCTGTAAAGCACTTTGAGTTGCATTTTTTGTATGAAAAGTGCTTTATAAATAAAGTTGATTTGATTTGAAGAAAACGTGAGCAACAGTGAAGCAAGCACAGAGATCCGTTACTGTGTGTGTGTGTGTGTGCGTGTGTGTGCGTGTGTGAGTGTGTGTGCGTGTGTGTGCGTGTGTGTGTGTGTGTGTGTGTGTGTGTGTGTGTGTGTGTGTGTGTGTGATAGGGCTGTAGCGAAGCTTCGATGACGTCGACGGCTCGATTCTAAAAATTCGTCGACGTCAGATCCGGCAGTCGACGCACCGCGCCCACTTGTTGCATCCCCAGGAGTTTGTAAATAGAGGTGGAATCTGCCTGTTTTTCCTCTAGTTCGCCCTCTTCTCCGCCTTCACTAACATCTCAGCCAAATACCGAAGACCCGGAACAAAGTCCATCTGCTACTAGGTTCCTTTCCTGTTTTGCCCGCCTTCGTTTCCCGGCAACGGACAACAACTTCCGGGGTCAAATGCGCTGCTCCGTCTCTATCGCAGATGTAGAAAATCACCGGGAGCGTTTCTCCCTTCATAAAGGAGCTTCTTTCAGACATTAGGAGAGCTGTTTTGGTGGTAGCAGTCTCTCCTCCGAGCTGGTCTGTTTGCTGCTGGGTGTTTTTGGTTTATTTAAACTTGGCAACTTAACGTTGGTAAAGCTACTGTTAGCATTTTCGCTAACAGCTTCTTGCGTTTGGATAAGCTATTACGTTTTGGTTTAGAGTTCATCTTTTTACAATCCAATCCAATCCAATTTTATTTATAAAGCGCATTCACAAGTAGGGTTGTCACGGTAACCGGTATAGCGGTAAACCCCGGTAAAAAAGTTGACAATAAAAATAACCGTCCAGTTTTTAAAAAACTAAATTATCTCGGTGGGTTTACCGTGGCCGCGGTTTCGGCGCGATGACCCTTACCAGCCACCGTCGCTTCAGCTGAAGTTCCCGCTGCGCGCACACGCACTTTTTAATTTGCAACGGCACCAAAACTTTGAAGCTGAAATAATGGCCGAAGGAGGAGACGGCAGCGCCCAGGACATCCATCAGTCCTCAAAGAAGACTAAATCGGAAGTATGGGCATATTTGGGATTTCTGAAAAACGCTGAGGGACAGTTAATAGAAGACGGCTATCCCGTTTGCAGAACGTGCAGGAAACAAGTGTCTGCAGAAGGCAGCAACACTTCAAATCTCATGGCACATCTGCGTGACGATCACCCACGTCTCCACAGCCAGTGCAAGGTAAGATAACATTAGCATTTTAGCTGAAATGCATGACGTGAGGACTTTTGGCTGAGGGAGAATGCAACGAGTCACTATATACTGCAGCCGCAGCGCCCTCTGCCAGCATTTAAACCGTGTCACAGACACCCTGTTGCTGGATGAAGCATCTTATTTGTTGATGATGAAGAGAAATATACAATTAGTTCCTTGTCATTGATTTGTTTACTTATTCAATGCCATTTATACTTGGACATTTGGATTTGATTACATAGTGTAGTAATTATTTTAGTAATTTGTTTAAAGTGGCTATTTATTTTAAATACATATTTTTTAAGGTTGACTTGTACAGTGCTCAAGTCAAGTGTGGACTGGAGTTTTAGATTTTCATTTTGATAATGAAGAAAACAAGTATATGAGAAAACAAGTGGTGTTTCTTTGATTTGTTTACATTTTGTTTATGTTTTGAATGTTTGGATTTGTATAATTTAAACCTGCACTGACTACTGTAACAAGTTCCAGAAAAATAAGCTATTTGTTCCTTTACTTGTGAAAAGTTGCACTTTTGCTAAGGCTTTGTGTTATTTTAGGTTTAATAAACACTGTTAAACCTTTTCAGAACTATTTCAGTTTGTGTAGAACAGGACTATCAATGCTTTCTGAACATATGCAACACCGTTTAAAAAATACCGCGATAATACCGAAAACCGTGATAATTTTGGTCACAATAACCGTGAGGTTAAATTTTCATACCGTGACAACCCTATTCACAAGGCATTACAACCAAACAAGGCGCTGTACACTAGAAATGTTGGTTAATTAAACAAGCGATATTTAAACATGTTGAACACATATAAAAAATAATAATTTGTGGTACAAATTAATAAATGTCTAAATGTAATAAAATCTCCCTTTTGTTACATTTAGAGTGTTTTGGGTTTTCGGTTTAGTTTAAAATATCACCTTGAGGTTGGTTTAACCGCCCAGTTTAGAGTTTGGAACTTTGGAGATTCTTATTTTGGTCCAAAACCCTGTAATCTTTGCACAGTGGGACATCCCTAGTTATCTGTACTTTTGTTTTAATTCCCCACAGGCAGAATTAGTTTTATTACTCCCAACCTGTGGATGGAAAGATTTGGTTTTTTGTAGTTGTAAATAAACCCGATCATCATTTTAACTTTTAAATCCCACATTATTGTCCCTTCCTTTTTGCACACGAGCCAAACTCCCCAGGAAGAGTCGTAACACCACTCGCCTCAAGCACATAAGTGACCAAGACGAAGCAGCATGGAGACACTCCGTCTCCAACCACCTCTCAGGCAGCAGCCTGTACTCCCAAGTTCTACACGTCACCAGAACATAACCAACCAACACAATAAAAGCAGTGTTATACAAAATGGGAGGCCTGTAGTGTTTATTCTCTTACAGTAACAATTAATCAATTTTTTTGAGGAATTTATTAGAGATTTTTTGGTTTTTATTAACTGTGCAATAGAAAAATAATCATTAGATTAATTGTATAAATAGTCATTAGAATAGTCGACTATTCGATAAAATAATCGTCAGAATAATCGTTTTAAAAATAATCGTTTACCCCCAGCCCTAGTGTGTGAGTGAGCGAGCGAGTGAGTGAGTGAGAGCGCGCGCGCGCGCCCGGCTGCAGAGTTTTGTGTGTAGGGAGGGGCGGGCGCTCTTATGTGACTGGCCAATCGCAGAGCGTGAAGACAGTCAGTTACCCAATGAGGATTTTCCTTCAGCACGATTACAGATATTTACGAGTTTTACTCGTTTCATGCTCGTATTCGTCAAAAATGCTTTATCCGTACGCTCATCCCTAGCTGTAACCACCCTGCCCTGCCTCCTCCTCCTTGCTGCCTGCCGGCTGTGATCACAAGCAGCAACACAGTAGTTCCCGCTGCTTCTTCAGGAAACGGCGCAAAAAAATAAGATAAAATCAATCAAATTTGGGATCTTGTAGGCGTGGCGCTGGGATTTCAGCCGTGGCGGGCCGCCTCGGCTACGCCTATGTAAGGGAAACACTGCTTAACCTTCGACAACTAAAAGCCAGAAATAAAAACTCTGCAGCATAAGGGACACAGACATACTATGTAAATCTGGTATTGCACAAGTATTACAAATTATGTGGCCCAGAAAACAATATATTTAGGATATATCTAAATATCTGATCCGATCGCGTTAGATCAGAATCTGTTGGACAAGATCAAATTTAACTTAATAAAATGAGAAACACGTTGTTTTAAATACATCCTGCGAGAGTTTCAGACGTAATAACAATGGCTTTGTTTTCATTTTAACAAGTTCCATTACGTCTGTTTTTATTGTTTCATGCACGACGACACAATAACGTCACACTACTGGCAGGCGGGGAATTCAGACAACATAAGACTGAGCTGTTAGCTAGCAGGCTAGTGCAGAGCTACCGTGTCACTTCAGGAGAGTAGAAACGTCTGCAGTTAGGACGTATTTAACTCCAGACAGCAAAGGCGGAGCAGCAGCCACTTGTGTGTGTGTATGTTGGGTGTTTCAGGTGTTGGTAAAGACAGAGCTGCGTCCAACTCTACAAATCTGTCACCTAAAAATCAAACTTCTTTCTCTTTTGGCTTTTCCCTTACTACCTGGACCTTATTGTGTGTATTTCAGTTGTCGCTAAAGACTGCGTCATGTCACACTGCGGTCCAACATGTTAAGCTTGGTTTATGCTTGACGCGTCCGCGAGGTTCGCACGGCTCCGCGCGGCAAAATTGCGTCATTTTAACAACCACGCCCCTCCACTGCGCCTCCGCACGGCCCAAACTTTCCGCACCGCGCACCTAGGAAATTTTCTAACCACGCGGACGGTCGGACGCGGAAAAACGTGGCGGACCGGCAAGAACTAGTATGGCAGAGGTTCGTAAATACAGACATTTGTATGATTCAGCTCTCAGAGATCACCGTGATCAACATGTTGTTAATAATTCTTGGAGAGAAATGGCTCGCACTGTCGGAAAAGACGAGGACGCTGTTAAAAAATGCTGGAATGCCATGTTGTAAACAACAGGAATTTCTACTTCTACTATGGTGTAGTGTTGGATGCATGCCGTAGAGCTCCATGCTGCCCCCTACAGTTTGGGAGAATATTGGCTCACCGCAGAGACGAGCCGCATGAACCATAAACTCTGCGAGTTGTGAAGCCTAAAGCCTGGTTTATGCTTCTCCGCCATCTCCGCAAGGGACAGACACGCACGGATTGACAGAAGTGTTTTGCTCTCATACTTCTCCGTCTCCTGGAGAGTGTTGCAAAGCAATTCCCCGGCAGGACAACAGAGAGCGTAGCGCTGTTCTGTGGTATCCTGTCATGTATCGGTCCAAGATCGTGTGTTTTTATTGTGTTTTTTGTGTATATAAGAGACTTTTAACATGGAAATATTTGTCTCTCATTCTCCCACCGCTTCATGCGCTCCCCACCTCTAAACCCACGTTTCCCGTCATTTCCGTCCACAAATAAAACGCTTGCTGCGCATCTTTTCACTCCTCCAGTCACGAGAGAATTAAACGTTCATATTTTTAGAGTTTTTTCGCGAGGTATTCTTCAAGCTTCTCCGTGTCTGCCGCTAGTTATCCTCGGCTCTCTTTGCAATGGCGGCGCTGTAAACAACAGCGGCGTCCCGACCAATCACAAGCTTGCGTAATCTGTCTCGTTCGACGGATGTTTAAAAAAGTGGGCTCGACTCCGTACGTACTTGCGAGCCCTACGCAAGGACGGATAATGGCGTTGCGTGTCTCCGCACTGACGCAGACGGAGAAGCATAAATCAGGCTTCACCCTAACCCATCCGCGAGCCGCATCACCAAGCGGAAAATAAACGCGTCGAGCATAAACCAAGGTTAAGTCGGCCAAACTGCATGACGTCTCGCCGTAGCAGAACATGTCAACGTCACAAGCGTACTTGCTGAAAAGCGTATGTCACTAAATGTCGACAAGATGCCAAGAGCGGCTCACTTGTTCCTGCGTGTAGCCTCCTCTGTTGCTAATGCTCCTTTGGCATTGTTTTTACTAGTTTTACTTCCTGGTTGTATTTTCATTGGTCGACTGCAGAAGAGAGTCAAAGGTTTTCTGACATTGTTTGAAGACTGTTGGAGGCTGAATTCGGTTGTGAGAGTGCTTAATAAGCTGGGCAGGTCAGCAACAGACCTGCAAATCGCCCTCGAGTTCGCTTTTTTTTTTTTTTTTTTTTTTTTTTGCCGTATGGTAAATGGCCCGTATTTGTATAGTGCCCTCTTGGGGTTCTACAACCCCCCAAAGTGCTTTACAACACAATCAGTCATTCACACGCTGGTGGGGATGAGCTGTGATGTAGCCACAGCTGTCCTGGGGCGCACTGGCGAGACCTGCTGGGCACTGGAGTGTCTTGAGTCAGAGCCGGGATCAAACCTGCGACCTTTCGATTACTGGACAACCCGCTCTACCTCCTGAGCTACTTGCTGTCCCAAGATTTGCCACGATTTTGCTCATGGTGAAGGTTTTGTCAAGGACGGCTAAAACACAGCGTGTCCCAGACCTAACCTGTCACCACAGCAAATCACCGGTCTTCATTTAGTCCTAGCCTTGTTAAAAAACAGGAAACGCCTTGCTCAGTTTCACAGCAGCAACTCGGACAAAAACACTGGTCCAGCCAACACTGAACGATGCTACGGAAAGCAAAAAAGGTCACAGAGAAACAGGTTTTAATCTCACTGGATGACTGCGGTTGCAGCTGTCTGCTTGTGCTGCCTCCTGGAGCTGCAGGATGAGCCACTTTTGTCGCTCTCAGGTGTTGTGCAGAGAAAAGCCTCCCAGCCATGATGCACCATCACGAGAACACGCGCCGCTCGCTCATCTCTCCACACAAACTGAAAAAAACAAAAATCTGCCGACCATGGTGAAAAATCTCTGACACACGAACGTCCCTCAAAAATTAAAAACCGCGATGCTAAATGAAACCCAACCAAGGAACTGTTTCTGTTTTACATAGAAAACAAGTTTTTTTTTTCTTTTGTTGCAACAAATTTTATTTTAGAAAACACAGAAAGTAATTTGTTGTTGTTTATGTTGTTATTCTTGATCCTGACTGATGACCTCGGGTCTTAATTCCTAAAGTGCATCTGCAGCTTTTAGCTTAGACAGAATCTGTTGGTTCTAAAATAAAGGTTTCACATCTGGTACGGCCCGACCCGGCCCGGCCCACATTGCATATATTATTTTCACACCTGGGTGGTGCTTTTCCCTCTCCTACCGGGCGGTTTTCCGGCCCATATCCTCTGGCGGTCCGCTCCGGGCTAGCCCGGGCTAACGCGCCTACCGTTAGCGGGGGCCTCTGAATGGCGAACAGGATTGACCAACGGGGGCTTCCCGCGTGCAAAATTCATTAATATTCATTATTGCCTCTGAAGCAGCCCCCCCCCCCAGCAACACCATTGTTGTTCTGCTGAGATGTTTCTGTGTAGCACACGGCTAACTCATCACCTGGCGCTACTTTTGTGTGGGCTACAGATCGCTCACCCCCGCGGACTTCTCTCCACACACACTCTCCCGTGCGTCTTTATTGCCCCACCCATGTGCTTGGAGATTCCCCCGTTCTTGAGAAGTGAGTGTGAACAACCCTACCGGTGCAAGACCCGGACCGACGCCGCCCGGCCCGATCTGTGCTGGCCCAGATGTGAAACCCCTGTAACAGAACCAGAACCTCTGATGTCCCGCAGAACTTTTATGTTGATGTTTCTGTCCTAGCAGGTAACCAGCTATCAGCCATGAGCCACCAGAGGTAGGACCAACCCTTCTACTGGTTACACACACACAATACCCGCAACACACACGCACAATACCCGCAACACACACACGCACAATACCCGCAACACACACACGCACAATACCCGCAACACACACACACACAATACCCGCAACACACACACACACAATACCCGCAACACACACACGCACAATACCCGCAACACACACACGCACAATACCCGCAACACACACGCACAACAAATACACAATACCCACAACACACACGCACAATACCCGCAACACACACACACACAATACCCGCAACACACACACACACAATACCCGCAACACACACACGCACAATACCCGCAACACACACACGCACAATACCCGCAACACACACGCACAACAAATACACAATACCCACAACACACACGCACAATACCCGCAACACACACGCACAATACCCGCAACACACACGCACAATACCCGCAACACACACGCACAATACCCGCAACACACACGCACAATACCCGCAACACACACGCACAATACCCGCAACACACACGCACAATACCCGCAACACACACGAACAATACCCGCAACACACACGCACAATACCCGCAACACACACGCACAATACCCGCAACACACACACGCACAATACCCGCAACACACACACGCACAATACCCGCAACACACACACGCACAATACCCGCAACACACACACGCACAATACCCGCAACACACACGCGCACAATACCCGCAACACACGCGCACAATACCCGCAACACACGCGCACAATACCCGCAACACACGCGCACAATACCCGCAACACATGCGCACAATACCCGCAACACACGCGCACAATACCCGCAACACGCACACGCACAATACCCGCAACACACACACGCACAATACCCGCAACACACACACGCACAATACCCGCAACACACACACGCACAATACCCGCAACACACACACGCACAATACCCGCAACACACACGCACAATACCCGCAACACACACGCACAATACCCGCAACACACACGCACAATACCCGCAACACACACGCACAATACCCGCAACACACACGCACAATACCCGCAACACGCACAATACCCGCAACACGCACACACGCACAATACCCGCAACACACACACGCACAATACCCGCAACACACACACGCACAATACCCGCAACACACACACGCACAATACCCACAACACACACGCACAATACCCGCAACACACACGCACAATACCCGCAACACGCACACGCACAATACCCGCAACACACACACGCACAATACCCGCAACACACACACGCACAATACCCGCAACACACACGCACAACAAATACACAATACCCGCAACACACACGCACAAAAAATACACAATGCCCGCAACACACACGCACAACAAATACACAATACCCGCAACACACACGCACAACAAATACACAATACCCGCAACACACACGCACAATACCCGCAACACACACGCACAATACCCGCAACACACACGCACAATACCCGCAACACACACGCACAATACCCGCAACACACACGCACAATACCTGCAACACACATGCACAATACCCGCAACACACACGCACAACAAATACACAATACCCGCAACACACACGCATAATACCCGCAACACACACGCACCAAATACACAATACCCACAACACACACGCACAACAAATACACAATGCCCGCAACACACACGCACAACAAATACACAATACCCGCAACACACACGCACAATACCCACAACACACAACAAATACACAATACCCGCAACACACAACAAATACACAATACCCGCAACACACACGCACAATACCCACAACACACAACAAATACACAATACCCGCAACACACACGCACAATACCCACAACACACAACAAATACACAATACCCGCAACACACACGCACAATACCCAAAACACACAACAAATACACAATACCCGTAACACACACACACACCAAATACGCAATACCCGCAACACACACGCACAATACCCGCAACACACACACACCAAATACGCAATACCCGCAACACACGCGCACAATACCCACAACACACATGCAACAAATACACAATACCCGCAAAACACACAACAAATACACAATACCCGCAACACACACACCAAATACGCAATACCCACAACACACACGCACAATACCGGCAACACACACACACACCAAATACGCAATACCCGCAACACACACGCACAATACCCGCAACACACACACAACAAATACACAATACCCGCAACACACATGCACAATTCCCGCAACACACACACAACAAATACACAATACCCGCAACACACATGCACAATACCCGCAACACACACACAACGAATACACAATACCCGCAACACACATGCACAATACCCACAACACACACACAACGAATACACAATACCCGCAACACACATGCACAATACCCGCAACACACAACAAATACACAATACCCGCAACACACACACACCAAATACGCAATACCCGCAACACACACGCACAATACCCGCAACACACATACAACAAATACACAATACCCGCAACACACACACACACAACAAATACACAATACCCGCAACACACACACACACAACAAATACACAATACCCGCAACACACACACAACAAATACACAATACCCGCAACACACACACAACAAATACACAATACCCGCAACACACACGCACAATACCCGCAACACACACGCACAATACCCGCAACACACACGCACAATACCCGCAACACACACACAACAAATACACAATACCCACAACACACACTCACACACTGCAGTGACTGATGGGTTTTTTAAGGTTGTGTGTGTGTGTGTGTTGCAGCAGGGTGGTCACAGAGGAGTACAAAGTCCCAGACAGGATGGTGGGCTTCAGTGAGTATGACCTTCATGTTGTGGTCTGACTGTCGGCCTGTAGAACCAGAACCTGCAGAACCGTGTGTGTGTGTGTGTGTGTCCAGTTATCGGTCGAGGAGGAGAACAGATCACCAGGATCCAGAACGAGTCTGGCTGTAAGATCCAGATTGCTGCCGGTGAGTTCTGATTGGTTCCTGGAGATGAAGCTCCAGCTTCTCGGACCCTTGTGTGGTTCTGAAGGTTCTGGATGGTGACCCTGGCTCTGTGTGCTTACAGACAGCGGCGGTCTGTTCGAGAGGCCTTGTTCGCTGACGGGAGCTCCAGAGTGTATCGAGTGAGTTTTATCTGTGTAAGCGGGTCTGGTCTCGGCCCGCTGTGGCGTTATTTTGTGTCTAGGAAAGGTTCCGGTTCTAGGGTTGGTCCGGTTGGTTGAGGGATCGGGTCCACTGGGTGATCCTTATAGAAAACACTTCTACACTGTTCTAGACATCTGGAACACAGACCTGCTGTGCTTTACACCTGAAGCCTGCAGCTACATCAGATCTTACCCGCTACAAGCTGCACAGCTGGAACATCTGTCCAGCATCGGGACTTCAGACTTCTGATTCTAATGAGTTCTTTTACTGCAGCAGAGGTTCGGTAAATTTTTAAAAATAAACTTTAATTTTCTCCATGAGGAAATATTAGCTGTTTCCATGACCGTGACTTCAGGGTAAACTCACCGGAACTTCCCGACATCTGCGTGTCTCCACTTGACCGGGCCAGCCAAATGGCCGTTTTCAGGAACCTTCCCAGTACCTGATCAGAGGTGGGTACTCGGAGTGGCCCGGTAATAGGCCCAATTCAGTTCGTGGGTGGGAACGCCGCCGATTTGTTGCAACGTGCACGTAGAAAATGGGAAATGCACATGGGGCGGAGAAACGGCTTTTCGGACAACACGAGTTGTTGGCGCGTTTTGAGCCAGTCGATGATGTCACTCGCAACGCAGCGGCCCTGATGTTGTGGCATTTTAGCACATTCCTTACAAGGCCAGGCTGTAAATGGAGCCACGACGGCTAGGAAGACTGGGCCTTCGGATCGCCTGGCCTCGCTGCATTAACGCTGATGTTCCGGTGAAGGAAACACTCGTTCCTGCATGTCTGATCGAGTCCTGATGGAGCTCTGGCAAATCCTGATAGGGGCACTGATGTGGCGCTTACACATTAGCGTCGGCACAGTCGGGCTGGATGGCGCGAGTTCTGTCTCGAGCGGACGGTGTAGTCACATATAAATCCGATGGACTTCTCAGGAATGCGGAAATCCCCGAGCCTGTGGGCGGCGTTTACTACGCGCGCGAAAGTCCGCGGTGTCCTCCGTTACAAGGTAAAGGCGGGCATGAGCTGTGTCGCTATTGGAGACGCGGAACCACATAATTTTATTGATTTGCTGTGTGTGTCCTCATAATCTTGTGCCACACACTCACACTGCTTTCTCCCCTGAGCAGCTGTCTGCTCGCTAGGCGAGAGGAAAGCCATACACATGCACGCACGCACACACACACACACATGCACGCACGCACACACACACACACACATGCACGCACGCACACACGGCCCACTGTCTTCTCCCGTTCCCACTGAGCGGCAGCTCTGTGCTACAGACAGAGAAGTTTACTCAACAGCATTAAAATGAATCGTGCATGCGGGAAGCCCCCCCCCCCGGCTCATTCTACTCGCAGGTCGGAGGGGGTGGGCGTAATTTCAGACGGCCAATCAGTCCGTAGTGTCGCCTCGGTACCAGCCTGACCGCTGGGGAGAAGGTCTGAAAAATAGACTCCTCGGAACCCAAAACGCAAATCTGACCTGTGTGTGAAGCCAAATTACCGACGCGGAGTGTTGGCGCCAATGGCGCGCTGACTGGGACAGATTAGTAGGGTGGAGGAGTGACCGTTAACTGAGCGATGGAAGACAAACCTTCTAATGCCGTTCCTTTTCAACGAACCTCTGCTCGTTTTGTTTCAGGCAAGCGAAACGTCTTCTGATCCAGATCGTGGAGCGGTGTAGAAACGGACCGGGTTTCCATGGTGACGGGGAAGGCGGAACGGCAGTGCAGGAGATGCTGATCCCGGCCAGCAAAGTGGGTCTGGTGATCGGCCGAGGAGGGGACACCATCAAGCAGCTGCAGGTACGAGAACGGTTCCGTGGTGCCGAACCCGGTTTGTACCCCTGGTTCTGCCTTCAAGTTCAAGGCTGCTAATAAAGGTTCTGTGTGGAACCTGAAGGCTCCCTACAGGTTCAGGTTCTTTAAGAAGCAGCCTATTGATCTACTGGTTCTGTGCACACCCAGACCAGTTTGGTTCCTTACCGTTAGAACCTCCATGGTGCTGTTGCTTGCGCTGATGTTCCATCAAAATGAGACGAAGGGTTTTTATAAAGGGTTCTAGATCTAGTCCATCAGCTTCAGCTGGTTCCTCATCTGTTTATAGTTCAGTTCGGCTTGGTACCAGGTTCCATGTGAGGTAGTCAGGAGGTTCTAGTCCCGATGATGTGGGTTTGTTGTGTTCTTCAGGAGCGAGCTGGAGTGAAGATGATGATGATCCAGGATGGCCCGATGCCTACTGGAGCCGACAAACCGCTCCGCATCTCTGGAGACCCGTTCAAAGTCCAGGTACCAACTGTTCTGCAGATGTTCTGTAGCTGTAGCTTTGTACTGCAGGGAATGGGTAGAACATGGCTGGAAAACAGAGGAAACAAAAACAGAACCCTAAAGGAAGGAAAAGGTGGACACAGTGAATGACGCCGTTGACCATAAATGACCGAACCGCTGAGTCGTGATGACGTGTTCCAGCTGTGTAGTCAGACAAAAACGAAGGAGATGCACTGCAAACTGCAGGTTTTTACAAAGTCCAGGGGTCTCCTAACATTGCGTAGAATCCTTACTAAAACCGTACTTAAGCTCATCAACATAATGTACTTAAGCCAGGCAGGTGTGTGATCTATCAAACATGGAGGACGCACAGCTGCATGCAATCTCCGCTTCATAAATCAGAGACTAACGAGAATGTTTCTCAGCTGCTTTTTAGTCACATCCCGCCCTCACCACGCCCACTTACTGCCATAAATGGTCAACGCAAAGTGCCTTTCGGACCTCATGCATGTACATAAGCCGGCTGTTGCAGCGCTCCACCAATGACATGGCAACCGCAGATCAAGGCAGATCAAGGAAGCGCAATTTCACAGAAGCAGAAGTTGAGGTACCTGTGGGTGAGGCGGAGAAATGAAAGGAAGTGCTTTTGCAAAACTAATAAGAGAAAATCCACGGAGTGGCACAGCGTTGCTGAAGCCGTCAATGTTGAATTCTTCAGAGAGATCTGTGGTGGATGTAAAAAAAAATGGTCCAGTCGGGATTCGATCCCCAGACTCCCGGGTGAAAGTCACGCGCGCTAACCAGTCAGCCAAACGGAGATCTCCCCTGTACAAGTAGCCAGGGCGCATGATCAATCGGGTCACAGTGACAGGACACACACTGTCACAGACGCATGATGTTCTGTCTCAATCTGTCCCCCTGCTGATATTCTGTGCTTCAGGCTCGGTGTGTGTGCACGCATGCGCACATGTGTGTGCGTGCATGTGTGAGTGTGCACGCATGTGTGTGTGCGTGCATGTGTGAGTGCACGCGTATGTGAGTGTGCGCGTGTGAGCGTGCATGCGTGTGCGCGCATGTGTAAATGGTAAATGGCCTGTATTTGATATAGCGCCTTTTAGAGTCCTGGAACCCCCCAAGGCGCTTTACAACACAATCAGTCATTCACCCATTCACACACATTCATGTGTGTGTACGCGTGCTTGTGTGTGTGTGTGTGGGGGGGGGGGGGGGGGGTCTTGTTCTGTGTGAAAACGAAGCAGTACAAGTGATAATGCTGCAGGATTTCATAATTGTACCTTCTCAGCAGCAGCACTGCAGGAGCTCTCCATGTCCAACATGTGTGTAAGCCAGGTCCGTAGTCAACTTAAAGTTGCACACATTTTTCTGCTAAGTTTTCTTTCATAAATCCCAAAGTTTGCGTGGAAAGTTGCTTACGTAGTTTTCCAACCCCGAGCCAGAGTCACCCACCAGAGCAGCAGGATGTAAAACTTTTGTAATCCCAGATGTTGGACGATGCTAAATCGTTGCAGGCAAGCGGTATTTACCAACGGATGGCCATTACGGTCAAAATTCCCTGGGAACGCAATTTTCAAAGGAGTCCTTCATCAGATTGTTTAACCTCCAGCAAAATAAGAACCTCAGACTCCCTTCCATTCCTGATGAGTGAAGAGTTAAATGTTTAAAACCACGTTTATGAATGGTGAAAATGTTGTATCCGTTTGTTACAAATCTGTAAATGCATTTTGTCCTCACAGGCTCCCGTAGAAGGAGTCATCACGTCTAATATGGCGACCGCTCCCATCCATTTTAGTCCAGATTTTTATGGTTATGTTTATGGTTATGTTACAAAGCTGCCAATATTTTTCAACAACTGGGCATCACTTAATTCATTTTCAACAAAATTTGGGTGGATTTTTCCAGAGATTGAGAGTAAAAACTACACATTGTCTATTTAGCCATTTTTACAAAACAATGCCGTCAATTTGCCGCAACGCCGTGGCGGCATCAGGGAGCCTTGGGTCATTTATAAGTGGTCAGATCGTGGCTTTAATGTGGCGTAATCCTGCCCTTTTTATTACAGGATATGCAATGGAGGCATTAGGGCTGGGGTAAAAGATTATTCTGACGGTTATTTTATCGAATAGTCAACTATTCTAATGACTATTTTAGATTATTTTTCTATTGCACAGTTAATAAAAACCAGAAAATCTTTGTGGAATGATGCTGTGAGTAAATAAGCTGTTGGGTCACACGTAGGCTTCATATATATGAAATTGCATCGCTGCAGTACCTTTATTTTGAAATTTACCTGTGATTTTACACTGAAACAGTGTGTGATTTCTTGTCTAGCCCTATGTTAACTGCGGAAATTGCCGCGTCGCTGCTAGTTTGAAATGCTCCATAGACTCTAATGGATTCTATTTAAAGCGGTGACGTTCCGCTGCCGTTCCTCGCCGCCGGTGCTTTCAGCGTGAAACCGGGGTTAACCCACCTTGCCTGCAGGTGGTGGACGGTCGGTGGTGCTTCTGTCAGTGCGCCCCAGGGCAGCTGTGGCTACATTGTAGCTCATCACCACCAGTGTGTGAATGGATGAATGTGTCATTCCTCTATTACACACACACTGTAGTGTAAAGCGCTTTGGAGTTCTCTGACTCAGAACGGGGCTTTACAAGAGCGGGTAATCTATCATTACCATTATGCGATTCACCAGGTTGTCAGTACCAGACAGTAGATCGGAGCATTAATCAGAATCTATTGTGTTTATCTGACCCGGCGTTCTGGGTCCATTTGTGTTCATTTTTCAGGCAGCGAGAGAGCTGGTGCTGGAGGTGATCCGAGAGAAGGATGGAGACTTCAGGTCAGGACGCAATGACTTTGGAGGACGGCTTGGAGGAACTAATCTAGATGTAAGACCAACTAACCCACGGTGGGCTTCAAAGTGGCAGCAGAACCACGCGTTCACATTAGATCTGGTTTGTTTCAGGTTCCAGTTCCCAGGTTTGCTGTTGGCATTGTGATTGGGAGGAACGGAGACATGATCAAGAAGATTCAGAATGATGCAGGAGTCAGAATCCAGTTTAAGTCAGGTCTGTTCACATTAGTTAAATCCAGTGTAAATCAGGTCCGTTTACATGAGTTAAATCCAGTTTAAATCAGGTCTGTTCACATGAGTTAAATCCAGTTTAAATCGGGTCTGTTCACATTAGTTAAATCCAGTTTAAATCAGGTCTGTTCACATTAGTTAAATCCAGTTTAAATCAGGTCTGTTCACATGAGTTAAATCCAGTTTAAATCAGGTCTGTTCACATGAGTTAAATCCAGTTTAAATCAGGTCTGTTCACATGAGTTAAATCCAGTTTAAATCAGGTCTGTTCACATTAGTTAAATCCAGTTTAAATCAGGTCTGTTCACATGAGTTAAATCCACTTTAAATCAGGTCTGTTCACATTAGTTAAATCCAGTTTAAATCAGGTCTGTTCACATTAGTTAAATACGGTTTAAATCAGGTCTGTTCACATTAGTTAAATCCAGTTTAAATCAGGTCTGTTCACATGAGTTAAATCCAGTTTAAATCAGGTCTGTTCACATTAGTTAAATCCAGTTTAAATCAGGTCTGTTCACATGAGTTAAATCCAGTTTAAATCAGGTCTGTTCACATGAGTTAAATCCAGTTTAAATCAGGTCTGTTCACATTAGTTAAATACGGTTTAAATCAGGTCTGTTCACATTAGTTAAATCCAGTTTAAATCAGGTCTGTTCACATGAGTTAAATCCAGTTTAAATCAGGTCTGTTCACATGAGTTAAATCCAGTTTAAATCAGGTCTGTTCACATGAGTTAAATCCGGTTTAAATCAGGTCTGTTCACATTAGTTAAATCCGGTTTAAATCAGGTCTGTTCACATTAGTTAAATCCAGTTTAAATCAGGTCTGTTCACATGAGTTAAATCCAGTTTAAATCAGGTCTGTTCACATGAGTTAAATCCTGTTTAAATCAGGTATGTTCACATTAGTTAAATCCGGTTTAAATCAGGTCTGTTCACATGAGTTAAATCCAGTTTAAATCAGGTCTGTTCACATTAGTTAAATACGGTTTAAATCAGGTCTGTTCACATGAGTTAAATCCTGTTTAAATCAGGTATGTTCACATTAGTTAAATCCGGTTTAAATCAGGTCTGTTCACATTAGTTAAACACGGTTTAAACCAGGTCTGTTCACATTAGTTAAATCCAGTTTAAACCAGGTCTGTTCACATTAGTTAAATCCAGTTTAAATCAGGTCTGTTCACATTAGTTAAATACGGTTTAAATCAGGTCTGTTCACATTAGTTAAATCCAGTTTAAATCAGGTCTGTTCACATGAGTTAAATCCAGTTTAAATCAGGTCTGTTCACATTAGTTAAATACGGTTTAAATCAGGTCTGTTCACATTAGTTAAATCCAGTTTAAATCAGGTCTGTTCACATTAGTTAAGTACTGTTTAAATCAGGTCTGTTCACATTAGTTAAATCCAGTTTAAATCAGGTCTGTTCACATTAGTTAAATCCAGTTTAAATCAGGTCTGTTCACATGAGTTAAATCCGGTTTAAATCAGGTCTGTTCACATGAGTTAAATCCAGTTTAAATCAGGTCTGTTCACATTAGTTAAATCCAGTTTAAATCAGGTCTGTTCACATGAGTTAAATCCAGTTTAAATCAGGTCTGTTCACATTAGTTAAATCCAGTTTAAATCAGGTCTGTTCACATGAGTTAAATCCACTTTAAATCAGGTCTGTTCACATTAGTTAAATCCAGTTTAAATCAGGTCTGTTCACATTAGTTAAATACGGTTTAAATCAGGTCTGTTCACATTAGTTAAATCCAGTTTAAATCAGGTCTGTTCACATGAGTTAAATCCAGTTTAAATCAGGTCTGTTCACATTAGTTAAATCCAGTTTAAATCAGGTCTGTTCACATGAGTTAAATCCAGTTTAAATCAGGTCTGTTCACATGAGTTAAATCCAGTTTAAATCAGGTCTGTTCACATTAGTTAAATACGGTTTAAATCAGGTCTGTTCACATTAGTTAAATCCAGTTTAAATCAGGTCTGTTCACATGAGTTAAATCCAGTTTAAATCAGGTCTGTTCACATGAGTTAAATCCAGTTTAAATCAGGTCTGTTCACATGAGTTAAATCCGGTTTAAATCAGGTCTGTTCACATTAGTTAAATCCGGTTTAAATCAGGTCTGTTCACATTAGTTAAATCCAGTTTAAATCAGGTCTGTTCACATGAGTTAAATCCAGTTTAAATCAGGTCTGTTCACATGAGTTAAATCCTGTTTAAATCAGGTATGTTCACATTAGTTAAATCCGGTTTAAATCAGGTCTGTTCACATGAGTTAAATCCAGTTTAAATCAGGTCTGTTCACATTAGTTAAATACGGTTTAAATCAGGTCTGTTCACATGAGTTAAATCCTGTTTAAATCAGGTATGTTCACATTAGTTAAATCCGGTTTAAATCAGGTCTGTTCACATTAGTTAAACACGGTTTAAACCAGGTCTGTTCACATTAGTTAAATCCAGTTTAAACCAGGTCTGTTCACATTAGTTAAATCCAGTTTAAATCAGGTCTGTTCACATTAGTTAAATACGGTTTAAATCAGGTCTGTTCACATTAGTTAAATCCAGTTTAAATCAGGTCTGTTCACATGAGTTAAATCCAGTTTAAATCAGGTCTGTTCACATTAGTTAAATACGGTTTAAATCAGGTCTGTTCACATTAGTTAAATCCAGTTTAAATCAGGTCTGTTCACATTAGTTAAGTACTGTTTAAATCAGGTCTGTTCACATTAGTTAAATCCAGTTTAAATCAGGTCTGTTCACATTAGTTAAATCCAGTTTAAATCAGGTCTGTTCACATGAGTTAAATCCGGTTTAAATCAGGTCTGTTCACATGAGTTAAATCCAGTTTAAATCAGGTCTGTTCACATTAGTTAAATCCAGTTTAAATCAGGTCTGTTCACATTAGTTAAATCCAGTTTAAATCAGGTCTGTTCACATGAGTTAAATCCAGTTTAAATCAGGTCTGTTCACATGAGTTAAATCCAGTTTAAATCAGGTCTGTTCACATTAGTTAAATACGGTTTAAATTAGGTCTGTTCACATTAGTTAAATCCAGTTTAAATCAGGTCTGTTCACATGAGTTAAATCCAGTTTAAATCAGGTCTGTTCACATTAGTTAAATCCAGTTTAAATCAGGTCTGTTCACATGAGTTAAATCCAGTTTAAATCAGGTCTGTTCACATGAGTTAAATCCAGTTTAAATCAGGTCTGTTCACATTAGTTAAATCCAGTTTAAATCAGGTCTGTTCACATTAGTTAAATCCAGTTTAAATCAGGTCTGTTCACATTAGTTAAATCCAGTTTAAATCAGGCCTGTTCACATTAGTTAAATCCAGTTTAAATCAGGTCTGTTCACATTAGTTAAATCCAGTTTAAATCAGGTCTGTTCACATTAGTTAAATCCAGTTTAAATCAGGTCTGTTCACATTAGTTAAATCCAGTTTAAAACAGGTCTGTTCACATGAGTTAAATCCGGTTTAAATCAGGTCTGTTCACATGAGTTAAATCCAGTTTAAATCAGGTCTGTTCACATGAGTTAAATCCAGTTTAAATCAGGTCTGTTCACATTAGTTAAATCCAGTTTAAATCAGGTCTGTTCACATGAGTTAAATCCAGTTTAAATCAGGTCTGTTCACATGAGTTAAATCCAGTTTAAATCAGGTCTGTTCACATTAGTTAAATACGGTTTAAATCAGGTCTGTTCACATGAGTTAAATCCTGTTTAAATCAGGTATGTTCACATTAGTTAAATCCGGTTTAAATCAGGTCTGTTCACATTAGTTAAACACGGTTTAAACCAGGTCTGTTCACATTAGTTAAATCCAGTTTAAACCAGGTCTGTTCACATTAGTTAAATCCAGTTTAAATCAGGTCTGTTCACATTAGTTAAATACGGTTTAAATCAGGTCTGTTCACATTAGTTAAATCCAGTTTAAATCAGGTCTGTTCACATGAGTTAAATCCAGTTTAAATCAGGTCTGTTCACATTAGTTAAATACGGTTTAAATCAGGTCTGTTCACATTAGTTAAATCCAGTTTAAATCAGGTCTGTTCACATTAGTTAAGTACTGTTTAAATCAGGTCTGTTCACATTAGTTAAATACGGTTTAAATCAGGTCTGTTCACATTAGTTAAATCCAGTTTAAATCAGGTCTGTTCACATTAGTTAAGTACTGTTTAAATCAGGTCTGTTCACATTAGTTAAATCCAGTTTAAATCAGGTCTGTTCACATTAGTTAAATCCAGTTTAAATCAGGTCTGTTCACATGAGTTAAATCCGGTTTAAATCAGGTCTGTTCACATGAGTTAAATCCAGTTTAAATCAGGTCTGTTCACATTAGTTAAATCCAGTTTAAATCAGGTCTGTTCACATTAGTTAAATCCAGTTTAAATCAGGTCTGTTCACATTAGTTAAATCCGGTTTAAATCAGGTCTGTTCACATGAGTTAAATCCAGTTTAAATCAGGTCTGTTCACATGAGTTAAATCCAGTTTAAATCAGGTCTGTTCACATTAGTTAAATACGGTTTAAATTAGGTCTGTTCACATTAGTTAAATCCAGTTTAAATCAGGTCTGTTCACATGAGTTAAATACGGTTTAAATCAGGTCTGTTCACATTAGTTAAATCCAGTTTAAATCAGGTCTGTTCACATGAGTTAAATCCAGTTTAAATCAGGTCTGTTCACATGAGTTAAATCCAGTTTAAATCAGGTCTGTTCACATGAGTTAAATACGGTTTAAATCAGGTCTATTCACATTAGTTAAATCCAGTTTAAATCAGGTCTGTTCACATAAGTTAAATCCGGTTTAAATCAGGTCTGTTCACATTATTTAAATCCGGTTTAAATCAGGTCTGTTCACATTAGTTAAATCCGGTTTACATCAGGTCTGTTCACATTAGTTAAATCCGGTTTAAATCAGGTCTGTTCACATTAGTTAAATCCAGTTTAAATCAGGTCTGTTCACATTAGTTAAATCCAGTTTAAATCAGGTCTGTTCACATTAGTTAAATCCAGTTTAAATCAGGTCTGTTCACATTAGTTAAATCCAGTTTAAATCAGGTCTGTTCACATTAGTTAAATCCCGTTTAAATCGGGTCTGTTCAAATTAGTTAAATCCAGTTTAAATCAGGTCTGTTCACATTAGTTAAATCCAGTTTAAATCAGGTCTGTTCACATTAGTTAAATCCAGTTTAAATCAGGTCTGTTCACATTAGTTAAATCCAGTTTAAATCAGGTCTGTTCACATTAGTTAAATCCAGTTTAAATCAGGTCTGTTCACATTAGTTAAATCCAGTTTAAATCAGGTCTGTTCACATGAGTTAAATCCAGTTTAAATCAGGTCTGTTCACATTAGTTAAATACGGTTTAAATTAGGTCTGTTCACATTAGTTAAATCCAGTTTAAATCAGGTCTGTTCACATGAGTTAAATCCAGTTTAAATCAGGTCTGTTCACATTAGTTAAATACGGTTTAAATTAGGTCTGTTCACATGAGTTAAATCCAGTTTAAATCAGGTCTGTTCACATGAGTTAAATCCAGTTTAAATCAGGTCTGTTCACATTAGTTAAATACGGTTTAAATCAGGTCTGTTCACATTAGTTAAATCCAGTTTAAATCAGGTCTGTTCACATGAGTTAAATCCAGTTTAAATCAGGTCTGTTCACATTAGTTAAATCCAGTTTAAATCAGGTCTGTTCACATGAGTTAAATACGGTTTAAATCAGGTCTATTCACATTAGTTAAATCCAGTTTAAATCAGGTCTGTTCACATTAGTTAAATCCGGTTTAAATCAGGTCTGTTCACATTAGTTAAATCCGGTTTAAATCAGGTCTGTTCACATTAGTTAAATCCGGTTTACATCAGGTCTGTTCACATTAGTTAAATCCAGTTTAAATCAGGTCTGTTCACATTAGTTAAATCCAGTTTAAATCAGGTCTGTTCACATTAGTTAAATCCAGTTTATATCAGGTCTGTTCACATTAGTTAAATCCAGTTTAAATCAGGTCTGTTCACATTAGTTAAATCCAGTTTAAATCAGGTCTGTTCACATTAGTTAAATCCAGTTTAAATCGGGTCTGTTCACATTAGTTAAATCCAGTTTAAATCAGGTCTGTTCACATTAGTTAAATCCAGTTTAAATCGGGTCTGTTCACATTAGTTAAATCCAGTTTAAATCAGGTCTGTTCACATGAGTTAAATCCAGTTTAAATCAGGTCTGTTCACATTAGTTAAATCCAGTTTAAATCAGGTCTGTTCACATTAGTTAAATCCAGTTTAAATCAGGTCTGTTCACATTAGTTAAATCCGGTTTAAATCAGGTCTGTTCACATGAGTTAAATCCAGTTTAAATCTGGGTTGTTTGCATACACGTCTTCAGCACACTTAACCAGCTCAGTGACCTAGTGGTAGAGTGTCCGCCCTGGGACTGGGAGATCGAGGTTCGATTCCCGGTCGGGTCATGCCAAAGACATTAAAAATGGGGCCTGCTTCCTCCCTGCGTGACACTCAGCTGTAAGGGGTTGGATTGGGGGGTTAAACCACCAAATAGATCCCGAGTGCAGCCACCACTGCAGCTCACCGCTCCCCTCCATGGGGATGGGTCAAATGCAGAGATGAATTTCACCAGTGTGTGTGTGGATGACTATGAGACTTTAACTTTTATTAATTTAATCCAGTTTAAGTCTGAGTTGTTCACATTAGTTTAAGCCTGATTAAATCCGGGTTCATTCTTCACTTTAGTGTGATCCTGTAGCGGGTCGGATGTGTTCTGGCTCCTACACACATCCAGTGTAAAGTGTTCACTGGTGTTTTACGTTTCTGTGTTTAGATGATGGTATTAGTCCTGAACGGGTTGCCATGGTGATGGGTCAACCAGAGCGCTGCCAGCATGCCGTTCACCTCATCAATGAGCTCATCCAGACTGCTCAGGTACTAGGAAGGGCTGACGGTTCTGAACATGAAGTGGAACCATCTGGGCTGGTCTGATTCTGATCCATTTGTCTTGTCCTTCAGGAACGAGATGGTTTCAGCTCAGCCCTGCGTGGAGGCCGGGTCAGAGGTCGTGGTGACTGGACCATGAGCTCTCCTAGTCCTCTACAGGAAGTTACCTACACCATCCCTGCCGACAAGTGTGGTCTGGTCATTGGCAAAGGTAGGAACATCAGTTTGGTCCGGTCCAGTCAGGCAGTACTCCAGATCCAGTGTTTTGGGCCAGTCTGAGGCCTGCCAGGGTCAGACTCAGTGAAAGGCTTTGGTTCCATTTGGTCTGGTGTCTGTTTCATTAGAACCCGTTTTTCTGACTCGACACCGACATCGGACAAACCTAGAGCAGGTTCTAAATGTGGTTCTGGTATCGGCTAGCTATTTGGCTCTACTAGGAACAAGTACCACCTTCACTCAGTCTGGGAAACAGACCGCTTGTTCTGAAGCTCGCGGGCCAGAACCCGATCACAATCCCTCAGAACACGAAGTCTGAGAACCAACAATAAGCCAATAAAGTAAGGAAAACACTCAGCGGTGGGAGGAGGAGCGCTCCATTTAGAAAGCCCTTAAAAACCCATTAACCATTCAGTGTGTGTGTGTGTGTGTGTGTGTGTGTGTGTGTGTGTGTGTGTGTGTGTGTGTGTGTGTGTGTGTGTGTGTGTGTGTGTGTGTGTGTGTGTGTTGAGAGAGTCGAGCAGCAGCTTTCAAAATAAAAGACACAAAAAAATAAATGTCAAGTAGTCTGACACCATATGGTCTGTTGGAGTGGAGCTGTTCATCAGGACTGAATGTGCTGCTCCACACACACACACACACACACACACATTAACCAAGCATTTCCGTTCCATATTTTACAGATTTTTACAGGGTATCCGCGGGACCTTAAAAAGTCTTAAAAAGTCTTAAATTTGCTTTTCCAAATTTAAGGCCTTAAAAATCCTTAAAAATGACAAATAATCCTTAAATACAGTTTCCAAAGGTCTTAAATTACCAAAGACCCAATAAACAAGATTATTTTATTTCTATAAAATTTTCATGAATTTCTAGTTAGCTCAGGATTTTTTGTATATGATGTTGGCGTAAGCGGAACTGTACACATACGGTTGGTTGTGAAAGGGGGCTATTTTTAGAGGAGCATGCTAGTGGGAGCTTGCGCCATGGGGAGGTGCAACATTAATGGTAACTGGATGGCTAATCCCACGTTCACGACGTGGTTAGCACCGGTTCCAGACAATAGCTGGAAATTATAACTGAAATTTAATTTTAAAAAATAGCATAAATTTGGTCAAAGTGGCCTTAAAAAAGGTCTTAAAAAGTCTTAAATTTGGCTCCCTTAAACCTGCAGATACCCTGTTTTTAGCCAGAGTTGGCAAACCAACAGAACCTGTAAATCTGGTTCAGGTTCTGGTGGACCTGCCTGTCTTTTTAGGATCTTCGGATTTCATCCATACCTGAGACAGATTTTAACCCGAAGCTTCTCTTGTGCCCTTCCACATCACGCTCTCGGGTTCGCTGGAGTTTTTGACCATTAAAATTGTGTCCACATATTCTAAGTTAAACATCTCTTCTAGCAACGGTAGTTTCTGCTTCAGCCCTCTCCCCCCTCCCCCCGCGCAGCGGCCGCAAACTCACTGATGCGCCTGCAGCCTCTCGGAGTTCCTGCTGCTCTAAACATTAAAATAATTATTTCATTTTCTGTTCCTCACTTCTGATTACCTTCAGTGGTGTCTGTTTGTTGCAACCAGCAGGTACAAAAACTAACTTGTTTTTATTTGACTATTTTTCTGTCCTGTCTGTTTATTATCTTCCTGCATCTCCTCTCAGTCCTAAAGAGAAACTGCTACCTGGGTTCATATATATTCACCTCATGAGTTACCTTTGAACTGCAGTTCTAAAAGATCTACCGACCGCTAAAACAGCGGAGCGCTCGCCGGCCTCATCAGTTAGGTGCGTCACCGAGGACAAAACAGGTGATGCGCCCCGCTCCACAGCAGCGAAACGCATCAGGCACAAATAAAAGACAGAAAACATTAAAGGAAATGAACCGACATGAACGATCGCGTGTTAAATTTGTTTATGAGGTGGCGACACCTGATTTGATAATGTTACTGTGGCCGTGCTCAGGACGCAGATGTCTGGAGCGCGTCAACGATCAGAGCTTTGCATGCGCAAGCTGGTTAAGGTTAGGATGGGGGTGAGGGGAAGGTAAAATTGCAAAAGGCTAAAGGTCACAATTCAGTCAAATGTCCGTTTTACCGCGGGCGCCAGTACGACGCTCTGGCACAGCGCGTCGCCTCCCAGCGTGCAGGGGCTCGTCACCTGCTGTCTTTTCCGAGGACTGCATCTTGTCGGTCATTATCACGTGACAGCGACTAGTCTGTGAAAGGCATAAATAGTCACTACAGAGCAGTGAAGTCGACTAGTTGACACAACCCCTACTGCATGGTCCCGCTGCTCACTTATGTGAGCAACTGTTGTCTGTGATGAAGATGAGCTAGACCACACAGGAGTCTCAGTGATGAACTCCATCCTCGGCTCAGAGCCAACCCCAGAGATGCAGGAGTTTCTGGCTGGAACAGGTGAGCATTACAGGAAATTAAGACTGGAGCAAACTGAGCTTGCATTATTTTGATTTTATGCTCTTTTTCTGCTCCAAAGCATGAAAAGTAACAGGTGAGATTACATTTTCATTTAAGAGAGTTACTGTTATTTATTTTAGTTGTTGGCCTGTGAAAAAAGATTTCACCTACTTACAAACAGGACAGATTACAGATAGAAGAATAGAATAGAAATGAATAGAAAATTCCTTTATTGTCCCTCAGTGGAGAAAGCTTGGTGTCACAGCAGCAATAACATTCATTACAGGAGCAACAAAGGAGAATAAAAAATAAGAATAAACAAGAAAACTTAAAATAAATATACTTAAAAGATAAAATGAAATTCTGAATGTATACACGTTTTGAGGAATACAAATATTTAAAAGTAAGTAAGTAAGTAAAAGTTTATTTATATAGCACCTTTCTCAGATATAAATCACAAAGCGCTGTACAACATGATAAAGATCAGGGCAAATACCTCTAACCAATAAAAACATCAGAAAAACAATAGCAGTGATAAACGTAGAAAATTAAATCATGAGTATAAACAAAGTGAAGGTGTGAACCCGAACAAAGCCATCTTTTTGAAACATTTAGGGAGGGAACGCCTGGATGAAAAGGTGAGTTTTTAGATGATTTTTAAAGACCTCTACAGTGTTAGAGAGACGGAGATTTGAAGGTAGACTGTTCCAAAGTCTGGGTGCAATAGTCTGAAAAGCCCTGTCCCCTTTGGTTTTCAGTCTGGTCCGAGGAACAGCCAGGAGGTTTTCAGATGTGGATCTAAGGTTCCGAGAGGTGGCGTGTGGGGATAAAAGCTCAGATAGGTAGCTTGGAGCCTGGTTGTTAAGAGCTCTATAGGTCAGGACTAAAACTTTAAACTGTATTCTATATTCTACCGGGAGCCAGTGGAGGGACTGTAAACCTGGAGTGATGTGAGCTCGTCTGCTGGATTTGGTTAGGAGTCTGGCTGCTGCATTTTGGATGGCTTGAAGGCGTGAGAGGGAGGTTTTGCTGAGACCAGTAAAAAGCGCGTTACAGTAGTCTAAGCGTGATGTCACAAAGGCATGGATGATTTTTTCCAGATCTGCAGTAGAAACCAGTTTACGGACTTTTGAAATGTTTCTCAGTTGAAAGAAACAAGAGCGGAAGATGGTTTTGACGTGTGAGTCTAAACTTAAATCTGGATCAAAAATAACTCCCTAGGTTTCTAATGTTGGCCTTGGCTGATGGGCAAAAAGAGGCAATTTCCTGCTTGATTTTTGGCTGAAAAGAATTGACATAAGTAACGAATACCACTGGTGTGCTTTATTTAAAATGGACTTGCTCGTGTGTAATTTGGTTATTCCAGATTCTGTGTTACTGCAAAAGTAAGTTTGTTTCCAAATGGAAAGGTTCAACTGTTCATAGCTGTAGATCAAGGAAAATGTGCACGTTTAGCGTCACTTTTTAAAAAACGTTGAGTTTGGCCCAGTGCGAGTTTGAGTTCGACACCACCGCTCTAGTGTGTGGGAGCTGTGCTGATTAGATGCAGGAGGGTGAAACTATGGGGATTAGATTCAAAGCTGCATTATAGGTAGGGATGCACCGATACGATACTGGCACCAGTATCTGCACCGATACCAGTATCACTTGATCGTGAGCCTGCTACCCGCCAGCATTAGCTAATCTGCTTGTAGTTTTGATACCAAACTTTGGACCGTTTGTGCCTCTGTGTCTTTGCAGGTTTCTCAGTTTTCCTCCACAGCACCTAGATCAGCTCATTGTGTGCCAGTAAAAGACATCTTCCTTACATAATTACACGAGCGACATAAATGTGTCTCTGCTCTGATCTGCATCAGATGAGCTGTGTGCAACTTAGGGTTGTCACGGTGTGAAGATTTAACCTCACGGTTATTGTGACCAAAATTTCCACGGTTTTCGGTATTATCGCGGTATTTTTTTAAACGTGCTACATTGTCAGACAACTACATAAACCCTGTATGTCAGGAAATATTGTCCTCAGTTTGTGTCTAAATTTTGCCTAAAATGTGTTATTTTGTAATTATGTTGTTTATTTGTTTACATTTTTCTCCTTTAGTCTTTAAAATACCAATATTTGCCCATAACTTCTTATTTTTGTCTGTCTGATGTGATCATTTTAAAAATATTACATCAGATGATACTCAGTACTCAAGTAGCCTTCTAATCAGATACTTTTTTACCCTTACTTGAGTAATAAACCCTGTATCAGGAAAGTATTGTCCTCGGTTTGTGTCCTTCCAGTGAGCTTTGCAGATGTGGGAAAATGTCATCAGGCAGTAATCGTTGTTAAATTCATAATTATTCTCGGAGAGAGACCAACTCTTATCTGCCCCTGCGAGCCCTGTAATGCATAGCGTCATTTCAACATGGCGGTGTCCGCGACACGGTTTATATGCAGGTAGCGGCGCTGCGGCTGCTTTATATAGCGACTCGTTGCATTCTCCCTCAACCCAAATCCTCGGATCACGCATTTTAGCTAAAACGCTAACGTTAGCTTGCCTTGCGTTGACTTTAGAGTTGCGGGTGATGGTCACGCAGATGTGTCATGAGATTTGAAGCGTTGCTGCCTTTCACAGACACTTTTTCTGCTCGTGCTGCAAACAGGATAGCCGTCTTCTATCAGCTGTCCCTCGGCATTCTTCAGATATCCAAAACATGCCCGTACTTCCGACTTTGTCTTCTTTGAGGGATAATAAATGTCCTGAGCGCTGCCGTCTCCTCCTTTGGCCATTATTTCAGCTTTAGCTTCAAGAAAGTTTTGGTTGTAAACAACAAAGTGCGCATGTGCCGCCGGCAACTTCAGCAGATGATACGGTGGCTGGTAAGGGTCACCGCGCCTACACCGCAGCCACGCTAATCCACCGAGATAATATATTTTTTAAAAACAAGACGGTTATTATTATTGTCAACTTTTTTACCGGGGTTTACCGCTACACCGGTTACCGTGACAACCCTACCTCTGACCCTGCAGCAGGAATGTTCTGGTGGAGGTCTGCTGGACCTTCAGCGCCAGTTTACAGAACCAGTCAGATGGTCTACTTGCTGCTGTGTGTCTGCAGGTGGAGAAACCATCAAGAGCATCAACCAGCAGTCTGGAGCTCACGTGGAGCTGCAGAGGAACCCGCCGCCCGCCACCGACCCAAACACTCGGGTCTTCACCCTCAGAGGCACTGGCCAGCAGATGGAGTTGGCCCGCCAGCTCATAGACGATAAAATTGGGGTACGCAGATCAAACGCTCCTCCTGCCTGAAGAGTTCCCTCAGTCTGACCCACCTACTAACCTTCACCGGTGTCTCCTGCAGGGTTCTGGTATCATCAGTAACGGCGGGTTTGGATTCGGCCCCTTCACCCAGGGCACAGCTGCACACCAGAAGTAAGAAACTCGCCCATCCCGATTCAGATATAAGGTTCTGCCACCGTGTCACATGTCCTGTCCTGCTGCAGCAGGTGGAGGCCGTTCAGATCGAGGGGCTCCTGGAGAAAACTTGGTGTGGAATCTTTACTAAAACAGCTTAAAGAGCAAGTCACCCCCAGCTGATAAACTATATAAATGCGTGTCTAATGGTGCTGCAGACACGTGTAGTCAATAGTTTTGCTCTTTAGTGCATTTTAGTTAAAAATTTTCTGTCTAAAACTGTCAGTGTTGTGCCGTTGTCAGGTAAAAACTCTGCACTGCATTTGAATTTTAATCTGCCATCGATATTGGCTAAGAGGTACCCTAGAACGTTAGCTGGTACCATATGATGTCACAATGTCGTTGTGAGCCTGGCTCGCCATCTGCAATGGTTTAAATTACATGTCATTTAATGAGCCATAAGGCGTGGGATTCCATAGGAAATATGAAATCCACCTTACGGATCTGTGAGTTGTTTAAACCAGAAGATTGGATCTTTTTATTGCAGGGATTAGATAACAGCTTCGTATTCACTCAAACGCAACAGAAGAGAGTCAAGTTTAAAAGTTAAGAGTTTTATTACTAACAAATTAAACTAGACTGCCTTTAAACACTAAATGTATGGTGTAACTAAAATGGATGAGATGGTGATTGGATGACGTGGGATGTTGATCAGAACCAGCAAATCCGAAGAAGCGATTAGTTCTGACGGGAACTGAAGGTGATGTCTTCGCGTTAAGCTTTGGTTAGGAAGTCCATAAACACATGAGACACCATTTGCCGGTCTACATACCCTGAGCGGAGGTCCCCGTCTAGATCAGGAGGTGTAAAGGTCCAGCTTGACCTTATGGTGCCGGAGCATGTAGAAGAAGCCACGGAAACCGACCACCCGTCCTGGGATACGTCCGGGTCACAGCAATTTGTTGGTGTCTGGTGAGACCCAAGCCTGGGTCTTGATGGTTCAGCTTTTATTCTGAAAGGAACTGTTGCCGCAGTTGGAATAGCGACAAATTTTTCAGCTTGTCGTTCTTTCGATTAAAGAGTTTAGATCGGGAACGGCCACTCCGTCACTTTCTCTGGAACGCTTTGAACTGGCGTTAGAGCTGACGTGGCGTAGTTTTATACTTCGGATGTTTTGGTTTATGGTCCAATGAAAAATGACCAAACACCGTCAGAACCACGCCTCCATCAGATCTGTAAGATTCTGATTGGATCAGTGAAAGTAATGTGTCATGTCTTTTAACGCTACGTGAAATGAGTCCTAGTGGTCGAACATTTAAAGTCACAGTACCTTTATATTCTATAGGATTATAATGAAGTAATTAATATTTTGATTTCACAGATCGGTCACATCTTATTTATTGACCAACACTTTGATGGATTAGCTTCATTAAAATAAGAGTTCTTTGATTAATTAACAGAAAAGAGTTCATTCTTCATTCTTCTGTTGAGCTGAAAATAAGCAGGTTAGAAGGAATGCATGAGACTAGGGCTGCAACAACGAATCGATAAATTCGATGAAACTCGATTACTAAAAGCGTTGGCAACGAATTGCGTCATCGATTCGTTGTGTCGCACAACTCTTCCAAAAGCGCCCCCCCCCCCTTCCCGCCCGCCGTTGCGCGCAGACCAGAGCAAGTCAGATCAGCGCGAGGTAGAGCCGGCAGATCAGCGCGAGGGAGAGCCGGCAGACTTGCGCTGCTGCGAACCGGTTCCGCATTGTCGCGCAGCGATCCAGGCAGCTGCTTCCAGCGCACGGTCCATTCTCAAAGTGGCGCAACCAAAAAACTATAATTAGCACACGATCGTTCATGTCCGCACATGTTCTCTATTTTCTGTCTTATTTGTGCCTGAAGCTCGCTACTGCGGAGCTCATCACCTGTGCTGTGGTGATGTCACCTCACGCAGCATCGAAAACGCGCTCTGCGCTTTTCGGTCAGGAGATCCCTTTGATCTGCTCAAAAGTAACTGATGAGGTGAAAAGGTAAGAATCCAGGCAACAGATTTTCTGGAGAATTATGAGGAGATGCAGGAAGATGAGAGACAGACAGGACAGGAAAATAGTTAAATAAAAACAAGAAAACAAAACAAAGTGTTGAAAAGTCAAATGTAGGTAGATTTATCTCCACGACACGTTTTTACCAGTAAAAAACAATAAGTTATACACATGTCATATTTATACATCTGATACAATTCAGATCACCTTCAAAACTCAGTCATACACCCAGGGCCGTTTCAAGACATTTTGGGGCCAAGGCAAAAATCCCCCCCCCCCCCCATAACTGGGCTCCCCAGAAGCCTCTGTGTAATTCATGCCCTCTCCAGTAGTGTTAGTTAAACAGTGTTTATAAAAGCCCCTCAGACATTACTGACATGTTCTAATATTATCAGATGAAAAACTAAATTATCAGACATGCTGTCTCATCTGCTTCTTTTAAAAACTTGCAAAAAGTAACAAAACCATTTGAAAGCCACTATTTGTGGATTCTCTGAAAGTTTCCATGGAGTGTGTGACAACTTATTTTTTCATTGATCCTATCGTCTAATCTCACAGCTGAAACAAGCATCCTTAATAATCTGTGCACAGGAAGCTTACCGATGCTGTAGTAAAACAAAAGGTATAATAATTTATTATTAATAAAACCTTGTTGCAGCACTAAAGCAGAAAAATTAGATTTTGCATTAAATATGCAAAATATTTACATATGAATTGTTTTAGAGCCCTTTAATTGGCAGAATCTGATATTAATTTAGTTCTTACAAAAAATGGGTCCCAACATGGTTTGTGTGGCGTTGCCATAGTGTGACGTCATAGGCACAGATCCTCTGTCCTCTTGTTTGGAAATGGAAATATGATCACCCTACATTAAACAAACTGTCCACCCGGGCTTTTGCGCTGCACAGAGACGCTTCGCTGCCTACGACTGAACGTCAGTTGAGAGTCAGTCTCATGCAGACTGACCAATGAAGAGAGGGCCTCAAGTTAAGACCCTCTCCTCATTGGTCAGTCCACACGAGGTGGGTCAAAGGTTACTCTGGGCGGGTTACGTGTTGTCAGGCATTCAAGTATTGAGTATATTTACTGCATATTACAGTAAAATATTCTGTATGTGACCACATTATGGTGATCCTTGGGTCGTGATGATGGAGCCCTTGAATATTGTTGCCCAGGGTACAACAAAGTGTTAATCTGGCCCTGGTTCCGCCGTCACATTCCCGCAGAAACTGGTTGATCACACCGGGGCCAGACTACTAGCATGTGGTTTTACAACCACAATGTCCTCAGAAGCAAAAACGCTTTTAAAAGGGAGGGAGGAGTCCTAACTGTTGCTGCAGGCGTGTTGTGTGAGAGTGCAGTTATATACTGGTTAATATATTTTTGGGTTCAGTTGCTTTCATGTGGCCTAATGTGAGTCTATTTGGGATCATTGGAATGATCAGCAGCATTTCTTGATGTGACTTTATGGCAGTTGCCCAGGGCATCATTGCAAGGAGGATGACATTCATTTACTTTTGTTTTATTTGGTATTTTTTCAGTCAGTTTTGGAAATAGTGATCAATTTTGATTAATTCACAGCCTATGTTTAATTACATTTAAAATAAATATTAACAGATGAGATCAAACAAAACAGATGAGAATTGCCCTTAAGCTGTTTAACTTGGACCAAGCATTTTAGGTCACAGATAGATGTAGCTTAGGGTCTCTGTCTATACACCTTATAAGACAATTTAGGTGATGGCATGTTGTTTTTCTGCTATTGAACTGTTTTCTAATAATGTTGTGTTAAATAAAGTGAAGGAAGGAGAGAAATAACGTTTCCCTAGCAGTTTTTAAAAATTTCCCCATGTAATCCGATTAATCGATTAATCGTGTCGAGACCCCATCCGATTAATCGATTATCCAAATAATCGTTTGTTGCAGCCCTACATGAGACCATGAGACCATCTCTCATGCAGACTAGTCTTGTGCAGAGGAGGGAAAAAACAGTCATTCCGTTACATGTGTGTATTTGTCAGGGGCTCTGCCCTCTCGGTCTGCCTGGCAACAGCATTTGTTGTATTTTTCAAACAGGAAGTGGGAGTGGAGTAATACTCTGGTAGGGGGTGACTTGCTCTTTAAGCCCAAAAAAGTTAGTTCATGCAAACTAATTTTCTGACCCGTCAAACACTGCAAGAGCACAGCTGCACAGAATTCTCACTTAAATCACGCCTGTCCCAGAAAAGTGCTCGGGTGCTTTTGGTCAACAAAGTATCTTTTTTTTTTAAACAACTTCTTGTGCGGCCACCTGCTCTGTGGCCTTTCACTGGTAACCGTGGCAACCGACAGGTCTAGAAAATGCCGTTTTTCTGAGACGGAATTCAGGTTCTCGTGGGGAAAACGTTTGCTTGCCTTCCAGCCAGCGGCGCCGCACCTTTGCAGGTGGGCCGCAGAGAGGTTTGTGGTGGACGTCAAAAGAAGCTGGAGGAAGATGGAGATGGAGGTGGTCGTTTTTATGGTGCATCCAAAACGGTTTCATCATGGTGCTCGGGGATCGCTGAGATGCTCCAGATCTAAGGGCACGTTTAACCCAAAGGGGCTTTAGTCAGGAAATGTCATTTCTCGTGTCAGTCCACCATGTGTTGCATCAGAGACCTGCAGAACAACCCGTGTGTCCGTTAATGTAACTCAGCAGCTGATGTTTGTGTGCAGCAGCGGTCAGACCTTCCTCACCGGAGTTTGGGGAAACACCTACCAGACAAACTGGCAGAACCCAGGACAGCAAGACCCAGGTAAACACACACACTCACTCTCTCACTCACTGACTGTAACCCCAAAATTCCACTATCTCCGCTCCGGCACGAACTCCACAGCAAAATCGGTCCCGTTGTAGTCAGTCAGAGCTGTTCCACTACTGCGGCCGCCATTCCGCCATCCGGCAAAAATAGGATCGATTCTATTTTCGCCGGACGCTGGAGCACCTCCGCAGTCAATGGACAGAAATCACAACCGCCCAACAGGAAAGGAAGCAAGCACAACTTCTGTTATTTCACAATAAATCGATAAACAAAAGGCGTTTTTTGTTTCATTTGCACAGGTTTAACAACTTTTAACAACTATCAATGGTGGCTGAAGTTTAAATGCACAAAAGTAAGCCATAAATACAGTTTCTACTATCAAAGTAGTCACACTTTGTTGATCCAAACACTGCTGATCTCTCAACACAAATGATGGGCAGATTAAACAGTTCATGTCGATGCTTCTCCCACACAACGGGTGTTTGGATCTAACTTCCGCGTTTATTGCTCGGACTGTATCGCAAGATCTCGAAAATCCCGCGCATGCCTGTTGGCGCACCTCAGGTCTCCGCACCGGAGAGGAGCCGTTGTAGAGCGGGTACCAGGAAGCCAGTGGAAGGCGGGGGCGGAGCAGAGATAGTGGAATTTTGGGGTAAGGCTGTCTGCAAAGATGCTATGTTATCAGAATATTAGTTCAGTGTGTGTGTGTGTGTGTGTAGGTCAGCAAAACCAGCCCCAGAACCTGATGGCAGACTACAGCAAGGCCTGGGAGGACTACTACAAAAAACAGAGTATGACTGAGAGGAGCGAGCCTCTTCCCCAACACACACACACACACACACACACACACACACACACACACACACACACACACACACACACACACACATCACTGTATGGGCTAAACTAAGATGACATGAATCAACAATTTTGCTTCAAGCTTCAGGCCTTAGAGGGTTGCTGCTGGGACCACACACCCACTAACACCTGAGTCAGACATGAGGAGTGTTGGATAGAAGCTAAATTGGATCCTCTTTTTGTGTGTGCGTGTGTGCGTGCGCGCGCGCTGCAGGTCAGTCGTCTCAGCAGAGCTCAGTGCCGGACTACACTGCAGTGTTAGCAGAATACTACAGACAGCAGCCCTACTTGTGGAACCCCACCCAGATACAGGTAACACAGATGGCTCCACCCACACCTGGACCCTCCACTGGTCCAAATACACTAAAAATGATGTCATTTCCTGTTTTTAACCAGGATCACTAAGGTTCCTCCCATCTCCTGCGGCTCGAGGCATCGAATTGTTGACAGCAACCGAATCGGGTTTCTTCTCGAATTTCTGCCACTTCTTCCTTCCTTTTTGTAGAAAAACACAAAAAAAAACTGAGGATTAACGGAAAATCAGCCTCTCGTTTCTGTTTTTTAACCCTTCAGAGTCGACTAGCCTCTGGTCTCCACAGCCTAGACCTGCTTTTTCTGTTTGTTTTTTTTTTTGTTTTTGTCAGACTTGAACTTAAAGATCTATCAGTGTGCTTTGAACAAAACAAATCCAGTATAATCTATATTTTGTCTAGTTTTATTTTTCTGATGAGAAACGGTAAAGACCTAGCAGTCCTAAGTAAGAAAATCAGATTTATTATTATTATTATTATTATTATTATTTTGTTCATGATAATGTTTTAAAGCATGCGTCAGATTGTGTTGACTCAGTTATGTTTTTTTTTGGACATAGATATATTTTAATAGCGTCGGATGGAAATGTGATGTTTTGCCGTCGGATAAAACTGTATTTTGTACTAAATCTCTTCGCCGGGTCTGTTTCTACTCTGATTTTACCTGTTGAGTCGCCATCTTGGAGGTGCAATGACGCGATTGTGTTTTGGTTTGATGATGGTTCTTATTCCTGTATATCATTAGTGATTTCTTTAGGGTTTATGATGTCACGATGAATAAATGATTTATATGCGTTGTCTAAAGCCAGATCTCTCTGTGGTCAAACACAAATTTAATCTGTTTCCACTTTTATTAAAAAAAAACGGCTCATTTTCTATTTTCTTACAGAGTCAAACTTTATTTTTGCCGTTAGTTTGCTTTTCTACTGATTTGTTTGGAGCTAATCTATGAAGAAACTGATGATGTTGGTGTTTTAGCTGAACCGTACAGAATAATGTGTGTTACCTCAGCTGCGCGTCCCGACGAGCGTCTGCTAGCTTGTTGTTCTCTGAGCTGTTTGAACTTGTCGTCTGTTGTTGTTTTAGGGATCGGGTCTTACTGATGTTCGGTGAGCGAATGTGAAAATTAAAGCTTTGTGTAGCCGTTGGCTAACATGCTAGCAGGAGATCTGAGTGAACTGAAGCTTTCGACTCGGCCCGACGGGAATCATTTTAACAGAAATATTGTGAATTTGTTTTACTGACAGGTTTTATAAATGATGAGCTGTCAGGAAATAAAGTGTCTTCAAAGAACCTGCTATCGTTTAATTTCTGTTCATAAATCTGTTATTGTTGTTAGCTCACCAACAATCAAACAGCCTGAGCACTAGCCTAGCCTAGCTTAGCTTGATGTTAGCCCTGGAATACAAATCTAGGTGGTGTTACCTGATGAGTCATTTTTAAGTCTTGGGACACGTCGATGATGAAGTTAGCTGTAAAATGTGGACGGCTTCACATAAGAAGTTAGCTTTGGCCAACAGGAAACGACTAGGCCTACCCCACAATTACCCGCCAAACTTTTGAGATCACTTCCTGTTTATAAAAGCCTTATGTCATCATGATGATTTATCTTATTTCAAACAAAATCTGAAATAAAATGTATTTATAACTCAACACTGGTTACCTGCCTGTATGCACGCGTGGGTCCTCAGAAATACCGTGTACGAAGTTTACACGTTACAATTATAGAAGTATATATATATATAAGTGACGGTGATGTCACCTGTAATAATCCAGATTCTACTGGAGTCGGTGCTCTGTGCTGTTAATGTTTTGCTTTTGTTATTATTCTGAGTGTTTGGTTCTCCGAAGGACCAGCGGGTTGTTCCTGGTCAGAACCGTGATGGGACAGCAGCAGCTCAGGAAGTATAGCGGGTTGTCCAGTAATCGGAAGGTTGCAGGTTCGATCCCGGCTCGACCAGAGAATGCTGCTGACCCTTATCCCGCCTTATCCCACTGGTGGCGGTCGGAGGGACCGGTGGCGCCTGTGCTCGGCAGCCTCGCCTCTGTCAGTGTGCCCCAGGACAGCTGTGGCTACATCGTAGCTCATCGCCACCAGCGTGTGAATGACTGATTGTGTTGTGATGTGCCTTGGGGGTGTTGTAGAGCATTGTGGTGGAGGTCCTGAGTCTGGGAGGCCTCTAACACTAGTATTTGAATAGGGCCTTCACTGAGAAGCTATGATGGGTCATTCTAAATTTAACATGCAGGCTGAAAATAGTCTCCTACACCTATCTTCTGCATTGGCTTCTGATAGAAAATAGACAGTGAAACTTTAGGATTAGAAACCCCTGACCGCTCTGCATCAGGCTGTCGAACAAACCGTCTTCTCTCAGATCTGGTCTTTGTTCCCCAGTTTTGAAGCAGAACTTGGGTCTGAAAGAAGCTGCAGAAAAAACTTGGTTCAAAACCTGAAAACGGACTTTGAATCGTAATCAGATTGACGGACTCGATAGATGGTCAGAACCGAGCCGCTGGTTAAAAAAAAAAAAGAAATTTCAGGTTCACACTTGGTAACGAATGTCTCAGCAGGAGCTGAAGATCTGGGTCTAATGACGAGAACAGCTACACCGCAGTGCTGTTCAACTTCAGCTCAGCCTTCCATTGCTGCAACAGCTGGCTCCCATCTGGAGCTCCATTTGGCTTCCTGAGAGCGACTAGTCGTTACGCATTGGCACCAAAACATCAGGAACCGTCAAGGTGAGAACAGGCAGTCCTCAGGGCTGTGTGCTCAGCTCCCTGCTGTTTACGCTGATCACCCATGATTGTACAAAGTTAGAATCCAACCTCATACAGTTTACAGATGAAACTATTGTTGGATCAGTGATACAGGTGAAGGTCTTCACAGGGAGGTGGTGACGCAACAGGTGAGCTGATGCTGAAACAACAACCTGTCCCTGAATGTGGAGAAAACCAAAGACAGTGGTTGATCCAAGGAAGAAGAAAAGATTTTTTCTATAGCGCCTCTCGATAAAAATTATGAGGCGCTTCACAAAAACAAAAAATATAAAAAAGAATTCAGAAAATGATTAAAAATGAGCAAAAAATTGACAATTGTTAAAAAATGTAAAGCGAGAGAGAGTGAATAGGTAAGAAGGAAATCAGTGGACCCTGAGGAAGGTGGAATAGGTGGGGAGAGCAGAATAAAGAGAGAGAGGTGAAGAAGGTCATACAAAAGCCAGCTTGAACAAGTGAGTCTTCAGCTGCTTTTTAAAGGAGACCACTGAGTCCACTGATCTCAGGCTCAGGGGGAGAGAGGTCCAGAGTCTGGGGGCCACAGCAGCAGATGATCTGTCAGCTTTGACCTTTAGCCTGGTGCTGCACAACCAGTAGGCTTTGGTCACTGAACCTCAGGGACCTGCTGGGGGTGTAGGGACTAAGAAGATCACCACTGTAAGATGGTGCTTGTCCATGTAAGGCCCTATAGACCAGAACCAGGATCTTGAAATGAACCCTGAAGTTGACTGGCAGCCGGTGAAGCTGGAGGAGAAGCGGGGTGATGTGGGTGTGTTTGGAGGACTTGGTCAGAAGCCGAGCACAGGCGTTCTGAACCACCTGTAGACGGTTCAGGGAGGTTCTGCTCAGACACGTGAAAAGAGAGTTACAGTAGTCTAAGCGTGAGGAGATGAAGGTGTGGAGAACTGTCTCAAGTTCAGAGCGGGACAGAATGGGACTCAGCTTAGCAACGTTCCTGAGATGGAAGAAGGAAGAGCCAACAAGAGAACTGACATGAGAATCCAGGGTGAGAGCTGGGTCAAAGGTCACACCAAGATTCCTGACAGAAGGTTTGGTGTGGGAAGCAAGCTGACCAAGAGAGTCTCTGACTTTGGGAACCAGCTTGTCTGGGGCACAGATGAGGATCTCAGTCTTATCTTCATTCAGCTGAAGAAAGCTCCCACCATCCAGGTTTTGATAGAGTCTAAGCAGGTGTGTAACAGCTGCAGCTTAGACATCTCATGGGGCTTAAAGGAGATGTACAGTTGGATGTCATCTGCATACAGATGGTAGGAGATTCCTTTGAAGGAGCTCAGGATGTGCTGAAGAGGAAGCAGATAGAGGAGGAAGAGCAGAGGCCCCAGCACAGAACCTTGTGGGACACCATGGGTAAGAGAGGAGGGAACCTGCAGATCACAGGTCTCTTCATAAGCAGAGAGAATTATCACCACTAAGTTTCTTAGCATGGACAGATGAGCTCACGTGGACCAGCAACAGACGCTGGGACGAGCCAACCTCCCTCCTTGGATCATCACCTCCTACAGGGTCGTGGTGGAGAGTGTCCTGTCTTACTGCATCATGGTGTGGTTTGGTAACGGCTGCACTCGAGACAAAAAGACCCTGCAACGAGTGGTGAGAACCTGTGGGAAAACCAGTGTGTGCCTTCCCGTTAATTCAGGACTAATGTCACACACAACCCAGAACATCTGTACTAGTCAAGGACCCCACCCCCGGCCGTCTCATGGACTGTTCCCCTCCACAGATTAAAAATAAAACCTCGCTGTGCTCTTAACTCTTCGAACCGTCTGCTGTCTCAGAAATTGTTTGTAAAAGGTTCTGGAGTGGAAGCCGAACCTGAACTAGACGCAACACCACAAGTCTGAGCAGATCTCTGATGTTTGCAGATCCAGATACTCCAGGATCAAAGCAACTCTGACACCAGAAATGAGTTATCATTTATTCATGTTCCCGGGTGCAGACAGATGGTCCACTAACAGTGATGTCATCAGTCATTAATAAGGTACTGTAATCACACATCCGACCCCCTCGGCTCGTTCACACAGACATGATTAATGGAACAGGTCTGAGGTCAGGATGGTGGAGATGGGAGCATCCTCCTGGTCCTGGAACCGGACCTGAACGAGAACATGGGTTCATTCGTGGAGAGGGAGGATTCAGCTTTGGGAAACAGTTCTTCAGAGACCGTTTTAAACCAGTCTTTGAACTCTGTTTTTATCTGAGCTGCAGGATTTGTTCTGGCTCTGTTGGCTTCAGTCAGTCTTGCCTCAGAGACCGGTGGTGTGCAGCAGCGTGCACACGCCCGTGCACGGCCCTCTGATGGTGGTCATAAAGTACCGGAAAGAGCTCTGTAAGTACCGCTGAACTGGAGACCTGATTAAACATTAAAGCGATGGGGACCTGGATCCGGTCCAAATGTGTTCCCTGAAGCTCGGGAACCCATCAGAGACCTGAAACGGGACTTGGTCCAGAATCACCAGGATGTCTGATGAGCTTCCATTCAGCTGCTCATGAGGAGTTTAATCAGCCGCGATCATACCACCTTAAATCCACCTTAATATAAAATATAAATGATAGATTTATGTTGTCTTCTAGCTCCCAAAGGGCATTAAACCGGTTTAAACTGGTTAGATGGGATGCTCGATGTTATCATCTGATAACCGATATGTTTTTACTTTCACTTATCAACCTCGCCACAAATCGTTGTGTGTGTGTGTGTGTGTGTGTGTGTGTGTGTGTGTGTGTGTGTGTTGGGGGTATCAGATACTGGTTGAAAGATCATTCCTGTTTTTGAAGCAGCAACAACAGGTGAGCTTCATCCATCCTCTAGATGACTGAATGGTTGTCTGTCTCCTTGCTCCATGGACACCTGCAGGTGAAGCCCGCCTCTCACCTGCTCACAGAGGCAGATATAGATGAACGGATGAATATTTGTGATGAGGAAGAACCAAACGTGTAGATGTTTGTCACCAGAACGAGGAGCTGATTGGTCTTCTCTAAGGGCTTCAGAGATTGTAATGACTTCATTTTCATCAAACTCGCACGCGCAGATCATCTGTTGGTCGGATCTGAGTTCTGGCCTCCTGGTGCTCCTCCTGCGGACCCCGAGTCTGCTGTCGCAGACTTGCGCCAGTCCGGGATCTCTTTGCTCCTGCAGCTGATGCGGACGATGAAGAGGAGGGAGCGCTTGAATTTACGCACATCTGATGATTAAAAGCTTTTTAAAGGCGGATTATTAGTGGCGCACATGCTGCGTCTGTCCGCCCGCATGAATACTAATGAAGCCGCTGCGCCACTTAATCCCGTTAGCGTAACAATATTACTGCGCCATTTGGGCTCATTCCCACCACCTCCCCTCTCACCTCCTGTCCCTCCTCCGCGCTCCGTCATCCCGCATTTCTCTCCTCCTCTTGTGCTCTTGTTTTTACGCGTGCCAGTCACCTGCCGCCCCCCGCCCCCCTCCCTGACTTCCCGTCGTCCTTTCGGGACCAGAGCGGCTCCTCATTGGCCGCATGGAGCGGCTCTAAAGCAGCTTTTTGTTGCTAAAGCCCATTAAAGCGTGTCTTTCTGCGAGACGCGCCTCTTCATTAATAAACGGTCCGCGTGCGTGGAGACCCCCCCCCCCCCCCACACACACACACACACACCTTATTGAGTCAAACCAATTCAAAAAGCATTTGCAGATTTTCTTTTATTCCCGGATTTTTTCTCCTTTCTCTCTCTGAAGCCTCTCGAGACAAAAACGCGCAACCTAAGCGGGTTTGGAACGGATCCGTTACGCGCGGAGCCCCGGAGGCCAAGAGAGGAGCGGGGACCACCGGCTGGGTGCTCCGTGAACCGCCCGGTTCGGTTCGGAAAGTCCCAGGGCCTCTGGTGTGTGTGTGTGTGTGGGGGGGGGGGGGGGGGGGATAAATGTTTAAAAGCTCATAAATAGCGATCGGAGGGAGGAGAGGGTGATAATCCTGTCAGGAGGCAGGAGGATGATGAAGAAAGCAGCTGCTGTTTGGGTAATCTGGATTATAATCCCATTACTTGCTTTGTCACTCACACTCAGATCAAATTCCACTGCTGCATATATCATAGATATATCAGATATGTGATAAATGACCAACTTCTTGTTTTTATGAAATGAAATAAATGAACTTATCAAGAAAAGCTGATTTTATTTATTGTTGGCCCGGAGCCAAATAAAACTCCTCTCAGATTATTCTGTTTGTTAAAATCTCCGCTGGAGCTGCAGCTCTAAACCACAACACCCATTCTCTCACTGATAAATAACCTCTCCGTTTAAGCGGCTACCGGGGTTGTTGGCTGTAGTTGCGCACCGGAGGAGCTGCGTCTAACAGCTGATGATGACGTTTCTGCTGTGAAGGGATGAGAAATCTTATGTCTGCAGGTAAACAACAACGCGTGCAGCTCAGATTATGTCGATCACAATTTACACTTTAATTATTAAAGTGCAAAGGGGCGTGTCCAGGCAGTGGCCCGGGTAGCACATGCCACCTTTGGAATCTGATTGGCCACCCCAGGTGTCACCATTTACCTTCAACTTGTATTTTCATCGTCCACAAAAGGCTGGGGGGGGGGGGGGGGGGGGGGGGCAAAACCGTTGGTGCCACCCCATTTTAACAGATCTGGACTCGCCACAGAACACCTGTAGTCACATTCCTTTGGTGTGTGTGTGTGTGTGTGTGTGTGTGTGTGTGTGTGTGTGTGAGAGAGAGAGAGAGAGAGAGAGAGAGAGAGAGAGAGAGAGAGAGAGAGAGAGAGAGAGAGAGAGAGAGAGAGAGAGAGAGAGAGAGAGAGAGAGAGAGAGAGAGAGAGAGAGAGAGAGAGAGAGAGAGAGAGAGAGAGAGAATCTCACCTTTGCCCAGCGCTAACTGATGAGAGAGAATCTCACCTTTGCCCAGCGCTAACTGATGGGGTCAGCCCTGTCCTCGGTCTCATTATGTCCTAATTGATTGTCTCGAGCTGGAAACGGAGCCAATAGGGTGTCTCCTCCTCCTCCTCCTCCTCCTCCTCTCTTGTGGAGGTGATGCTGAGCCGGTATAAAGCCCCCCCACCCACCCAACTTCTCACTCAGAGCGTCTCGATGCCTTTTCTCTACTTTTTACTTTATTTTCTGCTGAAACAAACAAACTGAAATCTCCCTCGATCACTCTGGGTTCTCTCTCTGGAGTCTTTGGCCACGCATCATCCTCGCGGCCCCCCCCCCCCCCCCACCCCGGATCCTCGGTCATGGGCTCCGTTCTGCCCGCGGGCTCCTCTCTGGCTCTGAAGCCGGCCTTCAAGCAGCAGCCCCCGGCACCGCTCTCACTGGCGGACATCATCACTTCGGACATCCTGCACAGCTTCCTGTACGGGCGCTGGAGGCACGTGCTGGGCGAGCAGCAGCATCACCTGCAGCACGAGGACCGCACCGCCCCGAGCGCGAGCCCCAAGACCGCCTTCACCGCCGAGGTGCTGGCGCAGTCCTTCTCCGGAGGTTAGTGGGGCTCCCGGTCCAGTTCGGTCCCAGTTCGGTCCCAGTTCTCACCTGGAAGCCAGAGCTGCGTCCTCCAGGTGTTCTGTGTGCTTTTGCGGGGACAGTTGGAGACATCCGTCAGTTTAGTTAGGAGCATTTATAAATGTGTGTTTAATTTATACAGACTGTTAAAATTAAACCAGATTTAAATTTGATTTTCGATTCCTAAAGTAAAGTTCGTAAATCTGATGCGACAGAGATTATTTATCCCAGTTTAAAACTTTTGTGATTCTAACTTTTGCCCGTCAGTCAGACCGACCCGAACTCCCTAAATCCGGTCAACTGGGTAAAATGTTTAAAACTTTTAATTATTTTGTTTATTTTTGTTGGTAAACTAAACGCTTTCTTTGATTTCCGGTCTCCTCGCGGCCCGTTTCTGTGGAATCCATTCGTTTCTTTACTCTTTTGTTCAAACGTTGTTTTTTAAAATTCGTTTATGATTTTTATAAAATTCGTTAGAAATAATTTAACTGAAACGAACGGAGCTTTAACCAGATTTTCACATCTTTTAATTGTATTTCTACGGGCTTGTTTCTGAGTTTATTTCCCGCCCGCGGCTAAACGAACAGCCTCTGCGCCGTTCGGCACTTTTTTCTTTTCAGGTTTTAATCTCTGATAATCCTCCAGATTTAATCTTTATTTGAATCTTTTATTTTCTCCTTTATGTCGCAGCTCGTGTCACGGTTTGGATCGAGCGTTAACCCCGCGCTGACACACACACACACACACACACACACACACACACACACACACACACACACACCTACAAGTTACGCTATCCTTTTCGACGTTTTATCAAATTCTAAGTTCCTAAACTTTATTTAAATCGTTTTAATTCTCGGTCGTTTTGCACTAAATTGAAGTTCATCCCTAAAGTTTCTCTTTCATTTTATGTTATAATAAATCTTGCGTCGCGCGCACACGTGCGTTTGAGGGGGGAGTCATTGTTCAGAGCCCAGAAGTGTTTTTGTGAATAATTTTCTTATTTTGTAAATATTAAACGTGTGATCATGTTTTTATTTAGAGGTGCAGAAGCTTTCCAGTCTGGTTTTACCCAGTGAGGTGATCATAGCTCAGAGTTCAGTCCCAGGTAAGTCTCTCTCTCTCTCTCTCTGATAAATCATAACAATGAAACACATCATTATACTTTCAATTTTGCGAAATAGTGTTTTCGTTTTTAAAAAATTACAGCAGGTTTATTTTTATGGTCGTGCTTCGGAAAGCTGGGCGTGTCTCCTGCAGCACCTTTGCTGACGCAGCGTCTCTCTGCAGGAGAAGGCCTCGGGATTTTCTCTAAAACCTGGATCAAAGCGGGGACGGAGATGGGACCGTTCACCGGACGCCTGGTCTCACCTGAACACATCGACCTGTACAAGAACAACAACCTGATGTGGGAGGTGACGTCACTTTAGATCTTTATGACAATCAGCTGTTCACTGAAGTTAGACAGCAAAGGAATGCCTGAAGGCTTTAGCCCATTTAAACGTTTGCAGCACTCTGATTGGACAGATGCATATTCCTGGTCTGGCTCCGCCCACCCGTGTGGGTTTTTGGGACGTCAGCATTTTAAAAGAACTGCGTCATGTCTTTTAAACGAGTTTATAGCATACAGATGACCAGTTGAAAAAATATATATAAAGTTGTGTCTGGTACATATTTCCTAGTTCCTACTGCATGAGTTCAGATGTATTAATCCATGCACTCAAATATAAATGTTCTGATTTTACTGAAAAACTTGTTCTGTAATACTTTCTTTACTATTGTGATCAAAAATATTTAATCTCTTTCTGAGGCTGCTCTGTAAATAGTTTTCAAATAAACAACACACACAGCAACTTCTGATCAATCTGTATCAATTTCAGACTTAAAATAATATATTGATGAAAACCACACCCACTTCCGGTTAAACCACGCCCACTTTCGGGTTGTGTCACGCCCACTCCGAGTACAGATACAGATAATTTAGATGGTTGAACAGATACAGATAGTGGTGTACTCGCTCATCCCTACTAATTACCCCGAAAAATAACCATTTTGTTACTTTTTCATTAAAGAATGCGAGAAAAATGGGTTCCCCTCTTAACTAAACTTACTTAATTTACTATAAATTACTACAATACGGAAATATAAGTGACGGATGACTGGAACATAATAAAATGTGTCTAAACGTTTTTTATAAAACTGAATAATTGAAAGCAGCATTCCCTGCCAGGAGCTGGGAATGCTGCTGTTGTGTCCTTGGGCAAGACACTTAACCCACTTTGCCTAATGGTGGTGGCCGGAGGGACCGGTGGCGTCAATGCCCAGCAGCCTCTCGCCCATCAGTGCACCCCAGGCTAGCTGTGGCTACAGTGCAGCTCATCATCACCAGTGAACGTGTGAATGATGATTGTGTTGTTGTGAAGGGCCTTGGGGGTTGTAGAACCCTGAGAAGTCTCCATACGAAAACAGACCATTTACCATTCCTTCATGCAGTTAATGCATCACTGGTTTGGTGACTTGGGCTGAAGGGTGTGATCGGGACGTGTCTCCTCAGGTGTTCAACGAGGATGGGACGGTCCGATACTTCATTGATGCGAGCCAGGAGGACCAGAGGAGCTGGATGACCTACATCAAGTGTGCCCGAAACGAGCAGGAGCAGAACCTGGAGGTGGTTCAGATCGGCAGCAGCATCTTCTACAAGGCCGTGGAGGTCAGTGAACGCATCACCGACACGGGTCAGAGCTGAGCTTTGATTGGTGTTCAGGAGCTGTTTGTTTGGATCAGAGTTTAATTTTATTATTTTTATCTAAAGAAATATCATCTCATCGACTTTCCTGCAAGTTAGTTTTAGTTTAGAAGCCTGAATGTTTCAGAGTTCCTCGTGTCGTTCAAACAGTTTATGAATTCAGGTAATCAGGTTTAACAGATGAATTATTAATGAGAAACCCTTCCTTAAGTTTCATTCATTCATTCATTCATTCATTCTTCCTTTGTTTCTGTCCAAACTTATTCCTACGTAGTCAGACTTTTCTGTTTAAAAATGAAAAACTAAGTTTGTAGTAAATTCTATTTCAGCATCTAATATCACAATTATTACAATAAAAATCAAAAGTATCGTCTGAAAAGAAAACAAGGAAAAGAGATAAAAATCCTTCAGATTAGAACCAGTTTCATCTGGTTTTATCCAGACATTTTTTTGTTGTTGCTTGAATTAATTAATATTACATTTCAATTCGAATCGGTAATAAAAAAAATTAAGCAGTAATTAATCCAGAGTGTGAAACAGTTAGAGATCCGTTGAAAGAGGTAAAAAGTCAAACGATAAATTTATTTGCACGTATTTAGATTTAAATATTAATTATTAAAAATTTTCCTGCTCCCGAAACCAAATGTGCAAAAATACAAAATGAAACATGTCGGTTTGCTTCAGTTTTAATTTATGACAATTAGCAACAAATATTAAAGGAAATAAAAGTTGCAGAAAGAAATGACGACTCTTTGCATTTGATTTTGACAATAACACACATAACATATATTAAATATATAAACTAAACAAATACAGATTGTGTATAAACAAAATAAACAAACATACGTGATTTAAATATTTATTCATCCTTTCATCGCCTCTGACTGTGGCGCCATCTGCTGTAGGAAACATAGAGCTGATCTCTTTCAGACTCGATAAAGTGTCAGAGACAACCGCGTGTTTCAGTTTCACATGAAAGCAACACATCGTGTTACACCTGCTGTTTTAAAACCAGCTATTAGCCTGCAGAGTCTGCACACAGTTGGACCAATCAGAGCAAGAAACAACGTGGCATACTCACCTCTACGGGCAGCAGCCCTCATACACTGTTGAAGAAGCAAACACGTCCTTTTTTCTGAATAAATGACATAAGAACCTCTGTCTGCTCATGTCTCGTATAAACTCAAGTTTAAATAATCTAAAGTTGATGCCAAAGCTGTTTCCGAGCCGATGTCGTTGCTTTTCTCCATCGCAGCTCTAGAGCGCTGTAATTGGCCAGACACAAAACTGTTGGGGCCAATAGTAGAGCTGCTGAATGTGGAGCGTGGGCTTGACCGACCAGCAGTTGCTCTGGATTTCTAGGCTAATGAGTTTTAAAGGTTCTCTAATCTCACTTAAAGCAGCAGTTTTAGGCATGATAGTTTCAGTACCTGCCAGAATGAGCCGTTTCAGGGCTCTGTGACTTTAAAAAGGCAGTTGCTGGCCACGCCCCCTGATAGGCTACCAAGAGGGGAGAAGCTCAGATATCCGAGTCAGGCTCGGAGTTGAGCTGCTCCTCTGCCATTGACAGGCGGTAGTGGGGGTATGCTAATTTCCCCGTTTGTGAGGTCACAATAAGGGGCGTTTTCAAATGGCTCATAGAAGACCATGATTCCCAAACACCGACAGTAAACAGGTGAACAGTTTTTATTCATGTTTGGAGTTTGTAGGCAGCGGAGACCCACACGGCAGCATGAAAGGATGCAGATTTGCGCAACAGGTCCGCTCTATGAGCACACCAGACTGAAAGTTCTCAGGGAAGAGACTTAGAAAAACTGTGATGAGAGCTAAAACTAGTGTTTGTCTTCAGACGATCCCTCCTGACCAGGAGCTTCTCGTTTGGTATGGGAACTCCCACAACACGTTCCTGGGAATTCCTGGAATTCCAGGAGGAGACGATGAACAGAGCAAGAAGACCAAAACAGGTAAAGTGGATTAGTCCTGGGCGATCCAGTTTACACATAAAGTTGCTGTTTGAACTGGAACTGGTCTGTCCCGGCATCTGTGCGTCCTGACGTTGGTCCCCCTTGGTGTCTGTGTGATGGCTTTTAGGACCTGCTCTTCTTTTTACAGATGACTTCCATATCTGTGAAGGGTCGGCTTCCTCCTCTTCCTCTTCCACCTCTTCCTCCTCTTCCTCCTCCTCCTCCTCCTCTAGTCTGGGGCGCATGCGCTGCGTCATCTGTCATCGTGGTTTCAACTCTCGCAGCAACCTGCGCTCTCACATGCGCATCCACACGCTGGACAAGCCGTTCGTCTGCCGCTTCTGCAACCGGCGCTTCAGCCAGTCGTCCACGCTGAGGAACCACGTGCGCCTGCACACCGGAGAGCGGCCCTACAAGTGCCACGTGTGCCAGTCGGCCTACTCGCAGCTGGCCGGCCTTCGCGCGCACCAGAAGAGCGCTCGTCACCGGCCCACAGGAGACGCCGTCGCTGCGGGGGCAGGCGTGGTGGTGGTGGCGGGGGGAGGAGTCCACTCCCCTCCTCCGTCTCACCCACCGCAGCTGACCGCCGTGCCCCATCCGGCCTCGCTCGTCCATCACATACCCACCATGGTGCTGTGAGCAAGGTTTACCCGCCCATGTGGTCAGCCGGCCAATCACTGACAGCCAGTCAATAGGGAGCCTAAGTCACGCCCATCTGCTTCCGCATCACGGGTCCCCGGGAGAACGGAAAAATTTAGTCAACGGGGCTAAAAACACTGTTTTCTGGTACCGACTGTTACGTTACGGATTTCACGCATGATGCCCGTGAATTTTGAGGACATATTTTGATACGAAAATTTCTGATTTGGAGTCATTCTACGAACTTTTACAAGCTGATGAATCCCAACGTACGTGACTGGCATGACCGAAACTCCCATCGTTAGTTTTCATTTAAATTGCAGCACAACATGAGTAGAAGGAGAAGAAGAAGAAGCGCCTCTCAAGATAAAAATCACGAGGCGCTTCACAAAAACAAAAAATGCAAAAATATAAAAAAGAATTTAGAAAATGGTTAAAAATATATTTAAAATGAGCAAAAAATAGACAATTGTGATTAAAAAAAATTTAAGAAAGCGAGAGAGTGAACAGGAAAGAGGGAAATCAGTGGATCCTGAGGAAGGTGGAATAGGTGGGGAGAGCTCACACCAAAACCTGAACAAGTGAGTCTTCAGCTGCTTTTTAAAGGAGACCACTGAGTCCACTGATCTCAGGCTCAGGGGGAGAGAGGTCCAGAGTCTGGGGGCCACAGCAGCAGATGATCTGTCACCTTTGGTCTTAAAGCTTGGTTTATGCTTGACACATTCACTTTCCGCTTGGTGATGCGGCTCGCGGATGGAACGCGCTTCACAACTCGCAGCGTTTATGGTTCATGCGGCTCGTCTCTGCGGTGAGCCAATATTCTCCCAAACTGTAGGGGGCAGCATGGAGCTCTACGGCATGAATCCAACACTACACCATAATAGAAGTAGAAATTACTGTTTACAACACGGCATTCCAGCATTTTTAACAGCGTCCTCGTCTTTTCCGACAGTGCGAGCTATTTCTCTCCAAGAATTATTAACAACATGTTGATCACGGTGATCTCTGAGAGCTGAATCATACAAATGTCTGTATTTACCAACCTCTGCCATACTAGTTCTTGCCAGTCCGCCATGTTTTTCCGCGTCCGACCGTCCGCATGGTTAGAAAATTAGGTGCACAGTGCGGAAATTTTGGGCCGTGCGGTGGCGCGGTGGAGGGGCGTGGTTGTTAGAATGACGCAATTTCGCCGCGCGGAGCCGTGCGAACCTCGCGGACGCATCAAGCATAAACCAACCTTTAGCCTAGTGCGCTGCACAACCAGTAGGCTTTGATCACTGGACCTCAGGGACCTGCTGGAGGTGTAGGGACTAAGAAGATCACCAATGTATGATGGTGCTTGTCCATGTAAGGCCTATAGACCAGAACCAGGATGTGATGCAGGGCGTAAGGCTGAGCGGGTCAGTAAATAGCTCTTTCAGCCCCGTTGACTTGCATTCGTTGTTCGTTCTTCCGCGGACCCGTGAGCCGACCGGAAGGGGAGGAGACTTAGGCTCCTGTAAGCAGCAGCGACGGTGAATTCTTCTGCACAATCAAACTAAATGAGCTGCTGTTCGAACCCACTTCCTGGTTCTGGTTCTGATGGATGCAGAAACGCTGAAGCCTGATGAACATCAGCTGCTTCTGTCAGAACTTCAACTGTCAGGGTGGTGGCAGCCATGTTGGATGCTGATCAAACCGTTTCCGCTGCGGTTCGCTTGTCACTGCTGCTTTGCCCAGCTCAGTGAGAAGCTTCAGGCTGCTGGGGAACAAACACACCGACCAATCAGAACGGATTTTGGTCCGGTTGCATGATGCTTGCCTTCCTGCCTGCCCTCTTGTGCTGTGTTTGTCTGCATGATCCTGGCCCTGTTAAATGTTTTTGATGTGCACTGCAAGCAGGAACCTGCTTTTTTTCTGGCTTCAACCCGTGTTCCACTGGGCGGAGCCTGTAGGTGACACAAAACAGAGAGCCTTCTTCAGGGAGCTGCTAAAACGTCTTAAAGGATTCTCCGTTCCCTTCTGTTGGAGCTTTCAACGAGTTAAGAGAATCTGCTCGACCCACTTCTCTCGGTCGGGTCTCCGACTGGTCATGGGTGTCAGGACCCGTCTGGACTCTGTCTCAGCTTCTGAGTCCAAAACGAGAGGCAACTTAGAGAGGACCAGGAGAATAAATCTGAATGAAACTAAAATTACGTTTTTGTGACTTAAATGCAACCTGGAAATTTGCACCTTTGTCACATAATCAAGCAGGTGAAACTCATTCCAGAAGAACCCGGTGTCGGTACAGGATCTGCTCGGGTGCAGGATCGGCTCGGGGTCCTTCGACAGCCGATGATGTCAAAGTAGTTGATTGGCTGAACATGAACCTTACGGAAGTTACGTAATCACGTTACGTTGGTCCAGGCAAATCTTTCTGTTGGAAAGATGGACAACTTTTACAAAGAAATCCATCATTACCTCTTTGAAAATACACTTTTAGCATAGAGCTGCATGTATATTAGGGCTGAACGATTAACTGCATGTGCAATTAAATTACGATGTGACAAAAGGAGATTTTCTAATCGCAAAGGCTGCAATTTGGCAGCGAGTGGTTAGCGCAATGCTAATATACATGGAAAAACCCATAGGAATGCTAATGCTAAAATCACCAATTACATTCTTACAAATTATGAATTAGAAACGTGCCAAATGATTACATTTGGAGTCTAATAGAAAGTAAAACTACCATCAATCAAATAAGTACAGACAGGTATTTTAGTAAAGCCAGAAAACTTTTAACTCCAGAGTTTTGGCTAGCAGCTATGAGCGTACCTGAACTACGCATGGACAAGACGTCAAAAACTCTAAACACAAAATACTTCAATAAACGGGACACACTTGTTTCCTGCAAATACAATTTCACAGGTGTTGCTAATACCTATGATCCTTCAAGGGATGTGCTCAAAGAGGAGTTCAACATCATGAATACAATATAGTGTTTTATTTTACAAACACCATTATAAACACAAACTTACGTCGTAAGAAACTTTATTTTAATAACGAAACTGCTAAATTCTTTCCAACAGTATAGATGTGTAGTGTATTTTGTCCGAGTGGGTTTGCCGTACTTTGATGGCAGTCGTAGGACCCCGAGCCGATCTTGCACCCGAGCAGATCTTGTACCGACAACGGTTCCTTTTCATTCAGACGCTCCTTTTTCCAACAATCTCACTGAGAACCAGCGCTTCGGTGCTTCTTGGTGTCAGGTTGGAGGTGAACGGCTTCTCCTGACTCCACTTAGAGGATTTTAAACCTCTGACAAATATTCTATTCCAGGCATCCGAGTTTGGATAAAAATACCCTGAACGGATGGAGATCCGAGTCAGGATGAATGTATAAAACCTGCAGCTATATTAACTGATTATAAACACAAATTTAAGTCCACAGTCACTTTAACTCACATATAAAACATGTATGAAGTATGACCTGTTTAAGTATGTGTCCTAATAAAGTATTGCTCCAGACTCTGTCCTCCTGTCTCCTGAAGTTTCAGACACCAAAGACACGCCTGTCACGTTGCGAGTTAGGAGGAGGTTAGGACCCAAGATGCAGAAAACACCAGATGACACGAAGCAGGAGCGGTTTAAAAGTAAAATCCTTTTTTATTAGGATGAGGGAAAAAAAATCTAAAAGGGCAGGAAGCCAAAAACCAAAGTCCTGAACACCAAGAGAACGAAAGCTCACATAGAGCACAAAACCTAGAGACGAGGCACGAAACAACGCTGACACCAAACAATGGACCGACAAGTCATTGAGACACAGACAGGGCTTTATACACTGGCGAGGATGAGAGGGAGATGACCTGCAGGTGTGTGGAGAGAGACCAGGTGAACTGAGTTACTAATCAGGGAGGAAAACTGACACGACCTAAGAATAAAACCTAAAGACAAGAAGAGCAGGAAACATAACTTAATAATCTAAGGGGGGAGAAAAACCTCAAACACAGATGGGAAAAACACACTAGAGAGACTAATAATATGAACAGCTGTGGCTAAAGGAAAATGACCTAAGAGAAAAACCCAAAGACCAGAAGGGCAAAAAACAGAAAATTGTAAGGGGGAAGCTGAAACTAAAGGAAAAACACTACAGAAAGAAAGGCTACAGGGGCGTGACTAAAGGGGGCCACGGGAGCACAGGAACTGGGAGGGGTATATCTGAGGAGGGAAACCTAGAGGGCTGAAGATCTGGGGAAAATGGAGAACACCAGGAGACACATGAGGAAGACGCAGAACAAGGACACATGAGGGTGCTAGGAGACACAAAAGGAGAACCTAGAGAGGGATGGAGAACACAAGGAGACACATGAGGGGAGACGCAGACGCAGACCATGACAACGCCTGCTCATCAGTTTATGTTTAATATGAATCTTTAGTGCAAAAGGCACACAAACGGGAACATCTCCATGGGGAGAACATGCTAACTCCTCACAGGAAGGCTGCAGCCAGGATTCCAACCTTCAACCTTGCTTGAGTGATCAGAAGCAGTTTCTCTACGTGATTCCTGGAAGTTTGAGACATTTCAGATCTTCTGACCTGGGATCAGGGTCGGATCGGATCCTTCTGAGTTTGTTTTGACGTTTTGTTTGCTGATGGATGAACTGAAGGTCATTTCTGGAAACCTTTGGCACCGATCGATCCTGTCTTCTCGTTAACCAGCTGTGATGTAAAACAGACAAATTGGGACACAGCAGGAACCAGCGAGCGTGCATCTGTTGGGGTTAGGTTTCAGACATGAACCATCCTGATTCGGAAGGTTATGAAAGCGGAGGGTGGGGGGTTGTCGTGTTGTGTAAGATCAGAAAACACAGGCTGTGTAAACACACCTTTGGGATGCACAAACACTCAGACCCGCAGAAAAATCCCCTCTGGGTTCTGACGGTTGATCGACGGGTTTGAGTCTGTGTAAACCAACTTTGTTCTTCAGTAGTGTGTCTGCGAGGCTCAGTGTGAGAATGAAGGTCCTTGCCCTGCTGGTGTGTGTGTGGTGTTTGGGCTGGAGGACAAACGCTGAGTCCAAATCGTGAGTTAACTTTTAGTCTTCTTCGGTTTTGGCTGATTGTTTCATCTTTAAGGATCATGAGCTGTTTAACAATGTGTGTGGGTGTGTGTTGGTGTCAGGGGCGCCCCCAAAATAATCTGATGAGGGTGGCCAGACGGGGCCAAAGAAAATTTTGGGGTGGCACACCTAATTAGTCCTTGTGGTAACTCTGGGAGAGTTTAGCCTGTGGTGATGCATTGCATTGCTCCATGTATCCAAAAAAGTGCTGCACAGTGGAAAAGTGGTTAGAGCTGTCGCCTTGAAGCAAGAAGGTCCTGGGTTCGCTTCCCAGCAGGGGATCTTTCTGCATGGGGTTAGCATGTTCTCCCTGTGCATGCGTGAGTTCTCTCCGGGTACTCCGGCTTCCTCCCACAGTCCAAAAACATGACTGTCAGGTTGATTGGTCTGTCTAAATTGTCCTTAGGTGTGTGTGTGTGTGTGTGTGTGTGTGATTGTGTGTCTCTGTGTTGTCCTGCGATGGACTGGCTCTCTGTCCAGGGTGTACCCCGCCTGACTGCCTGTTGACCGCTGGAGATAGGAACAGCATAATGTTGTTTTTGGATGGTAAAACGTGCAGGGGACAAAAATTGACATTGAAAGAAGTCCATTATATATATACATGTATATATATATATACATGTATATATATATATATACATGTATATATATATATATATATATATATATATATATACATGTATATATATATATATATATATATATATACATATATATATATATACATATAAATATATATATGTATGTATATGTATACACACATACATATATATACATATATATATATATATATATATATACACATATATACATACATATATACATACATATACATATATATATACACACATATGTATGTATGTATGTATGTATATATATATGTATATATATATACATGTATATATATATATATATATAAATACATGTATATATATATATATGTACAGTTCTGATTATTTCTTTATTCATTGATTGTAACATTTCTTGTTGTGTTTTACATTTATTTCTTGAATAAATCTGATGAATTTATAGTTTGAGTGAACATTAATATGATTTATTATCACTGGTCTATCCGGGGTGGGTGGGGGGGGGGGTGTATTTTCTAGGGGTGGCCATAGCCACTCATTGGGGGCGCCACTGCTTGTTGGTTTGTGTGTCTCCCATTCCGAGTGCAGGAACTCATAGCACAAGGCCACTGAGCTGATGTGTGTTGGTGCAAGTTAGTTTGTGGGTTAACAGAATTTGGTGTCGGTTCTGACCCAGACATTAGAGCCAAACTGACGAAGCCCCGCCTCCTCTCTCAGGTATGTGATAACGGCTCCTCTCTCGCTTCACCTGGACGCCGTGGAAACTGTGTTTGTGCAGCTGTTTGGTTACACCTCTGAGGTTCCTGTTTACGTGTTCTTGAGGACATCCATGGCGGTGAACAACAAGGTTCTGTTCCAGGATGTTGTGAGACTGAATAGTCTGAATGGCTATCAGGGCGTCGCCAACGTGAGGGTGAGACAGGAGCCCGGCTAACATGTCAGATGCTGTCAGACCTTGTTTTTGAGCTCCTCTTTGGTTCTGTAGCTGTTCCCGAATAAGTTGGGTAAGGATGTGAACCAGGTGGTTCTTCACGTGCAAACATCTGATATCAACCAGCACCAGCCGATCCCCATCAGCCGGACCAATGGCTTCCTGTTCATCCAAACTGACAAACCGCTATACACTCCAAATCAAAAAGGTGAGTTGGACCCTAAATCCTGGCGTTGATTGCACAGGTGCGCCCTCCGCTCAGTAAACAACTGGTCATATTTCCTTTTAAACGGTTTCTTCTTTTGCTTTATTGAGTGCAGTCAAAGTGAGGGCCTTCTCCATGAACCAGGAACTGAGACCAGCCAATCGCAGTGTCTTCCTGACCTTCAAGGTGATGATCCAGCAGCAGGTCATCTTCTGTCCAAACTTACGGAGACATTTCTGTTAACGCCGGTCTGACTGTTCATGACAGGATCCAGAGCAGGTCCCTGTGGACGTGGTGGAAATGATCGACGTGAACAATGGAATACCATCCATGCAGAACCCGTTTAAAATCCCCGTCAAACCAAAGTAAGAGGTCCACACCGGCTCCACCAGATGCCATGAACGTTATTCCCACGTGTTCCTGCTGAAATCCTTCCGATTGCAGGTTAGGGATCTGGACAATTGAAGCTGCATACTCAGATGACTTCAACACAAAAGCAACAACGGATTTCGAAGTCAAAGAATACGGTTTGGTTGCTGCTTTACTTCAACTGTGCTGGTCGATCAGTCTGTGAGGAATCAAATCTGAACACACCACCTTTCTCTGGTTCCTCAGTTCTTCCCAGCTTCTCCATTCTGATGAACCCACAGACCAACCACATCAGCTTCAGTGAGTTTAGGCGCTTCACCTTCAGGATCTCTGCCAGGTTAGTGGATCGCCCTAATCTCTTCCCCTCGCAGTTGTTTCCGTCAAACTGAAGACGCATCTCCACATGTCGCAGATATCTTCACGGTGCTCCAGTGACTGAGGGGTTGGTGTACCTACGATATGGTTATGTTCGTGGGACAGGGGCTCCGGTCATCATTCCTAAGTCATTCAGCCAAGAGAGAGTGAGAACCTTCAACACAAACATCAAACACAATGAAGCATGATTATCAGCAGCTGGTTGGGACTAACCGGACCAGGACACACTCAGGTTCTGAGATCAGATCAACCAACAAGTCCTCTTTGTTCAGACGATAAAGATGAATCCTGAGGATCAATGGGTAGCTTCTCAGTCTTATAGACTCAATAATAAGTTGTAGGTGAAGGTCGCTCCTTCAGTTTCTGAGACATGAGTGGATTCAGTTTCAATTTCAATTCAGTTCAGTTCAGTTTATTTATATAGCGTCAAATTAGGACCAGAGTCGTCTCTAGGACCTTCACACAGTAAACATTCCAATACAGGTCAGTTCATTAAGCCAATCAGTAAAAAGGTTCCTATATGAGGAGTGGTGTTGGCACTGTGAGCAGCTGCCAGGTCATGCTGAAAAATGAAATCTTCATCTCCTTAAAGCTTTTCAGCAGATGGAAGCATGAAGTGCTCCAAAATCTCCTGATAGCTAGCTGCATTGACCCTGCCCTTGATTAAACACAGTGGACCAACACCAGCAGCTGACATGGCGCCCCAGACCATCACTGACTGTGGGTACTTGACACTGGACTTCAGACATGTTGGCATTTCCCTCTGCCCAGTCTTCCTCCAGACTCTGGCACCTTGATTTCCGAATGACGTGCAGAATTTGCTTTCATCCGAAAAAAGTCCTTTGGACCACTGAGCAACAGTCCAGTGCTGCTTCTCTGTAGCCCAGGTCAGGCGCTTCTGCCGCTGTTTCTGGTTCAAAAGTGGCTTGACCTGGGGAATGCGGCACCTGTAGCCCATTTCCTGCACACGCCTGTACACGCTGGCTCTGGATGTTTCTACTCCAGACTCAGTCCACTGCTTCCGCAGGTCCCCCAAGGTCTGGAATCGGTCCTTCTCCACAACCTTCCTCAGGGTCCGGTCACCTCTTCTGGTTGTGCAGCATCTTCTGCCACACTTTTTCCTTCCCACAGACTTCCCACTGAGGTGCCTTGATACAGCACTCTGGGAACAGCCTATTCGTTCAGAAATGTCTTTCTGTGTCTTACCCTCTTGCTCGAGGGCGTCAATGATGGCCTTCTGGACAGCAGTCAGGTCGGCAGTCTTACCCGTGATTGTGGTTTTGAGTAATGAACCAGGCTGGGAGTTTTTAAAAGCCTCAGGAATCTTTTGCAGGTGTTTAGAGTTAATTAGTTGATTCAGATGATTAGGTTAATAGCTCGTTTAGAGAACCTTTTCATGATATGCTAATTTTTTTAGATGGGACTTTTGGGTTTTCATGAGCTGTACGCCAGAATCATCAATATTAGAAACAAGAAAAGGCTTGAACTACTTCAGTTGTGTGTAATGAATCTAATATATATGAAAGTCTAATTTTTATCGGTACATTACAGACGATAATGAACTTTATCACAATATGCTAATTTTTTTTAGAAGGACCTGTATGTGGATGTCAGTGATAGTCATTTAATGCAGGTTTAACCCCTCCAACACCTACAGCCTGGACTCATCGCCCCAGGTGGTTGCACAGAAACTCACCTGAACACAGAAAACACACATTAGGACCATCGGCGTTAACTACACTAACAGGGCCCAGACTAATGTGACCTCTATGGCCCCGTCAGTGTGACTGACCGCAGCGTTTGAGACCTCCACCCAATTCTCAGAACTGAAAGAGCCTCTTGGATGAGAGGTGCAACATCTTCAAGACAACATGAGAAGTCCAGCTGCGAACGTGCAGACGACCTGGCTGATCTGGACAGAGAAGACTGTGTCTTAGTGAAACATCTTTTGAACAACTTGGTCGTCTATGATCAAAAATGCCTCCAACCTTGTCTGTTTTATAGATTTTGAGTGAGATCCGTTATCATTCAGAGTGGGACGGTTCTCTAAAACGTCCTTTTGTTGGGAGTTCAGGTTCTGTGATAACTGATGCTAACCCTACTCAGATAAAGTGTGACCTTTAGCAACGCTTGTTCCTCAGCTGTCGCAGACAGGGGAAGTGGACGTGACCGTTGACATGCAGAAGGTTCTTCAGAAGCACGATGGACCCAAAGACATCAGCAGCCTGGTGGGGAGTTATCTGTACATAGCAGTGTTGGTGAAGGAGGACACGGGTACGCTCTGACACCTTCACACCAGATCCTAACCCTGACATTCACTCACGTGCCTCTCATCACACTTCCTCTCTCAGGTGGCATCACCCAGGAGGCAGAGTTTGCGTCAGTAAAGTTCGTCAGGTCACCGTACCACCTGAGCCTGATATCCACTCCTCCATTCATCAAACCTGGACTTCCTTATAACATCAAGGTTTGTCTAAACCAGGTTGTTTTCTGTCCTTCTCTGTGAGACGGCAGGTGAACGAAGCCCTCTGGGGTCCGTGGACGCGTGCGTCTCTGCGTCTTTTGAACAGGTCTGATTTGGGACGTTGTAGCAGCAAGACTCCGCCTCCCTGAGTTTCGGTTTCAATTTAGCTCCAAGGAGGAGATTATAAACTACACCCCAGTTTGTAAATTTTGTTAATGGGCAACGTAAAAGCGGAGTTATACTAAACTAAAAGATGACCTATTTTTAGACAATCTGATAACTTGTCAAAACAGCAGTTTAGTAATCCGTGAGAGGGAATGTGCTTGTGAACATAAAAAACCCACAAAAACATGAGATCCTGTTGCTGTTGGAGGACGTCTCACATGTTCAGCTGATAAAAAGCATCATTATGTAGCTGAGAGAGAGAGGAAGGCCGCACGAGTAACGAGATGTGCGCAAAAAGGAGCCGCTTGGCGGGAAAGGAGCGGCGTGAACGGAGTAACAACAAACAATTAGACAGATATTGATGGTAAACTTCATATTTTGGAGCGATCCGGACAGATATATTGTCTCTGCAGTTTAGTAGGCTTTAATTAGGCTTATATAAAGGATGATGAGAAGGATAAATGTCCACCAGGCAGTTGAACTGGAAGCAGAGGAAGTGGACGGAGACTCACAGCCGGAGTCTGAGGCAAATAGCGAGGATGTTGATGACGATGTGGCAGATCCATCCTTCCTCCTAGAAGAGTTGGGTCATGATGAGGTAGAGGATGAAGGCAGAGATCCAGATCCTCGGAGATCCAACGAGAGGAGTGGGCGGCGCCGCGCAGCTGTCAGATCTCGGCGTGAGACAGAGCCACCCCCCACTCCAAAATGCATGTACATTATTGCCAAATTAATAAAATAAGTATACATTCAAATAGTCCAGGTTGTCCTGAAAAAATGATACCCCATAAGGCAAAATTTATTGTTTTTATTTGAAAATACAAAAGAAAAACCAAAATGAGTCAAAAACGGTGATTTACACCCTGGACCCATGAGGGCTAATAATTTTTTTTTTAATTTTTTATTTGCTATATTTAGGCATATTTTTTATAAATGTACAGTCTAGATTACCATTCTAAATTATAAAAAACATTCGTAATAAATGTTTGTTGGTTTCACAGTAAAATAAACAACTTTTTTCCAATTCGGATTTTATGTTTATGAGTGATTTAAGGTCTAATATGCAACCCCTTTATGTCCAAATATAAAAAATAAGTATAAATTCATAAAGTCCAGGTTGTGCTGAAAAGATTAATACCACACAAGGCAGTGGTTATGGCTTTTATTTTGGAAATACAAAGGAAAACTCTAAATTAGTCAAAAACAGCAAATGACACCCTGGACCCCAGAGGGTTAACAACTAAAGTGTGTCTCGCGGTTTCTTTTATGATTTTTAACATCTATAATGTTTCATCTGAATCATTTTAAACGCACCTGACTTTATTCTCTAGTGCTGCTGCTCAGTCAGAGGAGAAGACAATACACGTTTTATAGCTCAGATGTCTAGAAAACAATCAGGAATTAGCAGCCGGACAGAATAGTAGCAGTTGGCGTTAGCATGTTCTGATGGTTCAGGTCGTGGTGCTTTATGGTCTTTTTGCACCTTTGTTGTGAAAAACATGACAGCTTTTAACCCTCTGGAGACAAAATCACTCATAATTAGTTCACCCAATCCCAAACCTGCTAGGTGCAGGCAGGCAAGACTTTCTGCTTCAGGGGGTGTGCTGTTGCAGCTTCCAGGTGCACAAAGTTGGGCAGGACACCCACTGGATTTGAAAACCCTCTGGTGTTCCCTTGTGTGTTACTTTGAGGCTTGGCTTCTGGTCATGACACCTTCTTTGTAAATACGACGTTGACGGTGGCACAGGAGCTAAGTGCTCGCCCCGTAATCGGAAGGTTGCAGGTTTGAGCCCCGCTCAGTCTGTCGCTGTCGTTGTGTCCTTGGGAAAGACACTTAACCCGCCTTGCATGCTGGTGGTGGTCGGAGGGACCGGTGGCGCCTGTGCTCGGCAGCGTCGCCTCTGTCAGTGCGCCCCAGGGCAGCTGTGGCTACATCGTAGCTCATCACCACCAGCGTGTGAATGCGTGTGTGAATGGGTGAATGACTGATTGTGTTGTAAAGCACAGAATGTGTGTGAAACTCCCTTTTCAGCACAGCAGCAGCAATTTTACATGAAAACCACCTGAGACACGCCTTGCATTTTTATGTGAAACTTGCATTTAACAGCTGTTAGCTACATTTGACCTTTTTTGTTTTTACTCACACGCTATGTCGAGTTTCATTCTGAGTGCCGACAACGGTTCGTTACAAATGTGGTCATTTTTTCTACTCGGATTTAGATTTTTTGTTCACATTCAGGTTCAGCTAATGATGAAATGAAAAAAACGACTTTAAATTTGCCGAGGTGAGGCTGTGCTGAAAAGAATGACACCAAACAAGGCGCAAACAATAAATACTAAAACTTGTCAAAGTGGTCATTAAACCACCGACCGCAGAGGGTTAATGGACCAGGTGACTCGTTTCTAGGGTTCTAGATGGTTAAACGTCTAGCAACAGAGCACAGTGAACGAATGGATGAACACAGCTTAGATAAACCTTCAGTTTACCATTGAGGTGCCTGTGTCTGCAGGTGTTGGTGAAGGATCACCTGGACAAGCCGATGAGCAAGGTTTCAGTGCAGCTGACAGAGAAACAGCTTGTAATGAATGGAGGGTCGACCGTGGACATGTCCTGCCAGGGCAGTGGTGACAGCTCATCTGATGGACTGGTGTATTTCATCTGCCACCCTCTAAAGAATTCAGCCAGAGCAGTGTTGAAGGTGGGTGAGATCTTCCTGTTCTGAAGATTTGTTCTGGTCTTGTTTCTGACTGACTTCTCTGCTGTCTTCTGATTGTTGCCGTCCCAGTTTCAGACAGCAGACCCCACCCTCCCATCATCTAGTCAGGCCAGTCTCACACTGGAACCAGTGGCCTATCAATCCCCAAACCAGCGCTACCTCTACATCGATACACCGATGTTTGGCCGAAGCCTTGAGGTGGGGAGATACACGAACATCCATGTGTACACGGCCACGCCCTCCTACCTGAACATTAGAACTCTCAACTACCTGGTGAGCAGACGGTGTTACGTGTTGATATTTGTCTTGTTTCTATTGTTACCAAGGATGTCACTTCTGTTCTCCCCCAGGTGCTTTCCAAAGGAAAGGTGGTCTATTTCAGAACTTTGAATTTTGTCAACACCTCTGACAACAAGCAGACTCTAAACTTCCAGGTGACATCCTCCATGGTGCCGTCCATCCGGCTGCTGGTCTACTATGTCCTGCATGGAGAGGGGACCACCGAGCTGGTGGCTGACTCTGTATGGATGGATGTCAAAGACAAGTGTCTCAACGGACTCCAGGTACTGCAACACTATGCAGTTGGACTCCATCTGTGGACTTCATGAAGCCTAAATCCCAGATTTATTATAAAAGCAATTTGTTCACAGCGCTGATCCTTAACTGTCCTAAAGTACAACAAAACGGTGGTGAAACGTAATTTGTTTGAGAGGTTTCCAACATTTCACAGAACTCTGAGGTGGAATGATTCAACTGAACTCAGCTGGTTCTGTTTTTTCAGATGGATGTTTCTTTACGTTCAGAAACCCATAAACCAAAGGACAACGTTAACCTGGACATCAGAGCCAATCAGGATGGTCTGGTGGCCCTCTCTGCTGTAGACTCCGCCCTTTTCACCCTACGACCCTACTACAAAGATCCTGTTTTCACAGTAATCCTACAAAAACATTCTGTCATACCAGAGAAAGCATTTGTCTTTGAGTTTAGCAACAAATTGCAGTTCTGCAACAGGTTCTACGGCACATCGAGAAGACTGACCAGGGCTGTGGAGGGGGCGGTGGCAAAAACAATGCAGATGTCTTTCGATTGGCCGGCCTTACCTTCATGACCAATGCCAATGCCCATCCATTATCCAGCAGTATGTCAGTCAGTCAACATATCAATTGGTCAATCAATCAATCAATCAATCAATCAATCAATCAATCAATCAATCTCCAGAGGGAAGCATTTGAGATTGAGTGACAGCTGCCTTGTATGTTTTCAGCTGAACCTTGCACGGCAGTGGTGCGTCCCAAACGTGCTTTAAGTCAAGAAGAAATAAACAACAAAGGTAAACCTTTGCAATCTTTTTATCTTCAAAGTTCCTGATTAGTTCTTCGGTACATTCCTTATCGATTGTTGATTCACTCACTGACTGGTTTCTATTTTTAGTTCTTCAGAAACCTTCACAAGTCAAAAAATGAAAAGAAAAGATAGTCTGGATAAATGTACCATCCAGTAGAAACTCTGACCTCCCAATGACACAAACCCCAAACTTTTAATCTGAAAGGGTCTGATTCCTTCTCTGAGCCGTAACTCAAATCGTGTCTCAATCCAGCCAGAAGGTATGGTCGCTTCAAAACGTGCTGTGAGAGGGGGATGGACTACATCCCAAAGAGTGTTACCTGCGAAAGGTATGCCCAGCAGCGTTTAAGGAGTAAGCCACCGGCTGATTGCATTAAGGCCTTCAGAGAGTGCTGTGAGTTCTTCCAGCAGAGTCAGGATCAGAATGATGTAATGGTGCTGGCACGTACTGGTGAGTAGCTATGGATGCCAACCTTTATCGAGTAATCCAGCATGCCCAGAATGACCCACAGTGTCACTGATGTCTGTGTGTCTGTTGGCAGCACTGGGAGCAAACTTTGACCTTGCGCCCATGGTACGAAGCTACTTTCCAGAGAGCTGGTTGTGGGAAGTGCAGCGCACAAGGTGACGTAAATCGAACACCCCCTAGGGACCTTGAAATATGTTAGTCACAGCTAGTCTGATCTATGGGAGCCTAAGGGTGTTTCTCAATGCCAAGGAACCTCGCCTTGATGTCTTGGCCCCGCCCCGGTTGCCTAGGAGATACGTCATCAGGAGCCACCAAGACGTGTCCCAATGTTCATGTTCTACCGAGGCGTGTGTTCTCCGTTTGTTAGCCGTTTAGCTAGCTGAGCAAGGACACACGGGAGGTGTCTTGTAGCCTAGCCTTGGTCAAAAATTACCCAGAATACACCGCGGTATTTTCAAAAGGACGGCAGATCAGAAGCCGGCAGCTATTTCGGGGACAATTTTCAAGTTTAAAAGTAAGTCAGCTAATTTAAAATGTTTTTTTTTAGATCCAAAGAAGTTATCTATGGTTGGTTAGTTGCTTAGTAGCTGCAGCTTCGGTGGCTAGCGGGTAGTAACTCACATATATTTTTAATTTAATAAACATATACACAATTTAAAAAGTAAAAGCTCGTTATATATTTATACTGAAACTAATACATATAAAATATAACGATATCTCCCGTGTCACGTGACGTGACTGCCGTGGAAGCTGCGGTCACGTGATGCAAGTCTGTTCCATTTAACCGTTTTCTTTGACCAAGGATGGACAGTGTCCTTGAAGCAAGGCGCCTGGCCTCGCAAGACATCGCCTTGCAAGGCCAGGCGCCTTGCAAGGCGATGTCTTGCGAGGCCAGACATTGAGAAACACCCCAAGTCAAGCCCATCTATGACGGGTCATGGCAAGGCAAGGCAGCTTTATTTATATAGCACATTTCAAACACAGGGGCAATTCAATGTGCTTTACAATTAGCATTAAATGGCAAAACAACAAACACGAGAACACCAATTAAAAATATACACAGATAAAATTATAATTTAGAGCTAAAAGAAAAAGACAGAATTAAGATGATGCAGTCCCCCATGGGTCCCCTACTGCCAAATAAACAAATGGGAGTCTATGAGCAGATAAAATTATGTTTCGATCTTGTTTGTTAGGTGCTATGAATTTCACATAAGATGTATGTGAATTTTAAAGACACATTTTGATCCCAAGAAATCGTTTTTTTTTGTTTGTTTGTTTTTTTTACAGGCGACAAAAGTTCTTTTAGGTTTTGTGTTAAAAGTCGTAACGGACTACAAATGCGCTTCTCATAAAATTGACATAATTGAACCAGACATGAAAAAGAGGAGAAGAAAAATGGCCATGGGTTTAGCAAGCTTAGAAACCTTTCAGGACAAAAGAAGGAGCATTAAACAAGGTGAAACCCACTATAAGTCTAGCCATGTGGTAATAGCAGCTATGCTGGGGGGTAGAAGAGATTCTACGGTAACGTCATTCGTCCAACGTCTGAATGGTAGAAATTTTAATAAATATTTTCATAAATCCCAAAGTACGTGATTGACATAGTCGAAACACGCATAAATACTTTCATTTAATTTGAAGAACATATGTGTGATTCAGGGCGTAAAACAAAGCAGATAGCTTTTATACCCCCTTCACTTGCAGTCTTTGCTGTGGGGACCCATGAACCCACCGGAAATGACGAGACATTCCCTATACGCTAGTCCAGGGGTCGGCAACCCGCGGCTCTGGAGCCGCATGCTGCTCTTCCATCCATCTGATGCGGCTCTCTGTGCTTGTAAAATAATGAATGGATATTTAAATAAAATGCTTTATATTTTACTGCATTAATTTTACATCTGTATGCCAATTCTAAATGTAAAGATTGTCTGCGTAAACCTGAACAGTTCCAACCTGGTTTTACTGTGAGACCGGGTTGACGGGTCACGCTTGTGCGTAATCATATAGGTGCTTTCTGAGCTGAAGAGGATGTGAGATTCTGGGCTTCTCCTCAGACGACTCCTGGATGTGTTGCCACATTTGAGACCGGAACAAGTGCTATTCAGCCAAAGTTTCATAATCAGGGAACATTTTCTAAGTGACAAGTCTCTCTGAGAGACCGGGTTTAGAAAACACTCGCTTCAGTCGGAGGAGTCTTCCTGCATGCGCTCTGGTTCTGCGACGCGCTCCAAGCCCCTCTCCACATCTTCAGCTCGCTGTACGCCGTACGTACGCGCTGACAGTGAGCTGCGCTGAGCAGTGTCCAGCTCAGATGTTCAGATGGGAATCTTTTCTTGGGCGATTTAGCTACATCTGTGCGAAATGAATAAAATGTCAGTTCGTCTGCATGCGTCGGGGTAATTCTTTCTATTCTTTCTCCGTCAAAATAAACGGCCAAATACGGGAACTATCCGGTCAACACAACACAAGCCCTGCTTTCAACTGTTCTGTTTTCTTGTGAAAATTGTTGCAGAGATATAATTTTACTTGATTAACACCAGAGCCAGGCGCACTGCGCCGTTATCTCCGACACCGTAAATGAGGGAAAAACAAAATGATCGGATCCTTTTCTGACCTTCCCCACCTACAAAGTTTAATTACAACAATCAAACGTGACAGAGCCTGGATTTGTATTCTGAACAGTCTAAACATGTTTTAAAAAGAAACGTATGACAAAAGTGGCACCTGCTCAGTAAAACCACCAACAGGGTGAAAAATATCAAAATATTGTAGGCAGAGACGGGCTACAACTTCTGGATCCACTTTATATAAATCGTTTTATTGATTATCGTCTTATGAAAGATAACTTTGATGTTCACGAGCGACCGGTACCGGCTGCTGTCACCTGTTGTGAGCAGCACTCTGCTGTCTGAGGGTAGGCCCCGCCCACAACGCCGCGGCTGCTGTGGCTCCCAGTGTTTTCTTTACTGTGGGAAACGGGTAATAATGGCTCTTTGATGGGAACAGGTTGCCGACCCCTGCGCTAGTCCAAGGTAGCAGCTAGTAGGCACTAACAGCTAGTCCAAGCTAGTAGGAGCTAACAGCTAGTCCAAGCTAACAGCTAGTTGGAGCTAACAGCTAGTCCAAGCTAGCAGCTAGTTGGAGCTAATGGCTAGTCCAAGCTAACAGCTAGTCTGAGCTAACAGCTATTGACCCTTTGCACCAATGTCACCTAATCACGTGGGTCCACCATGGTGGACGGCAAAAGCATGTAAACAGTGAGCGACACGATTACTAAACAAAGGGAAAAGTAGAGCCTGAAATTATTTTTGCAATCAAAACAAAAACAAAACTCCTCCAGCATTCCTTCCACTAGTTCATGCCCAGTTCAGTTAATAGAAGAAGTAGCGCATCTAGCGGGGCTCATAGAGAGCGGTACGCTAACTAGCTTACCAACATTAGCTTACGTTCTCTCTGCAGCTGTTCACCGATGTAAACATGTCACTGACTTAGCCTAAATTCACCCCGCTGGATTTATAACTTTATGTTATAAACCGCGTTTCACTTCACACCAAAGCTGATTGTTAAAAAGTCTGGATCCCTACCAGCTTCTGTTGCTGGTGGTGTTACCGGGTTCAGCTGCTGCTCTCACACCGGAATGAGAAGATCTCCGAACGCCGACGCTCATATAAATAAATAACATCATTTTAACACACGTAATGATACATCGGAGCTTTAATATTGTTAATAATTGTCTCGCTTTACACTACAGTGGACGGAGCGCAGCCTCCGTGGTGAAATACCCATCCATCAGGATTGTCAATAACTAGTATAAACACATCACATTTATCTCTGTCCCTGTCTTCCTCGTGAAATAATTGAACGTTAATCTTACCCGGTAAAAACATGTTCGCTGCTAATCTGAGGGCTGCTAGTCCGCTTGATTGATCGCTGCAGTTCATCTCCGTCCTCAGTCTCCATCAAAGTTATTAAAAAAACAAAAGGAGTTGAGTTTACGTCCTCGTCTGTTAGTGCAGCCGACCACGCAGCAAGCTAAACCATTTTACTGTCAAATCTGGCTTGTTTTGACTAGCTTCACTGGAGTTTCTACGGGTGTAAGCGGTCTTTTTGCCGTCCATCATGGCGAAGGGGGCGGCCACATGAGTGGCGTGACGTCACGTGCAAAGGGTCAATACAAGGTAATGGCTGGTAAAAGACGTTTTCGTGTTTCTGTCCTCAGCTCAGGCCAGCTGCCCATCAGAAAGTCCCTTCCAGACTCTTTGACCACCTGGCAGATTAAAGCTGTTGGAATGTTCCAGAATGGTGGGTTCCTGATCTCCAGCGTCTCCTTCCTCCTTTATTCCACCTTCCCGAGGGTTTGAATCAATGCAGTTAGGGATACTTTAGAATCTGTAGAGCCTTATCCGGATCACTTCCTGTCCCTCAGAGGTTGTGAGTTGGAGGAGCCTCTACAGGAGGACCAACGTGATACTGGATAAATCTGGTTGTGTGTTCTTCAGGCATGTGTGTCGCAGATCCTGTGGAGGTGTCGGTCAATCTCCCACTCAGCGTTGATGTCCCGCTGCCCTACCAGGTGGTACGAGGAGAACAAGTGGAACTGCGAGGCTCTGTGTATAACCAGAAGGAGGACAGCATCACGGTAACACAACCAGAGGTTCTACTACATATCCCACAGTCTCGGGGATGAGTATTGAGTATTGTTTCAGTTCCTACTGATCAACTAAAACATCTGTTACCATGGTTACATGAATAATTAAAAAATGATAACAAATGTGTGAGAGTTCCCCAGAGTCCGAACAGATGTGGACTCGGGTACTGAGACTTGGGGTATCCCATCTGACTGCTGCTTTTCCTCCATCAGTACTGTGTGACACTGACGGCGGGTCCGGCACTCTGCCTGCTGCAATCCCACCCAGTTAATGACGCGGGGCTACACTCTACCACCTGCACTTTTCGCCACCTCCTTGCAGGCGGGGTGGGTGTGGTGAACTTCACTGTGCTGGGCCTGGAGCCTGGAGAACACACTCTTACCTTCACCCTGAAGACACGGGCAGGAGTTGCAGACGTGGTGGAGAAGTTGCTGCGTGTGGTGGTACGTACCTGGGCCTGGGCCAGAACACCAACTGGGGTTTGAAGTTTACTGCTAACCGGTGGCTCTAATTGGTCCTGAGGTCCAAAATTCAGGTCAGAACTGAAACCACCAAGGCTCTGGCCCAAATGCTATAGAACCGGTTCTGAAGAACAGAACCTTTGTAGACACAAATCGGAAAGAGTTAATGTTTGAAAAGAGTCACTATAGCTATATGTGGAATGGAGTCAGTGTCCAAGCCGTCAAGAACCTGATCACAATCTTGTGAGTGGACCATGGCTGGTACCATTTCTCACCACAGTTTTGGATCTGCTTTCAGCCTGAAGGAGTCAGACAGGAGGTGAATTTTGGGGGGATCCTTGACCCACAGGGACTCTATGGTAAGTGGACTCCCTTCAATCCTGGTCCGGTGTAGCGTCATGAATGGCCTCTAATTTGTGACAAAGGTCACATTTTCCCAGCTGGGTCAAGCTGGGTCGAACTGTAACTTTGCCCCAGATTAACCCGCCAGGAGCCGTGATGTCTGCTGAACACCATCTTTATCTGCTGCTGTTCCGTCCCAAGATGAAGGACACTTCAAGTTTCACAATAATAATTTTAAATAATAATTTTAATAAACGCTTGGCTTTATTACTGTTATTGCAACCATCATAAATAATCTCTTGATTCAGTATAAACGTATTTTAATTACTGAAAAGACTTATTATGCTTTGGGTATAATAATAATTATTGTTGATGATCCGTAATGTGTGTTCAGCAAACCAGAAGGTCGTCTTGCACGTTAGCCACCTCATTCAGGGGATATCCATGGTAAAGGGTAAACCATCACGTCCTTACCTCATGACCAGGCTTTCTGACGCTGAGAGGGCGTGTTCTGAGGGTTTTGTTAAAACCAAATCCCGCAGCAAAAAGTTCAGTTCTTGAACCCACCAGAGGAAGAGGGTCGGCCGCCCAAATCTCTACTAAGCATTCTGTCACGCCGATAGACTTGCTCTGAATAAACGCAACTGTAACCAGCTGACGCAAAAACTCCTTCAGAGTTAAGCCAGACGCTCGACACCGTGTACCCTGCGACATCTCTGGACCAGAGGATCGGTTCTACTCGGGGCTTCTCAGTCGGGCCGAGTACCCCTGAGGCTGACAGCATCCTCCTTGACCTCCGGATCCACACAGAGGGTCGTCCTTCTGGGTGAGGTAGCACACAGATGGTGTCCGATGCCGTTCTCTCTCAGAAACGACTCGGTTAGCTGCAAAACCAACTTTTCACCCAGAAATGCTTCTCTCGCTGAAAGAAACCTTCTGAGATTCATTCACGCATCCAAAAACTCGCATTTTTATTTTAGCTTCCATTCAGTCACAGGTTTGCTTTTTAAAGAGCAAGTCAACCCCTACCAGAGTCTAACTCCACTCCCACTTCCTGTTTGAAAAATGCAACAAATGCTGTTGCCTGGCAGACCGAGAGGGCAGAGCTGCTAACAAATACACACACTCAGGCTCACGACAGCATTGTGACATCATAATGTACCAGTTTACATCATAGCATACCTCTTAGCCAATAGCGGTGGCAGATTTAAATTAAAATACAGTGCAGAGTTTTTACCTGACAACGGCACAACACTGCCAGTTTTAGGCAGAATATTTAAATTTTAACTAAGATGCACTGAAGTGCCAAATTATTGACAACACGTGTCTGCAGCACGATTAGACACTCGTTTATTTAGTTTATCAGCAAAAAAAGTTTATTTGGGGGTGACTTGCTCTTTAAAACAAGTTTTAATATTAATTATTAACATATAATTGTCGGTTAAAAATTGTCATTTCTAAAAGCGTTAGTAATAAATTCTTAATTTAAAAACTTGACTCTTCTTTGAAATTAAACACAGAATGGTGTATATTTTTGGTTATTGAAAAAGCAAAGATTCCTTTAAACTTCTGATTAAATAAATAAACTTTTGCTATTAAATTTAATTATCTAAAAATTAAACATTAATCTTTGGATTAAATATAGGCCAAGCTCGTTGGCATATGAACTTCTATCAAATATATAATATCCTAGATATTTATATATGATAGATGCTTCATTGTTAACTCGTTTGAGTTTTTCTCAGAATCTAACAAAGCTGATAGCAAACAGCGTTAATTCTGGTATGTAGTTAAACACGCTACACCTGATTCCTGGAGTTGGACTTGGTGGTGGTGAAACATCTGGCGTTCTCCGACTCGTGTTCTTGTTTGTTCAGACTCTCAAGTTAGGTCTGTGCACAACTTTGCTTTTTACAATCTGAGAAATGTCTCAGTACTGTAGCCATCCATGCCCTGGCCCTACTGGGCTTCCGTAGGTCAGGAAATCTGCTGCCAGGATTCATAAAGTTACATGCCGTAAAACAGCCCGCCAAAATAAAAGCATGGTGAGGAGATCGCGTCTAAGGCATTGGAGTCCCTGTGATGGGCCGACTGTTTGAACAGGGATCTTTAATTGATGTGCAGGAGAACCCAGGAATGCTGACATTCCCAGAGCTTCATTCTCTAGAAATATCCAGAAAGCTAAACAGTCTAGTCACGCTCTCTCTCTTAACATTTTTTAATCACAATTGTCTATTTTTTGCTCATTTTAAATATATTTTTAACCGTTTTCTCAATTCTTTATTATATTTTTACATTTTTTTGTTTTTGTGAAGCGCCTCCTGATTTTTATCTTGAGAGGCGCTATAGAAATGATATCTTCTTCTTCTTTTCCTCTCTCAACTGACTTACTTCAATAATGTTATTTTCCTTTCATCTGATCCTCAGTGTGAGGTTAGTGTGATTATCGGCGGTACAAACATTCTGTTTTTATTGTGATCGTTGTTATTCCTTCATGTGAGGAAGCTTCTGAGAAAGAGCAAAGCCAAACGTGACGTCAGACCTCGTCTCCGTCTGGGCAGCAGCTCTGACTGTCCGTCTGTGTCTGATGGTCAGGTTCAGAGAAGAGGACAGTTGTGCTGAAGAACCGGCTGCCAGAGAACATCGTACCCAAGTCAGATGTGGAGAGGCTGCTGACCATCAACGGTAACATGAAACGGGCAGATCAGCAGAGGGACAGGAAGCACCGGCTTATGCTCGTCATCCAGCAGAAACCGTCTCTGCTTTTTGGCTCTAGGGGAGCTTCCGGGCGACGTTGCGACTGTGCTTCTGAATCCTGAAGACCTCAAACAACTCATCAGCCTTCCACCTGGGTCGGCAGAAGCAGAGCTTCAGGGGCTCCTCCCCCTAATCCAGGTATACCAGTACCTTGAGACCACGGGTAGCTGGGACGTTCTGGGAGGAGATGTTGGGAAGATGTCAGGCGATTTGAGACAGAAGATCAAAGAGGGTGAGGAGCAGCAGAGGAGATCTGATGAAGAGTCTTGTAATCATCTGTTAATCGTGCGTGTGTGTGTGTGTGTGTGTGTTCAGGTCTGGTTGCCATCAGCTCCTTCAGGAATGGAGACTCCAGCTACAGCATGTGGATAAAGAGTGAACCCAGCACAATGTGTGTGAACTCCAGAAGCCTGATCTGTTTTTTCTGCTTTAGTTCAACAAAACATCAGCAAATAGGAAGCAGACTGCTGCGTCTGCAGGCTGGTCCTCCTGCAGGATCTCCTGGGTTCAGAACTGTTGAAGCCACTTTAACTCATTCACTGCCATTGACGACTAAAGTCGTCATTTTAGATCCAACCGTTCACTAAAGTCTTCATTTGCATTTTTTTTACTGTTTGAGCATCAGAACGAGCCCCCGCGCTTAGAGAACAAACATCTCAGCCCTGAAGCCGATCTTCATCAGCATATGTCACACGTCACATGATCAGGAAGCAGAACATCCATGTGTTAGGAGATCGTTTTGGGCCGTTCCTGTAAAAAAAATGAGGCGCAAACCGGAAAAGCGTCTGCCGATCACAATTCAACAACGGATTATGAAAGAACGGATAACGCTCGAAACACGCGGCTTCTTCCTGATGTAAGAGGTGAGTCTCCTCTTTGTTTTGGTTGTTTTGGCATCAACATCATGCTAGCGCACAACGTTCTGTGACTCTTAAAAAACCCCAGTAAAAACGGTGAGAAACGCTGGCAGCGAAGAGCGTAAGTGATCAGGAAACGGCTGGTTAAAAGAGTTAAAAGAACCAGGGTTTGTTTTCTCTTTAGGGAAGGCGTTCAGGTCCGGTTAGGTTAAAGTCCCATTAGTCATCATCACACACTGGTGAAATCTCCACATTTGACCCATCCCCATGGGCAGCTGCAGCTGTGGCTGCGCTCGGGAACCATTTGGTGGTTTAACCCCCCCAATCCAACTCCTTAACTCATTCGCTGCCAGCCGTTTCCTGATCGGTAAAGCCCTTCGCTGCCAGCGTTTCTCACCGTTTTTACTGTTTTTTTATAGAGTGACAGAACGTTGCACGCTAGCATGATGTCGACGCCAAAACGACCAAAACAAAGCGGAGACTCACCTCTTACGTCAGGAAGAATCCGCGCGTTTCGAGCCTTATCCGTTCTTTCATAATCCGTTGTTGAATTGTGATCGGCAGAAGCTTTTCCGGTTCGAGCCTCACTTTTTTTACAGCAGCGGCCCAAAACGATCTCCTAACACGTGAATGTTCTGCTTCCTGATCACGTGACGTGTGACGTACGCGGATGAAGATTGGTTTTAGAGCTGAGATGTTTGTTCTCACGGTGTGGGGGCTCGTCCGACGCCCACACAGTAAAAACATGTAAATGACGACTTTAGTCATCAATGGCAGTGAATGAGTTATGCTGAGTGTGAAACAGGGAGGCATTGGGTCACTTTGGTATGACCCAATCATGGATTTCAACTTCGATCTCCCATTCTCAGGGCGGATAATACGGGTTGTATCGACTAGTCGACTTCACTGCGCTGTAATGATTTTTATGCCTTTCATCGACTAGTCGCTGTCACGTGATAATGACCGACAAGATGCAGTCCTCGGAAAACAGCAAGTGACGAGCCCCTGCACGTCGGGAGGCGATGCGCTGTGCCAGAGCGTCGGTATCTGGCGCTCGCGGTAAAACGGACGTTTGACCGAATTGTGACCTTTACCCTCTTGCTATTTAACCTTCCCCTCACCCCCGTCCTAACCCTAACCAGCTTGCGCATGCGAAGCTTTGTTTCGCGTGTCATCGTTCCTCTCAAACACGCTTAACGGAAAATTTAGACTGACATACTGGGTAAAGGTTAGGGTGGGGCTGAGAGGAAGGTTAAATAGCAAGAGTGTAAAGGTCACAATTCGGTGAAATCTCCGTTCTGCCGTGGGCGTCAAAAAGCGACGCGCTGTGCCAGTGCGTCCCCTCCCGACGTGCGTCGGACAAAAGGCTTGGTCACCCAACCATCGTCCGTTTTAGCCGCTTCAGGTGTATGACATCATCAATGATTAGTCAAAGTCGACTGTCCAGTTTGATCTGGTTAAATCCAGTTCTCTGTCCCTGGCAGCCCCTCCCCCCTCTGCATTTACCCCTCCATGTGGATGAATCACTCGTTCTCGGCTTGGAGCAGTGTTAGGGATTTTATCAATAAACCCATTTCCCGCAGCTAGAGAGAGAAAAGGAGACTCTACTGCCCTCGGATGAATGTATGGCTATTCACCCTATGCAGCGAGCTTAACATAAGAGGACATGGTTCCAGGAACGACAGGACACATCGCTTTGTCTTTTTGTCTCTTTCTGAAGACCGTTTTTTCCTCTTTTAATTTGTAAGACTGCGAACATACAGTAAAATAACATGTAAGCATCAGTATTTACATATTTTGTAACCAAAAACAGGTTAGCAACATAGCTTTCCTTATGCTTTCATTCACCATCCTTATACATTCAAATAAGCTTTTAGGTAACATGAAAGTAACGAATCTTACAGAAAACAAAGCTACACGTGGATTACTTACAGATTATGGTTCAACAAACTCCCCAACGACGTAAACTGGTCTTAAAGTTGTGCGGGTTTTTCTGCTCCACACATTCTCTCACACTGCCTGGGTGAACTTTTCCTGCTGCTTACAACACATCTCCAAAGGGGGCAGTGTAGCGCACACCGAACAACCAAAGAAAAAGCAACAAACCTCAAGGGATAATACTGCCCACTGGTGGGAAAACTGAGAAATGCCCCAGCCAAAGAAACTCAACCAAGCGACAACAGAGGGGGCAGAATAGAGACAATGAGCAGACATCCAACCAAATCATGATTTGTGGCACGTGCACAGGGCAAATGCCCCGAACATCTGGCCACAGAGTTTATTTACACAGAGATAAGAATGGGTGTGTGTGTGTGTGTGTGTGTGTGTGTGTGTGTGCGTGCGTGCGTGCGTGCGTGTGTGTGTGTGTGTGTGTGTGTGTGTGTGAGATCTGCTGTCCTCCCTTCACCCTGGTGACCCTGTCCCCCTCCTTCCATGCTAGAGTGACTGCAGAAATGATCCGAGCCCTCTCCATGGCAGACGCCTTCGTTTCTGTGGACCATCAGTCCCTCTCAGATTCTGTCGGCTGGTTGATCCGCAGGACGCAGAAGGAGGACGGCTCTTTCGCAGAGAAGTCCTCCAGCAGACTCATTCAAATCCTGGTCAGAAACTCTTTAGCCGTGGTGTTGTTTGTGCTGACCCTGCTGATCTGAGGTCTGATCCCGTCTGGTGTCTGCAGGGTGGAGGAGAGGAGGAGGTGGAGCAATCGGTGTTTGTGACATCTGTGGCTCTTATTGCCTTACACCGAGCTACGAGCATCAGAGACCAGATTCTGCGGCTCAGAGTGAGAATCGCTTCCTGTTTCTGCTCACGCTAAACTTCAGACCAAGTGGTCCTGGTCAGCAGGAAGTGAGGTCATCTAAAAGAGGAAGAAGGCCCCGGTGGAAGTCTCAGCTGTCTTCCAGATTAGCAGTTGACCTGACCTGGTTGACCACTAGTCTGTGGTTCCAGTCATCTCGAGCCGGGCCGAAAACATGACGTCAGAGACTGTTGGCCACTGATTGGCTTGGGGGCGGAGTCACTGGTTGCTCCAGAATGTGCGGCCAGTTCTCCGTTTTTGGAGTCAGAATGTTCCACATCCCTCCCTCGTCCTCCATTGTTGTGTTGAACACAGATCTTCCTTGACCTGCTTTCTGAACCTCTGGTGGGTCTCATTATGTTTCTTCTCTCAGTCTCATGAGGCCAGCAAGCAGTCGGCAGCTAACTACATTTCCCAGCATGCCCTGAGCGTGAGGAGTGTGTATGTGCGTGCACTGGCGACCTACGCTCTAACTCTTCAGGATTCCAACAGCGAGGAGGTCTCACAGCTGATCACCAGCCTGGAGGGACTCGCCCGGCAGAAAGGTGGGTCCAGTCTCGCCTTTCAATCGGAACAACACAACGTCCTCTGGGCTTACGTCTCATGTCTCTGTGTCCAGGTAACCCAGTCACACTCAGGTACTGGCAGGAGTCGAGTGTGACGACTGATTGGCTGAAGCCAGACAAATCCAGTGGTCAGACGGTGGAGACCACGGCGTACGTCCTGTTGACCATGCTGCTGAAGGTGCCGATGGGTCCTGATGTTGTTTCACAAAACTTAATTTAAGGATTTGTTAAAAGCATTTTGGCGGCGACACGGTTTCACACCTGGACCACCAAAACACAACAGCAGGGTGAAATACACACAAATATAGTGAAAACACCTGCAGCCAGGTGTAAATGCTCCACAGACCTAATCCCGTCTGAGACGAGCAGCTCCTCTAGCGTTTGCTCATCGCTCTCCCTCCTGGTGCTCCATGAGCCCCTGTCCGTGTTGATTCCTGCTCCAACACACCTGGTTCAGCGATTGACTCGCCTGGTCAGCAGAAACCCGTTCATAACCTGCTGGTTAAGCCCAGGTGTGCTGGAGCAGAGGCACATCTAGAACATGCAGGATTGAATCCCTGGAGATCTACGGTTGGACACCAGAACTACACGAGTTCAGGTAGGAGGTTTCCAGGCTTCTTCATCTTCTGGGTTAGCTCCAACCCTCTCCACATTTCTTCTGCTTCTTCTTTAGTTTAAATGGCGGGTGGCATCCAACGTAAGGTGCATTTCCACCACCTACTGTGTAGGAGTGTGAGTCAGAGTGAGGAACACTAAAAATAAAAATAAAAAACTATATTATTTTACGCTGCGCGGTGGCGCAGTGGTTAGAGCTGTTGCCTTGCAGCAAGAAGGTCCCGGGTTCGATTCCCGGCCCGGGATCTTTCTGCATGGAGTCAGCATGTTCTCCCTGAGCATGCGTGGGTTCTCTCCGGGTACTCCGGCTTCCTCCCACAGTCCAAAAACATGACTGTTAGGTTGATTGGTCTGTCTACATTGTCCTTAGGTGTGTGTGTGTGTGTGTGTGTGTGTGTGTGTGTGTGTGTGTGTGTGTGTGTGTTTGTCCTGTGTGTCTCTGTGTTGCCCTGCGATGGACTGGCTCTCTGTCCAGAGTGTACCCCGCCTGATTGCCCGCTGACCGCTGGAGATGGGCACCAGCACCCCACCCCCCCGAAACCTAACCCAAACCTATATGGGATGGGACTTCCTGTCTCTACCTGTAGGAGGCGGGGCTTAAATGAACCTGTTTGTGTTTTGGTGTCTAAGGCGCGGATCTCGTACGCCAACCCCATCCTGGCCTGGCTGACTCAGGATCAGCACTACGGAGGAGGGTTCTTCTCTATAAAGGTACACAGACTGAAGTTTTGTCTCACGTGAAAAACTAGAACTTTTGTCCCCGGAGTTGGACACTGATGTCCACCTTGGGTTTCCTCTGGGCTCTCGTTTGACATCTCAGGACGCCGTTCTGACTCTGGAGGCGTTGACACTGTACAAAAGTGTCATGACACGATCCGTCCTCAACCAGGATATAAACATCCGCTACAAAGTGAAAGGACCCCTGGGAAGGGTCAGCCTGAGCCAGACGCGACCTGTGGCCACGCCCATCCAGGTGAGACAGGGACAGCCCGGTCCGACAGCACCTTTTCTGCACTGGTTTTCTCTTCTATCCGTTTTTCTTTCCCCTCAAAGGTCACAAAAAATGATGACATCACAGTGACCACAGGTTATGGGAGGGGGGTGTCCAGTGTGAAGGTAGGTGCGAGTAAATCCTGTCTGTATCTCCCAGAATTCCCAGTAATGATCTAGTGTGTCTCCAGCTGAAGACGGTTTTCTATCAGACCACGGCGTCCACGCAGCCCAGGTGTAACTTTGATCTCACCATCGAGGTGGTCGGGCCCAGCGTCTCTGACAGTACGCCTCCTTACTGGGTCAGGTACAACGGTCCTGGTTTGGTATCATCTCACAACAGAGCTCTTCTTGTCCCCCTCAGATCCCAGCATGAAGGCTCCTCACCTGGTTGCCTGTGTCAAGTAAGAAACCTGATGTAGCTCCAGAACCACGAATGAACGCAGATCCTGCAGGAGGTCTCAGGTGGACTCTTTGAACTCTGTTTCAGGTACAGACCTCCTCCCAATGAGGTAGCCACCGAGTCCTCTCTGGCAGTCATGAAGATCCAGCTTCCAACTGGTGTGGAGCCCTACCTGGAGGACCTGAGACAGGTGAGAGGACCTGTTGGTATGTTCATGTACCTTCAGCTGGATTACCTTCACTCACTGACCTGCAAAACCTCCCAGACCTTCCAGACCCACCAGACCCTAACCATCCAGAACCCAAACGAACCAAAATGTTCGTCTGGTTCAGCTCTTTAGGACAAGTCTGAAGCTTTAAACTTGTTCCAGGTAGACGGCCCGGGTACAGGTTCTGCTTAGATCAGAACCACTTCATGGTTCTCAGACTGAGGTGTAAAACTTGTGTTTTATACATGGACGTAATTTTTTGGGGGGGACAGGGGGGACATGCCCCCCCCCCCCCCCCCCCCCACTTTTTCCAAAGTCAAGTTTTGACCCCTGCACTATTTACCACCCAAAAACAATATTACTATATTAAATTGACACTGGTTGAGCTCTAGGACCAAGCGGAAAACAACCGTTTGTGTTGAAGCCTGTTTCCCATTAGAGCATACTGTATAGATACCCCCCCCCACCCCCCGTGTCCCCCCCACTTCTAAAGTGAAAATTACGTCCATGGTTTTATAGTTCGTGAGTGGTACCCAGAAGCATCTTTAAGATGACTCTGAAGCATCTCAGATCTGAGATCAGCTGAACCATCCTGCTGGTTTCTCCGACCTCCCAGTCTGGAGATGAAATAGTAACAGATCTGCTGATGCTGTTTTCCAGTTCAGAGACGACGAGGAGTCTCTCGTCTCCCACTACGAGCTTCAGGGAAGCACCGTGATCATCCAGATGGACTGGGTGAGTTCTCCAGGCCCACCGTGTTTTAACTCATGTTCATGAAGGCTTCAAATGACCATCCTTCTCTCCGTTTGATGAAATGCTATTCAGTTCAGAAATGACCGTTGACCCCCGCAGATTGATTGACAGAGCCTCTGACTTCCTGTTGGCCTCCAGGTTCCATCTCAAGTTTTTGTGTGTATCGGTTTTCGGGTCAGAACCGGGTTCAAGGTGGTTGGAGCCACTGAGTCCTGGATAAGTGTTACTGAGCCGCAGGAAAAAGGTGAGAAGCGGCGGCCACAGTGCATGCTGGGAGTTGTAGTCTGATTTCTGTTTAGTCTGCTTTGAACCACTAACTGAATTTTTTTTTACCTTCAGGTTTTATTTTAATCTTAGACGCCCAGGTGTTAGTCCGGCCCATTAATTCAGTTCAATTTCATTTATAAAGCGCCAAATCACGACAAGAGTCGTCTCAAGGCCCTTCACATAATAAACATTCCAATTCAGGTCAGTTCATTAAGCCAATCAGAAAAAATGTTTCCTATAGAAGGAACCCAGCAATCCTCATACTAAGCAAGCATGTAGCGACAGTGGAGAGGAAAACTCCCTTTTAACAGGAAGAAATCTCCAGAGAATCCTGGCTCAGTATAAGCAGCCATCCACCACGACTCACTGGGGATGGAGAAGACAGAACAGACACACACACACACACACACACACACACACACACACACACACACACACACACACACACACACACACACACACACACACACACACACACACACACACACACACACACACACACACACACACACACACACACACACACACACACACACACACACACACACACACACACACACACACACACACACACACACACACACACAGGTTACATTGTGATTTCTTAGTAAATTTTCTATTTGGTGAGAGATAAACTTTATTGTATTTATCCTAGTGGATCTATAATTAAACGGGTAAACTAGTAGAAGAGGGAGAATGTTTAAGTGGTTAGCAGCAGTGTGCTAGACGATGGCTCCCTCCATGAGGCCACCACAGCTCAGCAGAACATCATTGTAGCTTCTTCTGGGGAGAAAAACACTTAGAGAGAAAATAAAGTTAACAGCTGAAATAGCAGGAAATAATACAGTTAAAGAGCAGATTGTAGAAGAAAGTAGTCGAGTGTGAAAAGTGGTCAGTGTATCCTCCAGCAGTCTAAGCCTATAGCAGCATAACTACAGAGATAACTCTGGATAACCTAGCCTTTTAGATGGAGGCATTAATGGTGTAGTTAAATATCAGATGTTCTGCAGGAGGAAGAACCTTCCAGAAACCAGACCTGAATTGAAAGTCCAGGCTGAGTGGAGCATTGGTCAGATCAAAGATGGTTCTTTGTCATCTTGTTTAGAACAGAATGGAAAGTTTTATTTAACACAAAACGGTTACAGAGATTTGTTTTTCAACAGAGTTCAATGTCTCCATTTCACGCTTACATAAAACAGTAAAATAACATAGGGCCACACACACACACAAACTGATGTTTGATCAACAAAAATAAAATCATTTACGAGTTATGCAACGTTGAACTTTTCCTCTAAAGTGTAAGGCTGCAAACTCATTTTTGGATCATTTTTTCATGTGGTTAAATGTGACAGGTAAACAGGAAGTGATGCCAGCCAGGTGAATTCTGCAGTTTGTTTGTCTTTCAGGCAGTTTGTGCTCCAAACAGTTCTCTTCTGAGCAGCAGAAGCTGCAGCGCCTCTGTGTGGACCACCAGTGTCAGTGCATGACCGGTAAGAGCCGCTGCATTAGCCCACACAACCCGAGCCCATGCCTGCAGATTGTAACTTCCTGTGTGTTATTTCTGCAGCTGCATGTGCGTCCTACAGAGGAACCACCACCAACACGCTGACTTTAGAAAAGCGGATCGAGGAAATCTGCAAAGAGCAAATCAAGTTTGGTGAGATGTTCCCACACTCAGCCAGCAGAGAGGAGATTAAACTCTGGAAACCTGACAGTCAGGTCTTTATTCTGTTTACTGGCTTTGATAAATCTACAGATGAATGTGACCCGCTGCAGAAGTTCTGACTGGGTCTGGAGATGGTTCTACAGAACTCTCCTGGTGTCCTGCTGCATCACAGCCAGTGATTTAAAGAAAACGATCTGCATATTTTTAGGAATGGACTACTGAAAGTAATGCAGACTAGTGATGGAGAACTACTTACAGGCCTGTGGATGTAATCTCTTCTCTATATGTGAAGCTCCAAAACAAGATTTGGTGCAAATTCTTATATCAGGACCACATAATCACAGTAAATCTCATAAATCCATCGACATATAAATATTGGACAATGGGTTTCCATTAGTCTCCAATATCACGTTTTTGTACTAAAATGGGAGGTGGCCACCACCGCCATTTCGACCGTGTCACAGGTTCTGTCAAGCCCAGACCATTCCACAAAAGGGAAGAGAGGTGGAGCTGAGGGTGGGCTGTAAGGCTGGGATCAACTGACGACACCCAGTCGAACTAGCTACAAGCTAACCTGAAGCTCACCCAAAGCTAACGCGGAGGTGGGAGCTAAGCTAACAGAGGTAGCAACTTAGCTACAACCGGAGTTAACTGTGCACACCAGAGCTTCTGAGTCAGAGATACGCCGGGCTGACCGCTGGGTAAAACCGGGGGGAGCCAAGCCCCCACAATGCGGCTCTAAAATTGGGCCCAACCCGGAAGTACCAAAAGTTGCAGTTCCACCCTCATCCACTAGGGGCTGGTGTCAGAAGCGAGCAAATCCTCATTGACTCCCATGTTAAAAATACCAATTTCACAGCAGAAATAAACATGTTTACAGCCTGGTACCAAAACATGTTTTTGGTTTAAATGATCTAGTTTACACTCATGACAACTCTGAGGGGGTGAATGTTTTTCTCACTCTTCTGTTTAAGTGCATTAAAAGCCTAAAATTCTGTATAATTACTGAGCATCAGACCCACGTGACCACAGAGCTAGCTCCGTGGAAAGGCCTCAGTAGAGCCTCGGTCTGGCCTGGAAACTGCTCCGGCATTTTGAGTCTCTGTGTGTGTGTATTCTTGTTTGGATATTTTTGTGCAATTGTTGGACAAAATGACTTGCTGTGGCATTAATTGCACTAATAGAGCATCCAAGGAGTCTCCACTTCATTTTTTTCGGTAAGTAAAATTATATTTATGTATTTTAGGTCACTGCCGAGCTGAACTTAGATTTTAACATGTACTGTTTAACCATGAAATTTAAATGTAATAGGGTAAAACCCAGTGCATTTAACATAATGCTGCACTTTAGAAAATGGGTTGAAATATAACATGTTGGTGGAGCTGAGTTCCAACTATCGGCTTGTGGAGCTCTCGGGAGACCGATGTTTTGAGGCTGGAACTGCAATTTTTGGTACTTCCGGGTTGGAGTCAATTTTTGAGCCGCATTGTGGGGGCTTGCATAAATCTCATGATGCAGCAGCTGCGAAAAGACCGAATCAGCACCAAGCTTTCTCAGTAATGATAAATAAAACATGCAGAACTTCTGTTCCTCTGCATGACACCACTAAAACACACATCCAGCTCCAGGTAACAGAAATGTCACAGGAAGTCTTTTGGTCAGAGCCGGTCTGAACGTTTTACCAGTAAAAGTACGGCAGCGGCAGCATCATGATACGGGTACAACCTTTACGAGCAGAGCTGGAAAAACGAGTCTGCTCAGAGAATGATGGAAGATACGAAACGCAGATCAGGTCTTCAGAATTCTAATGAGATGAACCTGGTGTTTCCTTCTGCAGCCTACAAGCTGACGGTGACGTCCTCAGCAGCAGAGGGAGACTTTATGACCTACACAGCCACCGTGGATCAAGTCCTGAGGCCCAGTAACGGTAAGATGCTCGGTTGTTGCCTGGTGGTGCCATGGAAACAAAAGCTTCACCCGAAAGAGCTTCTTCAAGCTAAAAGCACCTGAAGCAGCTGCAGCAGGAAGTTAAAATTTCAACAGAGAGGTTGAATAAAGTCATCGTGAGACAAAAGAAGGAAAGTGGACGCAAACAAAAAAGTCAGACTTCAGGAAGAAATTACGTCTCATTTGATTCGATTATGATTTTGTTTCTTTATGATCTGGTTTTCAAGTAAATTAGAGAAAACTTTTCTAATCTTGACACAAATACTTAAAAATTATTTAGTCAATAATAATAATAATAATAAAGCTCTGTTAAAAAATTTTATCATTTGAATTAGTATTTATTTTTCCCTCATGTTGGGGGGGGGGGATGTTCCGGGTTATAAGTATTTTATTTTTTAGTTTAAAAGCTTGTTTGCATGTTTTACTGCAGAGTTTGAAGCGGTGAGTTCAGGTACTGAGGTGGACCTGGTAAAGAAGGCCACCTGCAGCAGCGTGGACCTCCATGACAACAGGCAGTACCTGGTGATGGGGTCCAGCGGGTCAGAGGTCACCCACAACAACGGCTTCAGGTCAGTGCCTCCATGGTCTGTAGATGTCCTCGTTTCTCGTGGAGCTGACGGGTTCTGGTCTATCTCAGGTACCGGTTTCCTCTGGACTCTGATGCCCTGGTGGAGCTCTGGCCTACGTGTAGCTCTCCAGAGTGTGAGGACCACATTTCCCAGATGGCGGAATTAGCTCTGCAGATGCAGCTTGTTGGCTGCAGCAGCTAGAACCCGACATAACCGTTTGATTTACAGTTAAGCTGAGGATGAAATGTTTTGGTATTAATAAAAATGCATAAATAGAATAAATGATTTCATCGTGATAAAGGATTCAGATGTCTTTTCTGTCCAGATGAGCCTCCGCTAACCTAAAATAGCATTTTAACCAACAAGGATGTGAAAACAGCTGCAACCAGGAGGCTATTTTTAAAAGACAAGTCAAAATAAGTAAAAACGATCAAGTCATTTTTAATTTGATACTGAAATAAAAACGTTTTTCAGTACTTTCAGTCGCAGTCCCTGCATAAAGCAGCCATGTTTGATCTTGTTGTTCGATAAACCGGTGATCACGTCATGCGCCTTTCAGACTAAAGGTGGACTTCCAGGTTTTCACTTTGGACAAAAGGCTCTCTGCACGAGGCTGACGTCACATCTGCATGGGCAAAATGCAACTCGCTTCTGCTTTGAGGAACGATGACTGTCTGGAAAGATAAAAATGATCACCAACACTGACTTGTCACGTTCCGCAATTTTCCCAGGCTAGCGATCCTGAATTAGGAAGAGGGTGGTTTGTGAGTATTCTCCATGACAAGTTCAGTTTAACACCAGCAAGGTTTGCAGTCTGGACTTTTCTCAGATCAGAAGATGCAGCCTAAACCGATGGGGGGCATTAGGTAAAGGACCTGCTCCTGTATCATTTCAACGGAACAATTTATTTTCAGTTCATTTATACAGGGCCAGTTCAAAAGAGTCATCTCAAGGCTGTCACAAGGTCAACATTCCCATTGAATCTACTCATCTGTGCACTGAGTTCAGTTCATTTAGCCAGTTAGTTAAAAGTTCCCAACATAAAGAAACCCAGCAGGTTGCATCGAGTCACTGACTAGTGTCAGAGTCTTTACAGCAATCCTCATGCTAAGCAAGCATGTGGCGACAGTGGAGAGGAAAACTCCCTTTTAACAGGAAGAAACCTCCAGAGGATCCTGGCTCAGTATAAGCAGCCATCCTCCACGACTCACTGGGGATCGAGAAGACCGAGCGCGCGCGCGCACACACACACACACACACACACACACACACATCCAAACTGACAAACTTTGCCTGTGTAGTAAAAAGTTTGGAGACCAGTGACCACTTCTGTTGCAAGACATCTCCACATCTTATGGTCTGAATGTCTCACTGAGGGGTAATCAAGTCACGTCAAGACAAATATTCTTCATTATTTATTTATTTGACCAGCTGAGTAGATTGACGACAGCAACAGACACAGTGAGCATTGCACCAAAGAAAAAACAGATGAGATAAAAACAAACAAGATCATAATCAGACTGAAGGATTCTTCTCATATACAAAATATACAAGCATTCAAAACAGGCTGAAAACAATCAGGCACATGTTCACAAGCAGAAAAACATTGTGACAAGATGAGATGAACTGATCACGATATGACAGCTAAAGCATAAGAGGCAAATTAACAGTAGTGTTTGCTTGTAAATATTAAAATAGAAGTGGTCACAGTTTTGCTGTTATTTATTTATTCATTCATTCATTCATTCATTCATTCATTTATGGGCTTGCACGTCAGGATCCAGTCGCTGCACCAAATAAATCCTCATGCAACAAGTTTTGTCACGGTTGTTTTATTCAGCAGCAGCAGAAATGGGTCACTGTCTCTTTAAAAAACCCGCCCACTCCTGAGGGAATCGGTTTGGCTTTGCTCTGATTGGGCAGTGGGCCCTGTCACTCAGCAGTCAGCTCTCTGATTCGCTGAGACCGAGTTTTGTGTCGCTTCACAGAGAACGAAGAAGTTTGTAACGAAGCCGAGACGAAACCACACCAGCTCCCTGGTTCCGGGAGAAAGGAGAACCGAGCCGACCCGTGAGTACAGCAACACAGTCAGAAATCACCTGGAAAGCAGAACCGAACCGTGAGGCGAGGCTGTCTTGTTTTACTGAGCTTCAGTAAACAACTGAAACGGTTCTGGTTCGGTCCAGCTGAAGGTCCTAGTTAACGGAACATTGTCATCCATTTTAAATACTTTAAATTGAGAAAACTATCAGATGTTCCGATTCTGGTCCCGACTCCGGAACCATCGCTGGGGTCAGAAGGTCACCCTCGCAGCTGGGGCGTGCCCCGCCTGATCCCTAATCAGTACAGCCGTCTTCTGGAAGTTCATTCTGTGTTTCTCTTCAGCTTGCGTGTACTGGTTCTGTAATCTAACAAGGTAAACAACAGATTTTCTTTCCTCTGTTCAAAAAGTACCAAGAAATGCATAATTACAACCAAGGGCGTCAGTTTGTTTTCAGAATTGCTGGGGACAATAACCATACACTTGAGTGGGGTTTAAAAATTGCTGGGGACAATAAAGTAGGCTAGCACAGGGGTCGGCAATCCGCGGCTCTTCCATCCATCTGATGCAACTCTCTGTGCTTGTAAAATAATAAATGGATATTTAAATAAAATGCTTTATATTTTACTGCATTAATTTTACACCTGTATGCCAATTCTAAATGTAGATTGTCTGCGTAAACCTGAACAGGTCCAACCCGGTCTGCGGTGGTTGACCGGTCACGCTTGTGCGTAATCATATAGGCACTTTATGAGCTGAAGCAGGGGCGGTTCTAGACCAAATTTTCCAGGGGGGCCATAGTGGGGCCAGTATTTTTTCATGGGGGCGCAAGAAAAAAAAATCATAATTAAAGACAATGAACAAGTAAACTATTACAGCAAATGCAGTAATGGTTTACTTGTGAAAGTAAAATTGGCATGTTTTTATGGTACTCAGAAAACAATTCTGAATGCTTCACCGCAACATGAGACTTGAGTAAAAAAATCATTCTAGTTGATTATTATAGTTTGTGACTTTATTTGAAGATTATATGAACTGTACATATGAAAAATAAACATTCAAACAAATAAAATATCTGCACAATACAATTTTTTTTTTGTAGTCAACACACACACACACACACACACACGTAAGCATAATCACTTCACCAATTGTTTTGATATACTCACGATTTTCTTTAACCTTTTTACTGTGTTCCTTGTCGAGTATATTAGCCAATGTTGTATTAGCTTTCACAGCCCTCTGGTAGTCCCTCCACGCTATCATTGAGTCCTTATGCCTTTCAGACTTTGCATGTAGTGAAAACCCCTCCTCTCTCAGTTGCTTTTTTCCAGTTCCTAAATCTACATGGTGAGTCAAACACACTTCCTGCGCTACTTGGTGGGCTAAAATGTCTGCATGCATGACAATAAGTAGAGTCCATAGTAACAGAATATTCAACCCAAGGATGACTTTCATACCAGCTTGGCTGAAAGCTTCTGTCTCCTATTAATGTCACTGGAAATGTCCTCAAATGATGCTGAGTAGGTGGGTCATCCTTACACTTGCTGATATCTGAAAAAAATAAATGTTAGCATGAGGATAAAAGTCATAATTAGTTAATTCAGAGTCTTATTTTATCTATTTATTAAATATAAACAACAGAAATTTTGGTCCAGAGTCAGCATGCCTCAAATGCATTTTACACACAATATGAGCTGCAATCATAGAGGGGTTGTTCAACACCCACAACCCTGACGGTAGTGTACACGGTGCACATGACAGAAGATGTCCCTCTTTTTGCTCCTCACTCTCTCCCTCACAGCCTACATCTTCCTCCTCCTCACTCTCAGGGTGGACAGCCTCTGACCTCTCTAACCAACTCCTCCTTCTCTCTTTCATCCTGCTTCTCAGCTCCCTCGTGACTTTCATCCTCTCTCTGTCTACGCTGTTCTTTACTAACAGCGGTAAAAAAAAGGACTAAACGTCCCGCTGATGCTTCCAGTCAGTGCTGCGAGAAAGTCATAGATAAATGAATACTGTGATCTAATCTCAACGTGTCTAAGGCTTGAAATGCAGCAACTTCATGTTTATTTTACAGTTAATGTTACAAAGGAAAAACAAATCAGTGTTAACTGTGGATAGACTCAGTTAGGAACTTAAAAGTAAACGACCGAAACGCGCGACTACGATCAAAACACTGATGTCAGGAAAATAAACTGTATTGCTTACCTTCGTCTCTTAGCGTCTTTTCCGTTTGGCGTCCTCAAGAACTTCTTCGGGTCCCATTTAAACTATTTTTAATCTTTTATTCAAAAATCCACCGGGTAAACAGTTCTGTCCACAGAGTGTGCTGCGCTCTAAAGGCTCCGTGTGAAACGCTGCAGCGCATTAGTTCCCGTCTCCGAGGCAGCGCGCAAAAAAAAAAAAAAATCCGATCTCTTCAGCACAGGGGCCATAACAGGGGCCAGGGCCGGTTCTACAGGGGCCCAGGCCCCTGTGGGCCCCCGTTTAAAACCGCCATTGAGCTGAAGAGGATGTGAGATTCTGGGCTTCTCCTCAGACGGCTCCTGGATGTGTCGCCACATTGGAGCCAGGAACAAGCACTATTCAGCCAAAGTTTCATAATCAGGGAACATTTTCTAAGTGACAAGTCTCTCAGAGAGACAGGGTTTGGAAAACACTCGCTTCAGTGGGAGGAATCTTCCCGCATGCGCACTGCATGGTTCTCTGCGTGGCTCTGGGGTTAATCAAGTTTAATTGTTTCTCTTTGCAACAATCTTCACAGGAAGGCAAAACAGTTAAACGGCAGGTTACATATATTTCCATTTGACTGTTTATTTTGACAGATGAACTCAAGGATGTTGCTTGGTTTGAAAAAATTACCCCGACGCACACGGATGCTCATGGATGAGCTGACATTTTAATCGTTAACGCACACGCGGAGGTAAAATATTCCCATCAGAACATCAGAGCTCTTTATACTGGACAGTGTGTTCAGCGCGGCTCGGAGCGCCCCCGGTGGACAGTGAGCTGAAGATCTGGGGTTCCAGCGCAGTGCAGAACCACGCGCATGTGATGATTTCCTCCCACTGAAGCGTTCTGGAAACCCGGTCTCTCTGAGGGATGTGTCACTTGGAAAATGTTCTTTTTATGAAATTATGAAACTTTGGCTGAACAGCGCTTGTTCCCGTCTAGTTCCGCATGAAGCGTAGAGACATTTGATCACGCACAAAGTTCGTGTGGAGCAGAAGCGGTCTGGCCACTGCAGGTGAAATGTTCCTAGCCTACATGAAGTGAAACTGTTTAATTGTAACATTAATGTGTTACTGGACACGCTGGTCTGGTTGGTTAGACCAGTGTTTGAAGTGGAAAACACACACACACACACACACACACACACCAATTAAAATATAAAATAATGCTGATAGCGTGGACTAGAAGACAGGTGATGGTTTACGTATTTAAATGATGATCAGGCTGATGTAAAATGTAATCTCCATCCACATCCAGACACAATTATCCTCTAGTTTTTCTCTAGTTGCTCTGCTCTTGTCTGGGCTGATCAGCTGATGGTGCGCGGCGCGCCTAACTAGCGGCTGATGCACATTTTACGCATTTGGAGAGGTGGACTGGATGCTTTGCGTTTACTGGAAGATGGTCCACTTAACGCACGGGTGTAGACTACATATTAATGACAAATGAATGAAAATTAAATTGTGAGTTTTTACTTCATATTTTAGTAATAAAAATGACGGGGGAACACGTTTATGACGTCTTTTTAAACAAAATTTTCTAGCGCGACCTGCCTGCTTCACTTAAGTCACTGCTTATTAAGGTCTGTCCAAAATTACCATGGGAAACGGGTAATAATGGTTCTTTGATGGGAACAGGGTGCCGACCCCTGGATAAGATCTGAGCAGGTAAAACAAAAATCCTCATCAGCAGGCGTTTTTGAAAGTGGGGGGGACACAGCTGCCAATCACAAATTTTGCCGGGGACATGTCCCCGGTTAAAATGACGCCTATGATTACAACAGATTTTTGGTTATTTATCCCAACGGATGTGGAAGGAGAAAGGGGGGAGAGGAGAGTAGAGATGTTCCGATACCGGGTTTTTTTCCGTCGGTACCAATTTCGATACCTGGGGTATAGGTATTTGCCGATACCAAGTACTAATCCAACACCAGTGTTGTTTTACAAAGAGGTGTATTGAATTTATAATTTAAAGGTTTTGCTTTTATTATAGATCTGGGTGTATATTTTTATTACTATCATTGAATGGCCTGTCATTCGTTATATAAACATATAAACATATAAAATAACACATGAAAAAAGGATAGTCACAAAATATTTTAATTATGAATAGATGAACCTGAAATCAAATAATTATTTATAAAATTTAGAAATTTGAAATATGCTGACTCACGGTTTCATATAGTTTGGGGAGCGGCGTCTCAGCGATGAGCTTCCGTTCTGGCAAAGAGTAACGTGGCTCCAAATGTTCAACGAGGCGGCGAAAGCCAACGTTTTCTACAACGGTCAGCGGCTGGTCATCCAGGACAACAAATTCTAAAATTTTGTCCGTTATTGCAGTGGCCTTCTTGCTGTCTTGGGTATATTTCTTGTGGCTCTTAAAGGCATTTAACTGTGTTTGCTATTGCTATGGTTTGCTTCGCTTCTCCTTTAAGGCGTTAAGGCGATACATTCTTCGTGCTCTTGCGTGTGCCTGTGCTCGGCTTCTGACCAAGTCCTCCAAACACACCCACATCACCCCGCTTCTCCTCCAGCTTCACTGGCTGCCAGTCAACTTCAGGGTTCATTTCAAGATCCTGGTTCTGGTCTATAGGGCCTTACATGGACAAGCACCATCTTACATTGGTGATCTTCTTAGTCCCTACACCCCCAGCAGGTCCCTGAGGTCCAGTGATCAAAGCCTACTGGTTGTGCAGCACCAGGCTAAAGGTCAAAGGTGACAGATCATCTGCTGCTGTGGCCCCCAGACTCTGGAACTCTCTCCCCCTGAGCCTGAGATCAGTGGACTCAGTGGTCTCCTTTAAAAAGCAGCTGAAGACTCACTTGTTCAAGCTGGCTTTTGTATGACCTTCTTCACCAGGGGCGGCGTTAGGCCCGGCTACTTGGGCTCAAGCCCCGAATGTTTCATGAAAAGCCCTGGATCTAAAACATGGAAGTAACATGCAGTACCGAAGTCCAACAGAGAGGGAGCAGCTGGCAGTAGTTTGTATACAGCCTGCCTGAGCCTCCACCACTGAAGAAGAAGCCCTTCAGCAGCCGGCTTCTTCTACACTCTCTGCCTGAAACGCATGAGTGAAGATGGACATAAGGACGTTTTTTAGACCAAAAGTACGGCGACAGAACCCCAGCTTTGATGAGACTGGTGTTGACTCAGGTTTGTGAGTCTTATTTGAAAATATTTGTTGTGCTGCTGGTTTGCCTAAAGTTAGCTTATCAGGTAACGTTGTTGGAGAAAGAAAGGGAATATTTACTATCATCTCACACTAAACACTAACAGGAACAATACTCTGCCCTGAATATGATTAGTATGTAGCTTCAGATTAAAAATTATGTGGTAAAAGACAAATATATATGATGTTGACTAGTGTCACGGGTGTGTGTGTGTGTGCGTGTGTGCATGCATGCATGCATGAGCGTGCACGTGTGCGCGCGTGTGTTAAGCCCCGGATCTTCCTCAGTCCTAAATCCGCCCCTGTTCTTCACCACTCTCTCTTTATTCTGCTCTCCCCACCTATTCCACCTTCCTCAGGATCCACTGATTTACCTCTTTCCTGTTCACTCTCTCTTTCTTTCTTAACATTTTTTAATCACAATTGTCTAATTTTGCTCATTTTAAATATATTTTTAAACATTTTCTAAATTCTTTTTTATATTTTTACATTTTTTGTTTTTGTGAAGCGCCTCGTGATTTTTATCTTGAGAGTCGCTATAGAAATGATTCTTCTTCTCCCCTGGAAACTTCTGCCCTGCATATTATGCTTGTAGCCGTCCTGCTAGTAGGCTTTTCTAAAGAAACGCCAAATTGCTGACATACTGCTAATGCTAAGCGCTAGCAAAACAATGACTCGTGTACAGCGTGTCCCGCTCTGCCTAGCAAGATTGCGTCACTTCCTTTGTCTGTGTGTTGTGGAGTTGGGCAGAGGAAGATCCCGTTTACTTGGTTCATGTTTAGAAATAAGTACTCGCCGATTTTTTTTTGCCATTTTTGCCAGAATCGGCAAGTATTTCTGATGCTAGCATCGGCATCGGCCCATCCCTAGAGGAAGGGGAAGAGAGGGTTCCACAAAAACAAACCGTGCAGGATCTACAAGAACCCGCGTCTAGATCTGCAGAAAGAGAAAAAAGGGACACAAAATATAAAGGAACAGAAATATCTCTGCATCAAACAGCATGATATTTGCTGAAAGCACATATATATATACATTTAGTGCCAGCCACAGCCCTAGGTTATGTGTAAGAAAACTGAGTTCTTACTTATGCGAACACTTGTGTGTGTAGACGCTAGGGGCTGCATGACTTAATTTTTTTTAAAGACAACAGTCAAGTAATGAAAATCGAGTCAACTTTGACTAGTCGTTGATCACGTCATACACCTGGAGGGGGGGGGGGGGGGGTCGGTCGGTTGGTTCGCTGGAGTTTTTGACAATTAAAATTACGCCCATATTTTCAAAGTTAAGCATCTCTTTTAACAGCGGTAGTTTCTGCATTTATACTGCTCCGCTTCAGCTCTCTCCCCCCTCCCCCTGCGCAGTACGCCTGCAGCCTCTCAGAGTTCCTGTTAGCCTAGTGAACTAGACCAAATTCTTGCTTTGCAAAGTTTTGTCTAGGAATGCTCCACTGGAACCTCTGCAGCCCCAACAGCATTCTGGCTGGCCAAGCACAGCTCTCTAGAGGGGTTTCAAACACACAAAGAGCTGTGATTGGTCCATAATAGTGGGCCAATCATAGTGCTCTATGTGCTTAGTGGACAGATCACAGAGCTTTATCCACTTTGTGGGCCAATCAGGGCACTCTATATGCCTGGTGGGTGGGATGATGCAACAGAGTGAAACAAGAGTATGTCACATTCACTGTCCAGTGGAATGCGGAGATCATTTGAAAGACGACGGTAGAACCCGCCCCACAACCGAGAGCCGTCAATGGAGCGTTGCCAGACTAAATAATACATTTATTTGGTCTGGCTTGCCAGGCTAAGTTCCTGCTGCTCTAAACATTAAAATAATTATTTCATTTTCTGTTCCTCACTTCTGATTACCTTCAGTGGTGTCTGTTTGTTGCAACCACCAGGTACAAAAACTAACTTGTTTTTATTTGACTATTTTTCTGTCCTGCCTGTTTATTATCTTCCTGCATCTCCTCTCAATCCTAAAGAGAAACTGCTACCTGGGTTCATATATATTCACCTTATGAGTTACCTTTAAGCTGCAGCTCTAAAAGATCCACCTACCGCAAAAACAGCGGAGTGCGCGCCGGCCGCACCGGTGGTGAAGTCACCGGAGGACAAAACAGGTGACGCGCCCCGCTCCACAGCAGCGAAAAGCATCAGGCACAAATAAAAGACAGAAAACATAAAAGCAAATGAGCCGACATGAACGATCGCGTGTTAAATTTGTTTTTGAGGTGGCGACACCTGATTTGATAATGTTACTGTGGCCGTGCTGAGGACGCAGATGTCTGGAGCGCGTCAGCGATCAGAGCTTTGCATGCGCAAGCTGGTTAAGGTTAGGATGGGGGTGAGGGGAAGGTTAAATTGCAAGAGGGTAAACGTCACAATTTGGTTAAATGTCCGTTTTACCGCGGGCGTCAGAAACCGACGCTCTAGCACAGCGCGTCGCCTCCGCCTCCCGACGCGCAGGAGCTCGTCGCCTGCTGTCTTTTCCGAGGACTGCATCTTGTCGCTCATTATCACGTGACAGCGACTAGTCTATGAAAGGCATAAAAAGTCATTACAGAGCAGTGAAGTTGACTAGTTCATACAACCCCTAGTAGACGCACCTGTGAATGCAAGGTTTCCTCTACAGAGTCCAGTAGTGAGTGTGATGGACCACAGGCCCACCCCCCAAGACCCCCAGAAGACACGGAGGAGATCCCTCCTGACCATCACTGCAGGAGCAGATTTAGCTCCTTGAATTGTCCTTCTTGATAAGATAAACAAAGGCAGGCATGAGCTGCGTTTCTTTCGGAGACTCTGAACCACATCATTTATTCATTTGCTGTGTGTGTCCTCATAGCTGCTCTGCAGCAGAGGACAGAGTGAAGTCCACACACACCCACACACTGCTCTCCTCTTCCACTGTCTCCTCCACGCTGGAGCAGGAGCTCTTTGCCACAGACAGATGTTTACTGGATGGCACCCAGAATGAAAAAGAATCACGCATACGGGAAGCCCCCGCTGGCTGATTCTGCTCAGCATTCGGAGGCAGTAGGCGTAGCAGCGTCGCCTCAGTCCCGGCCGGCCTCCGGGGAACAGGTTCGACAGAAAGAGTCACCTCAGAACAGGAGAAGCACATATGACCCAGCCAGATGTTAAAACACATTCCCTACCCGAACCGATCCGCGCTGGCCCAGATGTGTAAGCAGCTGTATTTCCGGGTTGAAGGAATGGCCCTTAAAATAACTCATATTTAATTAAAATGACACGTCAGTAGTGGCAACAGTAATATGTATTCATGCACTGTGCCGATCTTTGCTCTGGAAGGTGTAAAATACCGTGATATTGGCCCTTTTAACTCTCGTTCGGTCTGGTTCTGCTTATAACAAAACCGGTCAGATGGACCTCAGCTGAGGACCTTTGCTGAGTTGATATTAGAGATTTAAAAACTCAAACAGTTAGAATAAAAGTGAAGTAAAATAATAAAACTGTTCTGATTGGCTGAATTCTCCTCTCAGGCCCATGTGACCCATACGCTCTCCAGCTGTTGAGCAGAAGGAGCAGAGAGAGATGGAGGCTCGCCTTGATGACCTACTGTCACGTATCGCCATGGAGACAGATGAGATCAAAGAGCTGGAGCAGCAGCTGACTGACGGTGTGGAGAAAACTGACCAAACATTGAGCGGAGACTGGCTGAAACTCATCAGGTGAAGTTACTTGTGTCTTCCTCCTGTAGGTCAGATTCTGGCTAACAAGGCTCTTCAGAGGGACTTGAAGGAGGTGATCTGTGGACTTCAGGAGTACCTGAGAGGACTTGGACAGCAGGTAAGAACCGCTAAAAACCAGCTTGTCCTACCCACCGGGTTTTTCTACGTACACCCAGGTGTTAGTCAGACCCACCAGGTTAATCTGTGAACACCCAGGTGTTAGTCAGACCCACCAGCTTCATCTACGTACACCCAGGTGTTAGTCAGACCCACCAGGTTAATCTGTGAACACCCAGGTGTTAGTCAGACCCACCAGCTTCATCTACGTACACCCAGGTGTTAGTCAGACCCACCAGGTTCATCTACGTACACCCAGGTGTTAGTCAGACCCACCAGGTTAATCTGTCAACACCCAGGTGTTAGTCAGACCCACCAGCTTCATCTACGTACACCCAGGTGTTAGTCAGACCCACCAGGTTCATCTATAAACACCCAGGTGTTAGTCAGACCCACCAGGTTCATCTATAAACACCCAGGTGTTAGTCAGACCCACCAGGTTAATCTGTGAACACCCAGGTGTTAGTCAGACCCACCAGGTTAATCTGTGAACACCCAGGTGTTAGTCAGACCCACCAGGTTAATCTGTGAACACCCAGGTGTTAGTCAGACCCACCAGGTTCATCTACGTACACCCAGGTGTTATTCAGACCCACCAGGTTCATCTATGAACACCCAGGTGTTAGTCAGACCCACCAGGTTCATCTATGAACACCCAGGTGTTAGTCAGACCCACCAGGTTCATCTATGAACACCCAGGTTTTAGTCAGACCCAAAGGTCCTATCCGAAGATGCTGTTTTGTGTTCCAGACTTGTTCTCAGCTGCAGGCTGACAGGTTACAGGATGAAAACCAGAGACTACAGCGCTTTCCGCAGGAGGCTCGGGGACTCTGCAGGCAGCAGGAGGAGGACAGGTCGCAAACACACACTAAAGTCAGCGTAGTAAGAACACAAACACACACTAAAGTCAGCGTAGTAAGAACACAAACACACACTGGTCACTAAGCATCCCATTGAAAAAATATCCATACGTTTTGTTGCTATTTTTCATTCTTAATGTAGAAACTAAATTGTGTTTATTCAAAAATGACAACAAATCTATTATAGTAGATATTTAGGGGAGAAAAAAAACTTCACTGACTTGAATCTCTGAAAAAAAAAACATCTAATCTAGTAATAGTTCCTCTTGTCCTCAACGTTCTGAGAATAATTAATGAAGGCTTCCATTTAATTCTCTGTTTTTCTATCATGCGCTCTAAAAGAGTTTTGCTTGTTTGCATCTGAAACAACAAGCGCAGCACCTTGTCTGTGTTAGAATGGACCGGTCTAATTACTGGGAAACCTGCTTCTGACCAACATGTTTTATGTGACTCTGATTTTCTGCTTCGTATCACATCAGATCCTCACTCTGTCAGAGTCTCCCTGAACACTTTTAGCCCTGGAGTTTATTTTAGCACCATTTTGGATCTCGTCAGTTGGTCTCAACGCGATTGATATAATTTTTTCAACGATGAGAACGGGAGAAGGGACTCCCGGATGCCCCCTGGGACAGACCCAGTTGGACACATCATGGACTCCTGGAAACAGTGGAACTTGATTTGTTTATCTCGGCTGTCTGTGGAGGACTCTGAAGACGTGTGGATATTCGTGGTGTTGGTGTCAGGTTTCCTGCTCATTGTCCTTGGAGGCTACCTGGTTTACCGGAAAATTAACGAGCTGTCGAGGACTATTGGCCGGATCCCTGAGCTCAGAGATGGTTTGCGCCGTGCTGTGAATTCACAGACACATAATTGTCGAGATGAATCGTAAGCTTGGGACTTTGGTGGAGATTCATTCTTTGGCACAAAAGATGGATGCCATCAGGGAGAGAGTGGACGAATCAGCACGGATTGGGATAGATTAATGTCCATTATTGGGATTTTGAGAGGTTGAGGACCAACAAACTGTAAGAGAGGAAATTATCTCTGTCTGGCCCCAAAACAATTTCTAATCGGAATCTGGCGCCCTTGAGCCTGCGAGGCTCCAACGAAAACTCCCCCCTCAGAAGATATGTGGAATGTGCCGTCACTATGGCAACTCAACTCTGTCTCCTTTCCCAGCCTGGGCGGGACTGCGGGAAGGCCGCTGAAACGTTCCAGGGTCACTGCAACCTTCCAACCCTCAATATTTGCGGGACGAGAGAAAAGTGATAAAAATGCGAGACTGTCCCGCACAATGCGAGAGAGAGCCATGTCAACCAACACAGCCCCACAATGTCCAGAACCTTACTGAACTTCAGGATGTGTCTTTTTCACCCGAGGGTCCTTGCCAAGAGCAGCTTTTTGACCACCTCAGAGATCTCAGCATCAGACTGTAGAGCCCAACCCAAAGTCCAGACTCCAATTACCGTAATTTCCGGACTATAGAGCGCACCTCAAGTTAAGCCGCACCAGGCTAAAAGTCGCAGATATCTACTGAATAGAAAACGTAGTTTAACTGAACGTAACTGAACTGATCAGTATCAAACAAAACAGAAAAGTTATTGATTAGTTTATTCATCGTCCTCCTGCGCACTGAAACCACTGAAGTCATCATCTTCTTCAGTGTCAGAGTTGAACAGCCTCAGAAGAGCTTCGTCACACACCTTTTCTGTGGCGATGTCGGTGTCGTTCTCCGTGTTGCTGTCATCATCCCGGCGTGAAGCTGGGAAAACAAGCAGTGCCGTTTTACTGTGAAAAAAATCCTCCTGGGCGCTTTTCGTAGCGCTCCTTTAACCATTCCTTCATTGGACTTCCCAGCATCCATCCTTTCTGGTTGACTAAAGCCGCACCTCATTATAAGCCGCATGGTTCGAAGTGCGAGAAAAAGTAGCGGCTTATAGTCCTATAGTCTATAGTCCTATAGACATGCCGGTGGGGTTGAGGTCTTCACCGTACTCCGCTCACTGATCCACTATGGCCTGAGTTGAAGTCATGTGCACACCGTTCCCACTATAAAGTGTTGGTAGCGTGCTATTTACCCCTCCTGAGGCGCTGAATCGTGGACCATAATCAGCTCGAAGCCCTCGTTCCATGGTCTCGCCAAACTCTTCCCACACTCAGGTTTCTGCATCTGCAACCATTGAGCTGCATTCCCCTTGGACTGTCAGGATTTATCAGCTGCCTTTGGAGTCTCACAGGTCAAAAAACCCCGATAGGACTATTTCTTCAGGTTCAGCATACCTAGCCGCCGGTGTCCACCATTGGGTTTGGAGGCCGCCACCACGACAGGCACCGACGAGCCCGCGGCCGCAGCTGTTGACCACATAGACATGGAAGCATGGAACTTGGCCCACCCACTCAATGCCCCCCCCCCCCGCGCTGATGTGTTTGAAATTCTGTTGGAGGTGGGAACTGAAGCTCCTTCTGACAGGAGGCTCTACCAGACGTTCTCAGACCCTCACAATAACTTTAGGCCTGTCAGGTCTGACCAGCATCCTCCTCCACCATTGAAGCCAACTCACCACCAGGTGGAGGTCAGCTGACAGCTCCGCCCCTCTCTTCACCTGAGTGTTCAAGACACGCGGCCGCAGATCGGATGACGCGACAACAAAGTAGATTGTCAAACTGTAGCCTAAGGTATCCTGGTGCCAAGAGCACACATGAACACCTTTCTGCTGGAGCATGGTGTTCATTATGGAAAATCCATGACGAGCACATGAGTATAATAACAAAACACTGCTCAGATTCAGATCAGAACTCTCGTCAGCTTGTTCGGACTAAATATTCATTTAAATGAATGGAAATTTAACGAATGATTGTTCAGTCATTTAAAAAGGAAAGTGACGGGGGTAAATGCATCGTGCGGCCTCCTCAGAGTGCGCCCAAACGCAGCAGCGATACTTTCACTTTACTAAATAAAATGCCACAATGGTGGACCCCACAGCGAAACAAAGACGAGGCTTTAACCGAGTTTAATAACCTGCATGCCTCTGATGAAAACAGGAAGCTGATGTTCACTGTGTGTCCAGCAGGTGGAGCTGTCTGCTCTGTGGATGGAAGCTCAGTCTATAAGGGACAGGCAGACTCAGCTGGAGGCGGGGCTTCTGCAGCTGAGAGAGGAGCTAACTCAGCAGGTGACACTGAAACAGGTGATTGTTTACTCACCTGTCTGGTCTGAGAAACCTTAAAAATTGACTTATTGAACACCTGCTGCAACGACAGATTAAATCCTGGATCAAAGTGGACACGGATTAAAACCCGGTTTGTCTGCAGGAGGACGACAGGTCTCCGCAGAGTGTCAGTCTGAGACTTCAAGCCCAGCTGGACCAGAACAGAGTTCATTTTAACTACATTGGGACCCAGCTGGACCAGTTTACATCCACTTTACCAGAACTTCAGACGGACCCAGAGGAGAGGAAGAACAGGTACCTGTGAAATGATCTGGATGGGATTAAAACCCCAAAGATTAGCTAGCAATTTATGATCCTGTGAAAATAAACCCAACTTCCGAGTTTCTTCTGTCCCTGCAGTCCCACCGGTTCCAAACACTCATTGTTCTTCAGAACCGCACAGCACACCGGGATGAGTGGAGGGCAGCTGCAGGTGGAACCCAACCAGAACGTCTCGGCCAGGCTGCAGGCCCGGCTGATCCAGGACCAGGGGAACACCTCTGTGGATAAGAACACTGAGCAGCCGAGGTCTCAGAGCAGAGACCGCCTTGTTTGTGAGCAGAACCCGGTCAGTATCAGCCAGAACATATCAGTTTGTCAGACTGATGGGTCAAATCCGGTTCTGATCAGCGATCTGGCTGACCAGAAGCCAAACCGCTTCTGGGACTGAGTGATTCTGGCTCCCGGGTTGGTCAACGGCGTCTGTGGAGTGGAGGATGATGCGTTCCTCTTCCGTGGCTTGACTTTAGGTTCCTACAGCTGCACCAAAATGTAGAATTCAGAGCGCAGGTCCAGATTCAAAACGATGCCAGATTGAAAACTGCTCCAAATGAGTTTTAACTCTTAATGTGAAAACTCGACCGGCCCAAGCCGATTTCTGGTTTTATGTAGATGTTCGTACGCTTCTAAGTTCTACCGTAACTTTTGAGAGCTTTAATGACCTGAAGACTTTGAGAGCGACAGTGTTGCTAGGCGAGATGAAAAAGCCCCGCAGGGATTTGTGCTTAAGGTGTCTTTTTTTGTTTTCTCTGCAGCCACGAGGTTTGAACTCTGGCTTCTAATAACCTTTCTTGGTCACGCCCACATGTATTTCACTCATTAACCACTGGATGGCACTATGGCTCTTTCACAAAACTCATCCTTTCCAAACAGTAAAACGTTCAGATCACAATTTACCAAACTTATCCAGATGGGATAAAAAGTTTCATCAAAAGTATTATTTTAAACAGGAAAGAACTAAATTCATGTCTTAAAACTGGACAGTTTTACCGTTAGCATGAATTTTAACTGAAGAAACAAAAATGGCAGATGTTTAACATGAAAGAGGAACACAAACAAGCATTTAGGTTTGTTACTGAATAGAGTTTAAACATTTACTTTGAACACCTCAATTTTTTGTAATTGTAAACAACCTAAAACACCTTCTTTGACTAGATGAACAGAAATACAAGGTTTTTTAAGGACTCAATTCTGGAGCTTCCAGAATAAAACCTCAGAAGTTTTGCGATCACCCCTATCTTGGGTCTTGGGTAAGGGTCAGTCTCGACAGGTTGATGTAAAACAGACCAGTTTCTGATGTCGTCCTGCTTCTCCGATTGGTACAGAAGAAAAACTCAGTCAAACTGGTGCAATTTACATCCCTGGGAGAGAATCTTAGGAGTTACCAGATGTGCTGAAGAGATCTTGAAGTGTGAGAGAAAGAAAAGCTTTGTGCAAATCCAACCAAAGTTAATCTGAGAATATGAAATGTGGATTTCCACTACACGAGGGAGGCCAATAGGGCTGCGCTGTGGCGCAGTGGTTAGAGCTGTTGCCTTGCAGCAAGAAGGTCCTGGATTCGCCTCCGAACCCTGGGATCTATCTGCATGGAGTTTGCATGTTCTCCCTGTGCACGCGTGGGTTCTCTCCGGGTACTCCGGCTTCCTCCCACAGTCCAAAAACATGACTGTTGGGTTGATTGGTCTGTCCAAATTGTCCTTAGGTGAGTGTGTGCACGATTGTTTGTCCTGTGTCTCTGTGTTGCCCTGAGATGGACTGGCTCTCTGTCCAGGGTGTACCCCGCCTGATTGCCCACAGACCGCTGGAGATAGGCACCAGCCCCCCATGACCCTATGTGGACAAAGCGGGTTCAGAAAATGGATGGATGGAGTGAGGCCAATATGAATATAAAGAAATACAATAAAGAAGATAAAAAATGAAATAAAATTTTCAAAAGAGCTTTATATATGTATTTATACATTAAAACTGTCTAAATATGATTAGAATAACTAAATAACATGACAAAATGAGAGGGAACATCTGTAAAAATGATGCATTCTAATATGGCAGCCTGATGACGTCATGATATGCAAATATATATATGAATTTGCTCCCAACACAAACTTTAGGTCCTACTGAAGATCGTTCTCATTTACAGTTTACCTTTATCTCTAATTCAGTTCAAGGTTTGATTACAGTAACCTTAAAATCCTATGGTACATACCCATTTACTAAGGATAGATTGATTGTATCTAGGATGGGGGCAGTAACCAAAGGAAATGCATCTTTAAATAATTTGGTTGGGATTGGATCTAAAATGCAAGTTGAAGGTTTAGATGAAGCTAATATTTTTGATAACTCTGAAAGCTCAACTGGATCAAAACGGTTCAAGCACAGATGAGGTTCTACAGTTACCTCTGATGCTGCCTCACTTACTGAGGAAGAAGAAATCACATTAGGGAGGATGCTAATGATTTTGTTTCTAATAGAATTAATTTTACTTGTAAAAAATCCCATGAAGTCATTGCTGCTGAGGGCTAAGGGAATAGATGGCTCAGAGCTATGATTCTGTGTAAGTTTAGCAACTGTACTGTTTAAAGAAATTTAGGAATATGCTTATTCTCCTCAATTAATTCTGAGAAATAAGCAGTTCTAGTTTGTCGAAGCTTATTTTTATAAAGCACAAGACTATTTTTCCAGGACAGGTAGGCCTCCTCATGGTGCGTAGAGCGCCATGTTCTCTCCAATTTCCTAGAGTTTTGTTTTAAGGCTCTTAAATGAGAATTAAACCAAGGAGCCAACTTCCTGTCCCTAATTACCTTCTTTTTTTAAAGGGGCTACATCATCTAATGCCACACGTAAAGAGGAATTAACATGATGAACTAAGGCATCAATTTGTGAGGGGTTAGAACTGAAAATATTGCCCTCTGCTACATGCCTCTGAGATGCTGAGGACAGTAAAGATGGAACAGTTGATTTAAAAGATGCAACTGCATTGTCAGTTAGAGACCGACTATTGTGAAATTTACTTTCATGTCTCGAGAACTCCGTTATAAAAAACTCAAAGGTTATCAGAAAGTGGTCCGAGAGGACTGGATTATGTGGAAAGATCGTTATTTCCTCACACTCAATGCCATAAGTCAGCACAAGGTCCAATGTATGATGGCAGGAGTGGGTGGAGCTATGTATTCTTTGAGTAAAACCAATTGAGTCTAAGATATTACTAAAGGCAACATTGAGGCTATCATTTTCAATGTCCACATGAATATTAAAATCCCCCACTACAATGACCTTATCAGTATTTAGCACCAAATCTGATAAAAAATCAGAGATCTGATCCAAAAACTCAGAGTAAGGGCCTGGTGGACGATATAAAACTAAAAACAAGAGTGGTTTTACAGTTTTGCAATCTGGATTAGGAAAACTAAGAATAAGATGTTCAAACGAACTGTAGCTATTAATCTGTAAGGGACTGATTAATAAGTCCGAATGAAAAATGGTTGCTACTCCTCCTCCTCGCCCTGTACTTCGAGCAATATGATGATTTAAATAATTTGAAGGAGTCGACTCGTTTAAGCTAACATAGTCCTCTTGCTGCAGCCAGGATTCTGTGAGGGAGAGAGCAAAGAGATCTGATTATCACAAATCAACTCATTAACTAACAAAGTCTTAGAAAAAATGGATCTAATGTTCAACAACCCACATTTAATTTTTCTATTTTTCTGCTCAGTTGAATTTGTTCTAATATTTATGAGATTTCCATGATTTGCTTTATTAAGCCTGATATCTAATCTGTGTGATTTTGGCCGTGGGCAGGACACTGTCTCTATGTGGTAGTGGGTGGGTAACAGTACAGAAGCTGCAGGGGGGTGGGCTAAACTACGACTGCTTCCTGGTCTGGACCCTGGGTAGTCATGGAGGACTAATAAAACTGGCCATGTTCCTAGAAAGAAGAGCTGCTCCATCCAAAGAGGGATGGATGCCGTCTCTCCGCATCAGACCAGGTTTTCCCCAAAAAGTTTTCCAATTATCAACTTAGCCCACGTTGTTTTCACTTCCAAGCTACAACCTTTTGAATTAGTCCGGCGCCTAAAGGCTTAACGTTCATGGATTCGCCCATCTTGGCTCACGACGTGGAAGGCGACACAGCAGAGAAGGTCTCAGCTAGTAGAAGCTAACTGTTAGCATTAGCAACTCCACCACACAGATCTCCTCCAGACTCTTGCTATTCGAGGAGATAAAACATCAACATTGAAGAGCAGTGGTAGAGTCGTGTTGCTGTTAGCCAATCAGAGGAGAGATGCCCACATATCAGGAAATACGACTCATAATCCGGCCGTCTGAAGCTACTTTCTCCTCCAGCTGACTTCTCCGTGCGGAAGCGGGCGCGCTGGAGCTTTTTGTCCCCGGAGATTAATTTCTACATGTAACATCCTGAGTTATTTGACACAAAGTTTTCTGATTCTTGAAACCAGCAAGTCAAAGTTTGGGTGTGTCAAATATTTATTTATTTATTTATTTATTCAGCAGGAAAAGTTTCCTGAGATTGAATCAGAAATTATGAAAAGTTCTTTTGTAATTTAATGATTTTGTTGTGTTATTTTTCGGTTTCAGGCTCCCAGTTTGGGATCTCAGGGCACTCAGGACTCTGGTCTGGAGCTGCAGTTCCCCAGTTCTCCCGACAGGGGGCAACAGCAGGGTGGACCTTCTGCAGGGAGGGGGTACTGGGTCTTCGTCCCTATGGTGCACCAGGAGAGGGAGTGTGTGTGTTCGGATGATCAGAACAATGATGGGTTGAGTGACCGCAGCTCCAGAGGAGGCTCTCCTCCTCCTCCACCTCCTGCTTCTCCTCCTGTCACAGCGGCAGCAGCTTCTGCTGGTGTCACCGATGCCCGGACTTCCCTGAGGGGCTCTGCCAGTCCCTCCACAAAGTCTGCTTCTCTACGCTGCAGGCCTCCAAAGCAGAAGCACACGGTGAGGGTCTGCAGCTGCTGAGCAAACATCTGGAATTATCAGCTGTTTGAAACTTTACAGGTTCTGGAAAGGAACCGAAAAGTTTCCACGATTCCAGAGGCGGAATCAGGAAGGCAACATCTCAGAACCTTTATCCATAAAGACCATTAAAACCCGAGGTTACTTCCTGCAGAGGTCATGACCTCTGACGTCGTGCTCCTTCACCTGCCCTGTTGCCTCGAATCATCGCTGACCTGAAATCTGCACATTTCATCAGACCACAAGTTTCCGTTCCAACATCACCTCCAGGTCCAAAGCAGATGGGACTCACAGAACCGGTCCCGTTCAGTCCACTGGTCGCTGGTCCGTTATCTTCAGCATGTGTGACGGAGGCAGCTGCCGCTAAAACCAGTTTAGACTCCTCTCTGGGAACTAGATCAGACCTGAAGGTTGAAGAACACAGAACCACCAACTTGTCCAATCAAACGGCAGAGAGCTTCCAGATGTTTCTCAGGAGATGCTGAACGTCAGCACAGAAACCCGAGATCAGCTGATGTATGCACGAGATGACTGAGTTCAAACAAGTGTGTGTGTGTGTGTGTGTGTGTGTGTGTGTGTGTGTGTGTGTGTGTGTGTGTGTGTGTGTGTGTGTGTGTGTGTTTAGGAAGATGCAGAACGTCTGAAAGAAAAAAAGGAGCTACAAATGGAAACCAAATGGCTGCGACATAAACTACGGCAGCACAGGTGACACACACACGCACGCATGGGGGGGCTGTAACAATACTCTGGCGATAAAGGTTAATCAAAGTCAGTTCAATTGTCACTTCTGCCACATGTACAGGACATACAGAGAAATGAAATTATGTTACTCTCAAACTCTCGCTAGATAGAAAATAAACATTTAGTATAAAAAGAGTAACCAAGTTCAGAGAGACTGTGGGGGGAAAAAGAGGAGAGTTGGGAGAGCCGGGAGGGAGTTTAGCTTCCTAACTGCCTGATGGATAAAGCCGTCCTTCAGTCTGTTGGTCCTTGAGACTCCGCAGTCTCCTCCCTGACGGCAACAGCTCGAAGAGGCTTTGCATCGGGTGAGTGGGATCAGCCACAATGCGAAGGGCCTTTTTTGTGAGGCGGGTGCTGTAAATGTCTGGTAGGGAGGGGAGAGAGACCCCGATGATCTTCTCTGCTGCTCTCACGATACGTTGGAGGGTTTTAATGCAGGAAACGTTGCAGGCTCCGAACCACACAGTGATGCCGCACGACAGGATGCTCTCGATGGTGCCTCTGTAGAAAGTGTACAGGATGGGGGCTGGTGCTCTTGCTCTTCTTAGTTTGCGGAGGAAGAAGAGACGCGGAGGAAGGAAGGAAGGAGGATGTGAGGGCATTTCCAAAAAATGAGCTAAAAATTTCAGGCTCGTTTGAAAAAAAAAAAACTCATGTAAATTAGCTCAACAGTTCAGTCCGGGCTTCCACTCCACACACGGTGTCCGCGGGTCCTTAACAAGTCTTAAATTAGCTTTTCCAAATTTAAGGCCTTAAAAATCCTTAAAAATGACAAATAATCCTTAAATCCAGTTTCCAAAGGTCTTAAATTACCAAAGACCCAATAAACAAGATTCTTTTGTTTCTATAAATATTTTGTGAATTTCTAGTTGGTGTTCATCGTTTTTTGTGTACGATGTTGGCGTAAGCGGAACCGTACACATGCAGTTGGTTGTGAAAGGGGGCTATTTTTAGATGAGCACTGTTACACAGTGAAGTGTAGTGAGGACAAAAGAAACATGATGACTTGGTCGATAGACAAGGAAAACCAATTTTATTTCCTCTGGTCCGAAAAAAACAAAATCAGAAAATCCCAGCACTATTCAAAATGGCCACCCATCCAACTCTCTTAGCAGTCTCTGTCACTTTCAGAGAGAAAAAACGACCCTTTGCCACACCCAGCAGTCCACCTATATACTCTCTGACCCCCCCTCCAATTCAGGTCGGCCAATCACATCAGTCCTCTCAGGCATTTCCTATATAAAGGCAGCATTAGAGGCGGGCTTCCTCTTTAGCTGCTTCAAAATGGCTGCCACAGAGGACACCTCCTGAGGGTAACAAACAAATTCATGTTACATAAGAGATTACATCCCTGAATGAACACTCTTTGGTTTAGAGAAGACATGTTGCTTCTCAACAAGCACATTAGCTGGTTAAGCTAGTGGGAGCTTGCGCCATGGGGAAGTGCAAGTTTAATGGTAACTGGATGGCTAATCCCACGATCGCGACGTGGTTAGCACCGGTTCCAGGCAGTAGCTGGAAATTATAGCTTAAATTTTTAAAAGTTGCTTAAATTTGGTCAAAGTGGCCTTAAAAAAAGTCTTAAAGTCTTAAGTTTGGCTCTCTTACACCTGCAGATACCCTGTCCGCAGAGTAGTAGACGCACGGATGGTGTGTACTTTTTAACCATGTTGTCATGTACAGGTGTGTGTTGCAGGTGTGTGATGAGTTGGCGTGTTTGGAGGAAACTCTGCTGAAAAGACGAGCAGAACTACGAGAGTCAGACAGGCTGCTGCTGGAGGCTGAGAGGCTCAGAGACTTGACAGGGGGGCAGGTACACACACTCTTAAGCAGGGGCGTAGCACCAAATTCTGGGCCCTAGGTACAAGTCTTCTAGGTGGGCCCCCATGCTCAATTATTTAATATCTCTCTTACACATTTTTTGTCATGCTATAAGACAAGATAATAAATATGATCTTAGTTTAACCTCTATATTGAGCAAATACAAATGACAGCATAATAAAAGTGAAATGCCCAGACTTCACATATAATTCTTTTTATTTGCCAACAATGTGTTCAAACAAAAATCCTGGAATTTATTTTCCAGTAAATGCCCACTGACGCGTCTTCATGTTAGCAAAATCACTTATGAGATCTTTAAAGTCCAATCCTTTGGCTAATTGGCTTTCAATAGAAAGAAGAGCTAGGCTGTTCAGTCTATCCTGGGACATTGTTGATCTCAAATAATTTTTCACCAGTTTCAGTTTGCTAAAAGCCCGTTCACCCCCAGCAACAGTCACAGGTAGTGTGCAAAATATCCTCAGTCCAATACAAACTTCTCCAAAAATGCTCTGTAATTGCATCCTGTATGGCATTAAGCAGCTCAAGAGGAGACCGAATGTGTGGAAATGTGGCACCAGATATCGTTCTCAGGTGTAGCATCTCATTCTCAAATTCAGCTGTGAGATCCTTGTAATATTTTCTCATCAGTGCTGGCATGATATCTTCATCTGCTCTTCAGTCATGTCTGTCATGGTTCATAATGCTAAGCTTTGCTGATATATATTGATATATTAAATACATATGACATGAAATAAACCAGGTTCTCTCTGTGAATGTAAGGTACTCTAAATTTTATAATCCCTGCATTATCAGCCAAATTATAAAATTGTCTGTTTTCAAGATCAAATATAAAGACATTTAAAATAGGCTTAAATATCTAACCAAGTCAATAACAATCCTCTAACACCAGTGTCATCATGCTATACGAAAAACAGTGGCAGCTTCACGTTCCTGAGATTACCACGAATCCATCGATACCAAGTTTGTCCTGGTCCATGACCGGGAAGGAGCTGAAATATCCACACAGAGTGAACCTGTTTTTACTGCGAGGTCCGTGAATTAATTGGCGGCGGCCGCCCGCGATAATAATTCTGATTAATATATATATTTATATTAATTAGTGTTTTCACTGATAACACTAATTAATTTATATTTGATCTTGATGGTGAAACTAAAGGCATTTAACACTGAACACCTAACATGAATGCAGCTTCTGAGAGCTAGCTAATATCAGCTAAAACTGTGTTCTGCTGCTGCTGGCTGCTGCTCACCATCCTTCTACTTGCTTCTGTTCAATTAACTTTTCCTCCTTCTTTTCTTTTCTTTTCTTTTCTTTTCTGGAAGCCAGATTTGCCTTTCTTGGGAAAAGACATGACTGACTCCTGCCTCCAGCTCTGGCTGTCGGCATCTGCGATGTCTCATTAGCACATGCAGCCGTGCAGCCCCTGGCCGCTGGTGTGGACTAAACCACTTTGCACATTTTTAAGGGGTGATAGATGCCTCACAGATTATTCAGTTATTATTTTTAAGGCGAAATTCTGTTTCTTAACCTCTTTATCCAGGTAAAGGGAAGTTTATTAAGACATTAAGTAAGTTGGGGGGAAAAAACAACAACAATAAAACATTTTTATTCAAAGCTGTCTCAGGGCCCCTCCCTGCAGTGGGCCCTGGGTAAACGGTACCCTTTCCCCCCCCAGTCCGACGCCCCTGCTCTTAAGGCCCACTCTCAAAACTCTCACTTCCACCCTTGTGCACTTCAATTATGCGATCCCGACCAAGGGTGTGGGTGTGTAGGGTGTCCTGATTCTCACTTCACCCAAGTTCACATCCATGCAGACTCGAGTGAAGTGTTTTACCCACAATCCTTGCTTTTCTCCTTCAGGTTGACATTCTGCTCCTCAGACGTCTGACCAGCACCTCCTCTCTGCTGGAGGCGGCGCAGCACCTCCGGTCTGCATTTCTCAGTTTTCATTTTTTTTACGTTTGTTTTTGATCTTTACTCTGTTTTCGTTCCTTCTTGTGATCTTCGTCTGACGCCTCTTCATGTTTGATTCAAAGGGAGTTGAGGAGGAGGAGGGAGGAGGAGCAGCTGACTCTCTGGGAGGTGGAGGCGGCGATAAGGAGTCGACATCAGGAGTTCAAACAACTCGACACAAAAATGAAAGCAGCAGCAAACAGGTGAGACAAACACCTGCAGCCTTCTCACATTAAAGGCCCAGTGTGTAATATTTTTACCTGTTTACTATAAATCCTGCTTCCAGTTCACAAACGTGTCCTTTTTCACTAATATTTCTCACCAACTTGAAACTCTACATTTTTATATACATAAACTGTGGCCGATGCTCTATGGTCGTCCACCATCTTAAAATACAGTAGCTGTTTAGGGACATACGAGCTCCACGTTCCCCGTTTGGACTGTGACTGTAACCTGAAAGAACCAGCAGAGGGCAGCAGTGCGCCCTGGAAGCATGTCTGCTATTTCAACTAAGAAATAGAAAAGAATAGCGACACCGTTGCTGTACTTGTTAGTTTGTATAATAAACAATTAAATAAAAACGCATAAATTTTGTCAGTTCGTCATCATGTCCAACACAAGGACGCCACATATGTTCAGACCCCCGCCCGCTATTAGCTGAATGCCAGCCTTCTAGTGTCTCTGACTCCCAAACTCACCTCAAGTTGTTCATTCATCTTTTCTTAGTACCAGAACTCCCGACCCGGTCCCAGCGTGTCAGTACTAGGGTTGTGACGGTGTGAAAATTTAACCTCACGGTTATTATGACTAAAATTATCACGGTTTTCGGTATTATCGCGGTATTTTTTAAAACGTGTTACATTTTCAGACAACTACATAAACCCTGTATATCAGGAAATATTGTCCTCAGTTTGTGTCTAAATTTTCCCTAAAATGTGTTATTTTGTAATTATGTTGTTTATTTGTTTACATTTTCCCCTTTAGTCTTTAAAATACCAATATTTGCCCATAACTTCTTATTTTTTGTCTGTTTGATGTCATCATTTAAAAAATATTAGACCAGATGATACTCAGTACTCAAGTAGCCTTCTAATCAGATACTTTTTTACCCTTACCTGAGTAATAAACCCTGTATCAGGAAAGTATTGTCCTCGGTTTGTGTCCTTCCAGTGAGCTTTGCAGATGTGGGAAAATGTCATCAGGCAGTAATCATTGTTAAATTCATAATTATTCTCGGAGAGAGACCAACTCTTATCTGCCCCTGGGAGCCCCGTAATGCATAGCGTCATTTCAACATGGCGGTGTCCGCGACACGGTTTATATGCAGGTAGCGGCGCTGCGGCTGCTTTATATAGCGACTCGTTGCATTCTCCCTCAACCCAAATCCTCGGGTCACGCATTTTAGCTAAAACGCTAACGTTAGCTTGCCTTGCGTTGACTGTAGAGTTGTGGGTGATGGTCACGCAGATGTGTCATGAGATTTGAAGCGTTGCTGCCTTTCACAGACACTTTTTCTGCACGTGCTGCAAACAGGATAGCCGTCTTCTATCAGCTGTCTAGGGCTGGGGGTAAACGATTATTTTTAAAACGATTATTCTGACGATTATTTTATCGAATAGTCGACTATTCTAATGACTATTTAGAAAATTAATCTAATGATTATTTTTCTATTGCACAATTAACAAAAACCAGAAAATCTCAAATAAATTCCTCAAAAAAATTGATAAATCCTTACTGTAAGAGAATAAACACTACAGGCCTTCCATTTTGTATAACACTGCTTTTATTGTGTTGCGGTTGGTTATGTTCTGGTGACGTGTAGAACTTAGGAGTGCAGGCTGCTGCCTGAGAGGTGGTAGAAGATGGAGTGTCTCCATACTGCTTTGTTTTGGTCACTTATGTGCGTGAGGCGAGTGGTCTTACGGGTTTAAACCAAACTCAGGTGATATTTTACACTAAACCGAAAACCCACAACACTCTAACTGTAATAAAAGGGAGATCTACACCACAAAAAAGATCAACTCTAAACCAAAACGTAACAGCTTATCCCAACGCAAGAAGCTGTTAGCGAAGATGCTAACAGTAGCTTTACCAACGTTAAGTTGAAGTTACCAAGTTTAAATAAACCAAAAACACCCAGCAGCAAACAGACCAGCACGGAGGAGAGACTGCTACCACCAAAACAGCTCTCCTCATGTCTGAAAGAAGCTCCTTAATGAAGGGAGAAGCGCTCCCGGTGATTTTCTACATCTGCGGTAGAGAAGAAGCAGCGCATCTGACCCCGGAAGTTGTTGTCCGTTGCCGGGAGACGAAGGCGGGCAAAACAGGAAAATAATCTAGTAGAGGACGGACGTTGTTCCGGGTCTTCGGTATTTGGCGGAGATGTTAGTGAAGGCGGAGAAGAGGGCGAACTAGAGGAAAAACGGGCAGATTCCTCCTCTATTTACAAACTCCTGGGGATGCAACAAGTGGGCGCGGTGCGTCGACTTCCGGATCTGACGTCGACAAATTTTTAGAATCGAGCCGTCGACTTCGTCGAGGCTTCGCTACAGCCCTACAGCTGTCCCTCGGCATTCTTCAAATATCCAAAAGATGCCCGTACTTCCCACTTTGTCTTCTTTGAGGGATAATAAATGTCCTGAGCGCTGCCGTCTCCTCCTTTGGTCATTATTTCAGCTTTAGCTTCAAGAACGTTTTGGTTGTAAACAACAAAGTGCGCATGTGCCGCCGGCAACTTCATCAGATGATACGGTGGCTGGTAAGGGTCACCGCGCCTACACCGCAGCCACGGTAATCCACCGAGATAATATAGTTTTAAAAAACAAGACGGTTATTATTATTGTGAACTTTTTTACCGGGATTTACTGCTACACCGGTTACCGTGACAACCCTAGTTAGTACCAGAACTCCCGATCCGGTCCCATTGTGTCCGTTTCAAAGTCCTTCTACTCAAGTCTCCTCTCTTCCCGCAGCCTGCCGTCTCGCCCAACACGCTCCAGCGCTCGTCTGTTAGCCAGTGGCTAAATCAGCGTTGTTTACTGTATCTCCACAACTCTACTAACAGCGATGTAGTTCTCCACGCGTTACACAGACGCTCCGACTCAGAGGGCTTCTTCTCAAACGTTACCTTTAGGTTCGGGTCTCCTTTTGCTGGTAATCCGTGGGAGTTTACACGCAGCATACACAGCGTCTCCCCGGCTCTAGCCATGGCTAACTAGGTAGCTTGTGACGTCCATCTCCACCACGCCAGCTGTGAGCCACGGTTAGCTGGTGGATGAGTCAGCATTGTTTACTTGATCTGCGGCGTGTCCCCGGCTCACCAACCCTCATTCACCAGCTGTGGCTAACAAGCAGCCAGTGATCGCTCCATAGATTGTAGGCAGCCAGTTTGTTTACATCGAGCGCACCACGATCCACGTGACACTGGTGCTGTGGGAAATTATGTTCCCCTGAAATATTCTGTTTCCCTTAGGCAGTCAAGAGCAAATATTTCCAAATCCACAGAACTTCTTGTCCTTTATGAGGACTAAACTAGCTCAAATAAAGATGTGAAACTGAGTGAGGTTACATCCTTTTACATAACTTTCATAAATGATAAATAAGCTTTGTAAAGGTAGTTTAAGCAACTTTTTTGTTCAAGGTTTCACCACAAGATGGCACTGTGATTTTGTGAATGCCCTAGGGATTCCCAAAGTGTGGTGCGCGCGAGCTGCCGCTAGGGGGTGCGCGAGGTGAAAAGTGTAATGGCTGCGGAGCTCAGAGAAGTCTGCCAGGTGTCACCATTAGCGTAGAAACTCATTTGTGGGTGGGCCAAAGAAAAAGTAAGTGGGCACAATAAATGTAATTGAAAACAAGTATATTTTTTGCGCGCGTGTCCTCCACATGTGCCCTAGCTTCATAATAACAATGCGCCGAGCTTCAGCGCTCTGGCCTGCGCACGCCGATATGTTCCGTATTTGATCATTTTTAACGGTGTTGGAGGAATCTGAAGGTGGCGAGTCATTCTGGCAGATTGTAATTAACACCTGTCTCATGCAGGTGTTCTGACATTGTAAACCTCACACACAGAACATTGTGGATGTAACTAAATAAATCAAGAAATAATTCCCATTCAGGCTATTAACAGCGCGCTGAAGATCTGAAGTTCAGAGCGCGTCTGTCAGAGGTCAGACGTGTTCCAGCGGAACCACGGCTCACGGGTGCACAAGTGAGCACATCTGGGCTGGGCAGAAGTCATTTTACAACGTTGGTTTATATAGCGCCAATAACGAGACTCGGTGACTTGAGCGGCTGATGGAGCTGTGCCGCTCGCGCGTGCACGCACACAGATTCAATAAGCGCACACGCTGCTTTAACTCCGGCGCGCCGTCAGACTGAAGGCAGAAATTAACGCTGCCTCCACCGTGATAAAAACTTTTAAGAGGTTATTTTTCATTCAAGGTCAAATTAAGATATTAGCTTCTGGAGATGAGTCGGGTCCGCTCCAGCCAGTGACTCCTCATGAACCTGACCACATCTCATGTTACTGCAGCATTTGTTATTCCAGTCCGCGTGGCAGCAGATCGCAGATTCAGCCACACCATAAAACAGCAATAAGTCGGTCTGAGGTGAACATCATGGCGATATCTTTTCCCCTATTGACATTTGATTACGCACAAGTAGGTGATCAGCTCAGGTTTACACAGAGCAGAAGGAAGGAGAGCGCTCTGGCCGCACAGGTTAAACGTTCCTACTTTAAGAAAACCGTTAAATTGCATTATTTATGTGCTACCTGGGCACTCTAAATATTTATTTAAAATGAAATCAAAGGAAATTGTAATGGTATCGAATGTTTATTGATTAC